CTTCTTCTTTGGGGATTCCTATGATGCAAATATTATTCCAGTTGTCCCATAGTTCTCTTAAGCTGTCTTCCTGTTTTTTAATTGTTTTTTCCTATTGGTTTTCCGATTGGTTGATTTTTTTCTACCCTGTCTTCTATTCACTGATCTGGCTCTCACCTTCTTCTATTCTGCTGTTTAGACCTTCCAATGTGTTCTTTATTTCTGCTATGTCATTCTTCATTTCTTCTTGGTGGTTTTAAATTTCCAATTGGTTGATTTTCAATGTTTCTATGTCTTTATTCATGGTGTTGATATCCTTATTCATGCTCTTGAGCTCCCTCAAGATCATGGCTCTGAATTTTAACTCTGTTAACTTGCTTAACTGCACCTCATTTGTCTCATCTTCAGTAGAGGTCTCTTGTTCTTTCATTTGGCATTTGTTTTCTTGTTTCACCATTTTGACTATCTCAGTGGGCTTTGGAGGCTGCCAAATTTTCCCTGTGGGTGTTGGTGTTCTGCTGTTTGTGGCTCCCTCTACTGGGCTTGGATGAGTGTGGGAGGACCCACATTAAACACCACTGTCAAGTCTTACTTTCTTGGGTAGAGTTGAAAGCCCAGGAATAATTCAGTTATTCTCCAGCTTTTTTCTGGAGGCTATTAGTTCAGGTTACTTGAAGAGCCTTGGGTTCTCAGTTAAATGAAAAACTCCCTGAGGTTTTCAGGGTAAGGGGATTTTCTGAGGGTGGGGCAGATGCTGGTTGTTAATAAGCCTCAATTTGCATTTCAATGGCCAACCAGGTGGGGTTGAATCTCCGAGGGAGGGGTCTCTGCCTCTCCTCAGAGCCCTGGGAAGGAGTTAGATGGCCACCCTCCTGCGTGGCCACAACTCAGCAAAAGCTCTGAGTGCCCTTCAAATCCTGAGTGTCCCCACACAGTTCCAGTCCAGTCCGCCCTCCCCAAGGTGAGTAGCTGTGTCTTTGTTAGCGCTCTGTCCTGGCTCTGCGCTGTGTAGCCACTTGGGAGTTTAACCCAGGGGCGCTGCTCACAGCTAAGGCAGCTGCGTCCGGGAGCTCCCAGTGCCTGTCTCTTGCCTCTGCAATCCTACTTGAATTGAGTCAGTGTCCCTGGGTACATGGTCCTTGCAAGCTGCTTTTCTGTTGCTTTTTCCTGATGATTTGTCCTTATTTTAGTTGTAATTCCAGTTTGGTCTTGGGAGATGGTCTGTATAGCTTCCATTCACTCCACCACCATTTTGGTATCCTCTCAGGTTCTACATTTTAACAGAATCCCTAAATGCCTGTGTTCAAAACAGTGACTAACATGAGAACTTCAGGTTTGATGGCACTATTGCAAGATTTCCTTAAAAAGACATCAAGCCTGTTAGCAGTTAGTATTTGTCAATCGAAGCTTATCTGCCCCAACCTGTAAGGCATCTTGTGGCTATACAAAACGTGGCAGTTTCCTGAACCTGTCCCTTTTCCATTTAAATCGCAAATCCTCAATAGTCAATATCTGTTTAACACTCTATGGTATGCAGCGAGCTCCCACACCCATGACGGATGTGCTTGTGTGGGGCGTCCAAGCATGAAATGATATAAGTAGGATTGTTATACCTCCCACCACCTGAGAGGGAGGGTCAGGGGATTCAGAGAGGTAAAGTGACTTGCTCATGCCTTAGACATAAACCCCAGGTCTCCTGACTCCCAGTTAAGAACAACACACCATCCCACTGAGCAAAATCTCAGAGACCTGTGAGCTTCCTTGGGGTAGTAAGTGATTGTTTGATAATTTTATCACAAAAAGCAGAGTTGGGGAAGGATGTTGGTAGGAATGAGAAAAGGAGCATCTACTGCCATCCCCTACTATGCTAAACAAGTACATGATTTTTAAAATTATAAGAAGCGAGGTATTGATAGGAGTGGGATAGAACATCTTCGTGCATCTACGGTAGCCCTAAATCAGGCCACACAGAGAGCTTATCTTGTCAAAGCAACAAGTACCCTGCACAGTCCCTTTCTAGCAAGTCAGGTGCAGGTTTAGGGCAAGCCTTGGCACTGAACGCTACTGCATTTCCATCGAACTGTGTTGCATTAGCCATTGCCGGCTCCATGGCTGGCTACTGGGAATAGCACTGAGAATATGTGGCCCATACTGCTTCATTCATGGCTGAGCCAGGCTCAAGAGACACCTGAGTTAATACCCTCATTACTCATCTCTGGAGGAAATCCAGCCATAGCAAACACAAGGACAACGCACAGCAACAGATGCCGAACAATAACTGTATGCAAATTAGTCTTGGAAATGGATTCTGGTCCCACTGAACAGGGACTAGAGAACCAGAGAGAATGTAATGAAAATCAGGCAGCGAGCTTCAAAATCGTGGCAAGCATCACAGCACTTGCTTTCTCCTAGCTGGTTGGTTGTCATAGAAACCTGTGTTTGTAGAGTTTCTGAGTACATTAGCTCAAAGTGGATGCTTATATTATCCTATTCCAGTCTTGCTGGGGAAGTAGAATATTCGGTTATATTAAATAAACATTTGCTGAGGGCCTACTATGTGATAGACTTCAGAGGATACACAGTTGAATACGTGGCCCCTTCTTGGAACCGCCTGACTCTCAGGTGAGACCCAACAAGAAGACAGATAGCTCTAATGGAATGTGATTAGTACACTAATACAGGTGGGAACACAGAGAGCAGACAATTAATTCTTCCTGGGGATGTTAGTGACTTATGGGGTGGAGGTGACATCTGAGCAGGGCTTTTTGTGAAAGATTAGAAAGACTCTGCTAATAGAAAAATGTGATGAACATAGGGAATAGCTTGAGCAATGTCACGGAAGTGCAGCAGGTTCCGAAAGAATATGAAGTCTGATAAACAAATCCAGCTTTATGCCATAATGAGTTCTGAGAATTACAGTCAAGCATTCTTAACTCATACTTCACTACTTCCAAATGTATTGATTATCATCCTCTTAGGCTAGGTTGAAGTTATCATGGCATTGACTAAAAGAGTTTGCTAAGCAAGAAAATAAAGAAATGTATCCTGAAGGATGTTTATCTTCTTAAAGGAGAAAGAGCTGTTTTCAAGCACTTTAGAGAGACGCATTTATCATCAGAAAAGGCTTTAGAGTCAGACGAAGCCTGGGTTTGATTGTCAATCTTAATACTTAGTAAGTAAATGATTGTTGGCAAGTTAGTTTAACATTTTCAGACCCCTGTTTTTGTTTTGTTGTATGTACATTGGAGATAACAACCTTTCATTAAAAGATTAATTTTTTTTAAAAAATCAAGCACTATATTACAAGTGCTATGAAGTACCTGCCACAGAGTAGTTGCATAATGTTTTAAACTGTTCAAAAAGGAATAATAAGTTGAGTCATTTCTATACACTGGGTATTTCTCCTATGAAGCCTTGGAGGTTTTGAATAAATGTCTGATGTACAAGACCAATCAGTATAATGCCATTATAGAGCTTAAAGGGAATTTGGAAGTGATTCAAGTCAATGTCATTTGTTTACAGAGGAAACCACTGAATTATAAGATGCAATTTCTGATCTGCGGATACATAGCTGGTTAGTGGGGGAGCCGGACCCACAGCTCGGGAATCCTGATGGCATCCAGTGTTCTTGCCACAGAACCACAGCCGACTTTCCCACTGTCAGACATCATTAAGGTGGAGGCCCCAGCAAGCAAGCCTCAGGGACATGTTAGGGCAGCGGCTCTGTGCCTACCAGTAATATCACTTCTTCCACTCAGTTGGTCCAAATGATTGAAGTTTAGCTTTTCACGCAAAACTGAAGTAAATAATAAATTGTTCTACATAAATATTAACACAGAATTCATTATCTTCTCTCAAGAGGAAAGTTGCATAATTGTGTGTAATTCTTGTCTTAGCCTGGTGACATTTGTAATGTCAAAAATCATCCACAGAACAGATAAGAATGATTGACTCTAACATCTAAAAGGAAAAGGTTTGTATTTGAATTAGTTTAAGCTGTAAGTACTGTTGACAGTATTCAGACCTCTTCTACTTATAGGTATCTAAGTAACGGACGTCTATACAGAGATGGGCAGTGCCTTCAAGGGATGCCCAGCTGGGGCAGCATCCCACTCCCTCCAGCTGATGGCGCCCCCTACAGTTGGTAGGGAAACTGAGTGGACAGTACAGCAGTCTCCCCTCTGCCTTCCTATCTCCTGAGTTATCCTAAGAGATGCTGCCTCCACTTCTCCAGGCTGCTTTGCACATGGTCATGTCTCAGTGAATTCCACCTCAAGCAAAATTTTCCAGCTGGTGTATCCAGAAAACAGTTTTTCCAAAAACTTTTTGTTAATCATTAACACTCCTTTATTAATCACAGGAGTCAGTACTATTCAAAGAAATAATTAAGACAAGCATTAACTAAATAAAACAACCCTATAAAATAGATATGGTTATCTCCACTTTCAGATGAAGGTAAAGGAGTTACACCAGCTAAATAACTCATCAGGATTGCAACAGAGCGGTGTGACTTCACTCTGCAGACGTACCCAGTATGAAAATCCACCAGTCCGTAAAGGCGGGGATGACTGTTGCACAGACAATCAATACACAACCCAAGTATTCACAGACTCTTATAAAGGAAAGTCACTTACAAGTCATAGTCAGCTTTGTTGTTTTACAGGCAGGGAAACAGGCACAGAGGGGGACGTGACCCATTTGTGATCTCTTTCTTCTCAATATAACCATCTACCCTCCAGAAGTGAAGTCTCTGCTTTAGCTTAAGTCTTTGGGTGTGGTGGCTGCATATTATTGTTCCTGGGATTGAGATATCTTTACACCAATGAGCATACCTGCTTCTGCAAATAGGAGGTTGGACAGAATAGGGGTTGAGGCAGGGAAGCAGGAACATCAAAAGTTGGACTTGAATCTTAGCTCAGGATCAGTTTGGCTCTGACAGCAGCCTTGGCATGTACTGTAGTGAGAACATGTTTTCGGGTTACGGACTACCTAATATTTAAATGTTGACTTTCGATTGGTAGCAATCAGTGAAGCTGCACAACCTCGTGGAGGATCACAACAAAGTCCAGGTTACAATCACAGTAAAAGGCAAAGGTAAGTGAAATGTGTTCTGCCATCATTAGCATCCTAATGTTTCAGGGTGGAATTGGTTGTATTTATTACTACTAGCCAATGAGAAAATGGCTTTTTTGATTGAACCCAAGACAGAGGCTAAGGTGGGGCAGACAAGGCATCTGAGATGCAAAATATAAGAAGGCAAGATCATGCAAATGCTGACCTGTACCTGCAGGAACCCTGAGAGTGAGAACCTTGTTGCATTTTGTACCCTAGGTACCTCTCATGGCTCATCCTCATCCCAGCCCTGGTTCAACCATTCAGCCCTCCATAGATCACTCATGTAAATGTCACTGGGCAAGCCTTCTATGGCTTTGTCATTTTCCTAACCATTCCAAACTGATGCTGAATCATACATTTTGTTCTGTTATTTATCCAGAACACAAGCCTGAATGAGGCCTAAATGGCTGGACACCGGCATGTGTTCTTGACTTAGCCTGGAGGCTGGGAGGAATCAGGAGCTGTACCCCAGGGCAGCAGAAGCTGCCTGGAGGTTTACACCAGGTCTCATTCAAAGGACAGAGTGTGCAGCAGGGGCTCAGGTACTCAGCCAAAGAGAGTAAGCAGCAGCAACGGGGACCAATGTCCTTGACATCTCCTGTGGGCAGAGCACTGTCCCAGGCACCAAGATCGAGGTGGGGTCTTGTGGCCGAGCGAATCCTTTGCTGTGGCCCAGGAATCAATTTCCTAATCTTGGTTCCTGAGAACTTGTGATCGAGGGGAAAGGAGCTGGAGCAGGTGAGCATGCGGAGTAGTTCTTGCCAACTGGTTGACAAGAGTTTTCAGTCACTTTCATGTTTTTTTTTTAAACCTCACCCAAGGACATTTTCCATTCTTTGTTCAGATAGAGTAGGAGGGAGGGAGAGGAAGAGAGAGAGAGAAACATCAACGTGAAAGGGACACATCGAATGGCTGCCACTGGCACAACCAACCAGGGCTGGGGACAAACTGCAACCAAGATACGTGCCCTTAGTGGGACCCGAACTCGGGTCTCTCTGGACCACAGGCTGATGTTTTAACTGCTGAGCCAAACCGCCCAGGGCCAGTCACTTTAATCTTTAAGGAAAAGGTCAGCTGATCCTGAAAACTCTGCTCTTGTGTAGGTTTGCAGAAGCTGGATTCCCGTCTCTTGGTCCCTGGAGATGTCCTTATTCTTCCAGAAAAATTGTCACTGCCGTGTGATGCTGTTCTAATTGATGGAAAGTGTGTGGTGAACGAAGGCATGCTCACAGGTAGGCCGTGTCATGGAGCTGCTTTCCTGCCCACCGTCTGGGCCACGTGGTAGCCAAGCAGATCAGTGTGTACACACCTGCTCTGTCCCAGGCCCATGCTCAGGCATTGAGAGGTGGGTGAGGGAGACTCAATATGTGCACATAGGAACCATTTAACAATAAAAGCATCAGGCCATGATAAATATGAAACTAGGAAAACAAAATCTAATACAACATGTGACTCATTAATTGCCTGACGGGTGGCGTGAATCTGGTGCTTTGGGTTCCAAGGAGGGTGGGACCACTACTCGGTTTGATGTACAGTCTCTTCATAAATATGAGAATCGTTTTCTATCCAAACAAAACAACCTGCAACTACCAACTCTCACAACTAGCATCATGCAGAGGTTTTACCCAGTTCTGTTCCCCGTGGATGGAAAGCTGGGTCCCAGGTGTCCTTGGGAAGGAGACTGGGTTGAACCTTGGGGGAAAGGCAGCATGACAGTTCTGTTCTTTTGAATCAAGTATCTGGATGATCTCACCACGTAGAAAGCCGATTTTCTAGTTATGGATTAAACTGTCCTTGTTCTCATTTGTACTTTGTAAAGTCCACTTGAATTTGTGTAATTAGGAAGGCACTATTTGCAAATTATTCTTAGGCAAAAAACAAACAAACAAACAAAACCCCCCAGAACATCCCAATGAGAGGAGAAGAGATTCTACAGTAGCACAAAAATGGAAACGATTTGTCTTTTGTGCTTATAAATTGTTGCATTTTTCTGTTTCCAAATAGCTAAAGACAGGAACACACACACACACACACACACACACACACACACACAGACACCACACACACAGCTACCTTTTTAACGTCACCTAAATGTAAAGGGGGTGATTATCAATTCTTAAATTGTTCAACACAAGCAAATTTCAAATTAAAAATGGCTCTGCTTAATTTAAAATCGAGACAAGAAATTGTGATAAACACAAATATGTTCAGTGTAATTGCAAAATACCCCTTTAATGTGCTGAAATCTAACTTTCTTATAATGACAGTGATGAGGATTTGCATGCTAATCATATCCTTCATCCAGAATGTTGCCATAGTACCCAGTGCGCAAACCTCATGCCCACGAAGAACTGTCCCCCTCATTCAAAGGCAGCCACGGTGGCACATTTCCCAGCAGCCTGCCTGGGAAGAATGATGGCTTCCTTCTCTCCCTGGTGACAGAGAGCGTGGTTGTGAGAAGCCGGGTTGGGGGGCGGGGGCAGTATTTACTTACCTGGGTTTGCCTCAGGGCACCGTTCTGGTCTAAATTCTGAGGAAAATTCGGAGAGTTTCAGAGAGGTAGAAATGGTAAACGAGCCTCTTTTTCAACAAATGTGTAAAATTGACCTCAAGTGACCTAATACGGTAAGTGGCTTTTCCTTGGGTCTGTTTCTGAAAAAATACAGTCACCGGCATTAATATCTATGTGACCTAAGTACTGATAAAAGTCAATTTCAGAGACAGACACATAAAATGGAAATACTTTTTTCTCATTCATTTCTTCATAAAGCTCTAGCTACCACCGTGCTCTAAATACTGGATTATGCAGCCTACTAGATCCTTCCACTCACGCACAAACTTGTGGAACGGAGGCTGATTGAACGAACAGATTGGGGTTAAATTCCTGAAAATGGAAATGTATTCCTAGAACATCTGTCCACAATGTGACTTAGATACCACCCCCATTTGCAAAATAGACCTTTACATCTTAAGAAGTCTTTATTTACGTAAGAACAAGAACAGCAAATACTTCTAGCACCTCTCTCTCACTTCACTGTGGCATAAAACAAATTCGAGGAGGAGCTACTATATCTGCCAATTTCTAGATGAGGACATTGAAGTGAGAGAGACCAGGGCTGCTCAGCGGGTGAGGGAGAGAGTTAGCCTTGAAGGGGCGTTTGCTCCCCGACACCGGGGCGGTGGGAGTGAGGAGGAGGTTCTAAGATGCGTGAAGCTGTGCTGTCATCGTGCGGCATGTCCCTTTCCTCTCGGTCGGGACTCATCCACAGCACATGGCCGTCGTCAGCTCTCCGTCCTCATTATCTCCTTAGCCTCAACTATGCAAGAAGCTTCACTTTATTTTATAGCCACATTTAATTTTCATTTTGGCCTCAAATGTTGCCATTCTCAGAAGTGCGCAGTGTGAAGTACCTGGTATAAATCAGACCGTTGCCGCCATCGGTTTGAGGTCCTCCAGATCCTAGTCTGGCTGCCTGACGTCGTGCAAGGCATCTGGGGGGCTGTGGTCTAGGGCAGCCCTTCTTGCTGGTGCCCCCACTTCCCTCTGGGATTAGGAAATGGTTCAGGCCGAGCTGCCTGGAAGAGGAGGCAGACCCAGGTGTCTTTGGCTCTCAGTTTCCACAGACATCTAGAATGTGTTCATACCCTGCTTTGGTGCAGGCCCCTTCTCTCGGGGACACACGCTCTCTAAGATTACTTTGGATTTTCTTTCAACTGCCCGTGCAGGGATTTTTACTTATCTGGACAAGTAGTAGAAGAAAGGCATGGTGAACAGGAAAGCTTCGTTCTTACTCTCAGATAGTCTCTCAAATTCATGATCAAACTGACATGTGACTCTTGAAACCCAAAAGCTAGTTATCAACTCCTCGGTCCTTTTTTTCTCTGTCTCCTGAGGCAATGATCCCTTTTAGGATCTAGCTCCTCACAAAGTGGTCAAGAGGCAAAAAGGAATACCATGGGGGAAATTCTATCAAAATTTTGAAATTTTCTCTTGGGACAATAGCTAATTTTTCTTAGTTTTTATATGTATTAGGCACTGTGCCAACATTTTTACATACGCTATTTTATTCAATCCATATCTCTATGAAGGTGGGAGAATCTAAGGCCCAGAGAGGGTAAGTAATTTGCCTAAGGTCACACAGCTTAAAAGTGGCAGAGCTGAGATTTGAATTCATTTGTTTATTTGTTCATTCATTCATTCTACAAATTTTTCATTAGTCCTTACGTGGAGCAGACACTTTACCAGATGCTGGGGACAGAGCAATGAACAAGGCAGACACGATTTCTGTCCTCATGGAGCTGCTTTATAGTGGGAGACTGAAAACATGGAAATAAGTAAATGACATAAGTTTCCAGCAGTTGTAAGTTCTATGAAAAAAATAAAACACTTAAACCCAGGCATTTTGACCTCAGGACCTATGCTTATAATTACTGCCTCCTCATTCTCTTAGGGATAATTGTGGTGAGAGGGGTAGTAGTCACTCTGCCACAACCCCCTTCCTTCTCCCTAACTTATTAGAACTACTGGTTTATTTGAAATATATGTGTGATGCGAATTGGACACCAGGGAATTTCCCTCAGTGGTTAGTTCACATTTATATTCTGTCAGACAAGCTTCTCGTCAGTTGGCAGGTCAGATCTTTTCCTCTCTTCTTTTCCGCCTTTGCTCCTCTCACTCCCCTTCCCTTTCCTTTCGTTTGTTCTTTTGCTTATCCATTAACTCTATAAAGGTTCCGAAATGCCTACTATGTGTCAGGCACTGTGTGTGTGCTGAAGTCACCAAGACAAATGAGGAATAGTCCCTGTTCTCAAACGGTGCATAGTCTAATGGTCCCAGGAATATAAATAAGCAAGGACGCGGCATTTCTAACACTGTCACCATGCAGAGGCATCTGGCTCACCAGGGACAAGGGAGAGAAGCTCCCTTTCACAGCAGCCGGGACCTCCAGGTTCTAGATGCCAACTGAACAGTTGATGGTGAGCGTAACTTCCTTCTGAAACCCTCTCTAGTCTGCTTAGACCTCCATACTTTTGTAGGAGGATCCATTCTTTCTCGGGATTTCAAGAAAGTCCAAGCACAAGAGTCTTTATTAACTTGTGACTAGGGTAAAAGAGACTTGAAAATCATCTCTGTGTAAAGCATCCGATTCGAACCTTATCTCTGGAACACCATATCCAGTGACTTCCATCTCTGGTGCTTGAACAGCCCGTTTCTGATACTGTCAGCTGTGTGTGTGGAAATTACTCATTAATATTAGTCTAATTATAAATTGTGGATTAATATTCTGTGATCCAAAGGCAGAAAAACATTCATAATTCTGTGAGGATCAGACTTTGCAAAGGTTGATTTAAAAACAAGGTGGTGCAGCAATTTGGAGATTTGTCAAGAGATTCTATCCTTTATACAAAGCCGTTTAGAATGCAGCCGACAAACCCACACGATGGATGGATAGCATAATTGTTCTAAAGATAGTGCTTGAATAAAGGGATTTCCTGAAGAATATTCAAGACCAATAATAGAAATTTTATAGCTTCTTGCACCTTAGGATGTATACAATGTACCATGGTAGAAAACTAGTTTTGAAAAACCAATGATAAAAAACCCAAACCTGCGTGATTGTTTTTACCAATCCAGACATTCAGGGGAAAAAAAAAAAAAATATATATATATATATATATATACACACACACACATATATACATATATATATATATATCTCCTAATATATATTAGGAGGGAAAATGAGGAATATAAAAAGTTATACATGCCTAAGTCCTTGCCCCAGTTATTACCTAGAAGAAGAGATAGAACCTAAATGTATAATACAATCAATATAATAGTATTTTCAAATTAGAAATAAGACATGCTTTATTGCTAATTAAACATTTAGCAAAAGACTGATGGAATTTAAATTCACTCTAGTGCTTTTAAAATCTGGGAGCCAGGAAGCATTATTATCATTTTTATTTTGCCTCTGAAATGTATCTTTTTTGAACTGTATCTTAAATATCCCACCTTACAGCCGTCAGAGAAAGGAGGAAGGGCGCTGCAGAGAATGGGAGTCCCTGCTCAGAGGACGTGCAAGTGGCCTGGGGCAGCTGGAGTTCGGGTAGGAAGTGGCAGCAGGTGTCGTTCAGGTTGCGGTGGCTTTGACCATCTAGCAAGAGAGTCTGAAGTTTGTTAAAAACGGCAATGGGAAAGCCTAAGGAGTTTTCAGAAAAAAAATGAGATGGTAAAGGGTCTTTGATAAGCTTCATTCGGAAGTGGTGTGGGATGACTAAAGGGATGGGGCTGGATAGGAGAGCCCGGTTAAGAGGTGTGCGATAATAGAAGATATTTATGTATGTATGTGTACACACACACTCACACACACAATTTATATATATTAATATATTCTGTAAATTTATACATATATAACTATATATGTAAGTAAATTAAATACATATATAAACTATATATAAATGTATAACTATATATGTTATTTACATATCCCTGGTTCCTGGCACAAAGCTCCTAAAGCCCTTGTGATAATTTCCTAAGTGCTAAGAGCACTAGGATCATCGTTTTTCTAATGGGGTGACTCTGGGTGGGCTCCTGGATGGACCAGAGAGACCAAGTGCAATTAGAAGCTTGGAATTTTCAGCCCTCCCCCCATCTTCCAGAGAAGGGAGACGGGCTGCAGATGGAGTTGAAGGTTGATCATGCCTACGTGAGGAAACCTCCATACAGTCCCAGTGGTACAGGGTTCAGAGAGCTTCCAAGTGGGTGAACACATCCACTTGTAGGAGGGCAGAATGTACCCCAATTCCTGCACTAGGGACCCTCCCAAACCTCACCCTATGTATCTCTTCATCTGCCTGTTCATCTGTATCCTTTATCATATTCTTTAACATGCTGGTAAATGTAAGTAAGTGCTTGCCTGAGTTCTTTGAGCCACTTGTCAAATTAATCAAAACTGAGGAGGAATGTAGTGGGAACCTCAGATTTATTGGTCAGAAGCCCAGGTGACGACATGGATTTGCACTTGGCATCCGAAGTGACGTGGGAGCAGTCATGTGGGACTGAGCCCTTAACCTGTGGGATCTGATGCTATCTCTAGGCAGACAGCGTCAGAATTGAGTTACACTGCAGGAAAATCAGCTGGTGTCACAGAACTGCTCGTGTAGCGTCCGAAGTGGTGTGAGTATGGCAGTGGTGTGAGAGTAAAGGAGAAACATAGGAGGAAGGACTGGAGGCTTTTTTTTTTTTTTTTTTTTTAACTCGGGAAGTCAAGGCAGACTGTGGTTGAGAACCTATTAATAAAAAAAAAATGTATTAGGTCCACTGTAGCTTCAGATCATCCAGAGAATGTGTTTGCACTTCAAGGAGCTAAACAAGTCTCAGCTAATCCATTGTTAATGCAACCACCAGGGTCCGACAGCAGTTGCCAGGGAAGTCACTGGGACCTACATGCAAGAGTCCGAGAATGACTCGGCGAGGCCCACTCACAGGGGATGCGTCCATGAGAGAGTAGAGCAGAGTACGGGGAGAGGAGGGATTAAAGATGATTTGGGGATTGTAAAGCTGTGACTTAGCAAAAGTGGTACCATAAAGGAACAGGAAGCCAGGAAGAAGTTTAAGGATGAAAGCGTTGATATGGGCTTTATATATGCTGAGCTGGAGAAGCTAGTGGGATGTCCAGGTTGGGAGGAACAGCCCATAATTGGGAATATACAGAACAAGAGCCCAGGAGGGAGGCAGGATGCAGATAGACATACCTACTTCAGCGCTAATCCATGGGATGGGAGGGGGAAGGCATCTAGAAAGAGACAAGAGAAGGCCCTGCCTTGTTATATTGGTTTCTATCTTTCATTTCCAGCTCTAAAAAGACAATGAAAAATATTTTACAGATTTTATGAAGGCGTCGTCTCTCACTCATCTCCATACGTCCAGAACTGCTTACCTCTACCCTCCCGATCCTTGTCCTGAACATCCTCAACTACCCCGCCCAGGGCACGCCACGCTCTTCTCTCACTTCATCCAAGAACACCTTTCTCTCCTTGATCTGGTTAGACTTACTGTCCTTGAAATGGTCATTTCTTACTTGTCCAGAAAATCTTTCCTGATCCTCAGTTTAGGTGAGATCTTCAGATCACCTAGTACTACTATCTAAATATTTACCTTATTGCATTTTAATTATTCACCGCTACTTACTTGCCTGGTCCCTGAGCTTTATGAGGGCAGGATTTCTGTCTGTCGTGTTCATCATTCTATTCCCTGCACTGAGAGAAGCGCACAGAGCAAGCACTTAGAATAGATTCTGAATGAATGGAAGAATGGGCAGATATATGGGTGAATGAAGAGCAATAATAACTATACACATGCTTTTTAGCTCTTTTATTGCCTAGAATAGTGTTGGGCTTAAACAACAGTGGGGAGGGGGGATAATTGTGACAACTCTTTTTTACTAAAATGGTCTTTTTTTTCCTTTAATTTTTAAAATTTAATTAATTTATTTTTGTTATAGATATCCCCCCCCCATTGACACCCTCCTCTTGTTCCCGCTCCTCCCCCCAGCACTGTTGTCTATGTCCATTGGTTACGCTTACATGCACAAGTTCTTTGGTTTATCTCTCCCCTCCCCCTGCCCTCCCTCCTCTGAAGTTTGTCAGTTTGAACCCTACTTCTATGTCTCTGAGTCAATTTTGTTCATCACCTTTCTTTATATTCTACAAATAAGTGTGATCATGTGATACTTGTCTTTCTCTGACTGGTTTATTTCATTTAAAAAAATTTAACAACAAACCATGCAGCCAAGTGTGGGAAAGATAGGCAGATTTTAAATAAACATTTGAAATATAATTGTACATCCCACACCTTGCATCACCAGTGTCCCTAAGAACAGTCATCTGACTCAATGGATGGACATTCAGATGGGATTAACTGTGGTTTGTATACTTTCTTGAAACTGGCAGGCACCAGCTACAAATAACTAGAGTTCACACAGAATCAACACAATACAATCTCTTTTAGGAGAAAGTATACCTGTCACAAAGATGCCACTGCCCCATATGGAGAATACCATGCCCTGGAAATCCCACAGCTTGGAGGACTATCGGAAACACATCCTTTTCTGTGGAACAGAAGTGATCCAGGTCCAGCCCTCTGGGCAGGGACCAGTCAGGGCAGTTGTTTTGCAAACAGGTGAGTCAATTCCACTCTTGTAAATCTAGCCTGTGACTGAAGGCGTGGGAGTTAGATTTGGGGAAATCTTTTTTGTGATCATGGAGTGTGCCACATTGTGGGAATAACACCCACACCCATTTCCAATCAGGCCCTATTATTCTAAGTTGCCACCATTTTCAGCTGAACGGATCATAGTTAAAACCCTCATAGATGATGAAGCAAACCAAGGCAGAAATACTTCTCAAAGGCAAAAGCGTGGTCTCGGTTTTTCTTGTGTCCTTAGGCTACTTCTCTTCTCTATACCCATGCTGAGTGAGTACCAGGAAAACAGTTTCAACCACTGTCACCTGAGGACGTTTTCCTTCCAAAGAGTTGCTTGCTGGGTGGTTATGTCAAGTTCCCTGCTGGACATCTCCACCCGGGTGCCCCACAGACACTTCAAAGTCACGGCATCTAACTGTGAACTCATCCCCCTCGACCGCTTCTTTCTGTTGACAACATCACCATCTGGCTAGTGTCTTCACCTGAACACCTCACTTTCTCCATAGCAAATAGGGTGCCACATCCTGTCCTCTGCACGAATACCTCCCGAGTCCTGTCTCCCTCTCCTTCACCCTCACTTTGTCCAGGCCTTCACCATATCCTGTCTAAACTACTACAACAGAAACATTCTTTCCACTGTTGCCTTTCAACTTTCATCTCAAATACTTTTTCTTGTATTTTGTTCAGCCTTTCTCTAACCTATTCCTCACTCTATCACCAAGTCACATCTCTCAAACATAATTTGAAGCAGTTTATACGCATGATGCTCAAAAACATTTCAAGCTGACTAGAATCGGTCCCAGTCTTTCACTTGACATCACACAGCCAACACCTTCCAGGATCTGTCCCAGCTCTGGTGTTCACCCCGACCTGTGCTTCTGCCACACGACATATTCACAGGCCTGAAACGCACCTTGCACTTGGATATCTCTCTGCTTTAGTTTAGGTTATGATTCAATTGTTCTACCGGATTTTTTTCAAATTAAACACATTAAGTTTTGTTTAAAGTAGGCAGTGGGCAAGAGACCATCTCTCAGCCTGCTGATAAGCAGAAGCTGTTGGGTGGAGATCATGGAAACCGCCTGATCTGAGCTTGTAAAATGCTGAGGTAATAGGTTAGAGGAAGCTCTTCCTTTCCTCCAATGTCTGCAGAGCCCGGAGACCAGATGTTCATCAGGTGGTGGGATTACGGCATGTTTGATACTTATAATACTGACTTATATCTGGAGTACATAGTAGTCAGCCTTAGATTGTAATAACTTAGATATTAATTAATATTTACTAAGTGCTATGCACTGAGGGCTAAAGAAAAAATCTGTGAGGTACTCCTTGCCCTTAAAGAAGGTTTACGGTATGGTTCAGGGGACAGATGGTTTATAGCTAAGTAAAACACAAATTAGTGATGTCATGTGACCAAGGGACTACAAAAGGCAGTGAGGTTCTTTTTGATATGAAGTATAAAAGTAGAACTTGGAAAACATTTATTCCATGAAGTGGCATTTTGAGCCATGTCTGATAGGATAGGAAGACTTAAGCTACTCATATCAGAGAAGTGGAAAGACATGTTAATCTGTGTCTGTAAAAAACACAAAGGAAGCACCCTGGCCGGTTGGGCTCAGTGGGTGGAGTGTTGGCCCATGGAGCAATGAGTCGTGGGTTCAATTCTGGTCAAGGGCATGTACCTTGGTTGCAGTTCATCCCCGGGCCTGGTCAGGGTCATGCTTGAGGTAGCCAGTGAATGTGTCTCTCTCACACTGATGTTTCTCTCTCCCTTCCTCCCACTCTGTCTGATGATAAATAGAAAAATATCCTCGGGTGAGGATTAAAACAAAACACAAAGGAAGGAAAACACAGGAGTCTTCTGGGACCAGTGGACTATTAGAGGCAAGTCTAGCAAGTGAGGGGTAGACCAGATTTAAGGGGACCTCGAATGCCATGCCTAGACACTTGAACTTTATCCTTAAAAATGGGTGTTCTGGAAAGTTTTTGAGCATAAACATGACATGATCAGAGGCATATATATTTAAGAAATTAGCTTGCCTTGTGCTTTTCTTTTCTCTTAATTTTCCATTATTTTTAATGCCTATGTGCACTTTAAAGTCTTCTTCTCTCGGCAGCTCATCCTCTCTGGCCAACACATCACCAGCTCCTTATTCTTTCCCCTAAGCCCACATGTGAGTGGGAAGCGCAGTGTCAGCCAAAACGCATTGACTCCCAGAGAAAGAGAAACTGAGCAGGGCTGAGTGAATGCTGCTTCTATGTCCCAGTGAACCATGAGAAGAGTAAATGTCACTACACTGTGGGGTCACAGCAATGCTGTTTTCACTCCGTAGTCAAACGACCCTCCTAACCAATCCCGAGTTCAATGCAAACAAACCATTTTTGGTTTGGGGGAATCTATAAGAGGCCGTCACTCCAACTATGATTATCTTCCTGTAGGCTACAATACAGCCAAAGGGGACCTGGTGAGATCCATCCTTTACCCCCGGCCTCTGAACTTCAAACTGTACAGCGATGCCTTCAAGTTCATAGTGTTCCTGGCCTGCCTCGGAGTTGTGGGTTTTTTCTATGCCCTTGGTGTGTATACGTACCATGGAGTAAGTACTGGGGGTAAGGCTTTTTACTAGTATAGTTTCTCAAGGAGTCTGACCTAATTCAGAAGGGTTAGATCAGGTTACCTCTGAGTCCCATTATTCTGTGAATCAATGCTGTCCAGGAGAGCTTGCTTAGATGATGGAGATAGTCTATGCGACATAGACACTGTCCAGGTTGGTCGCCCGTAACCATACACACTTATCAAGCACTTGAAGTGTGGCTACTGTAACCGAGGAAGTGACTCTTCAATGCTATTTCATTTTCACTAATTACTTTTGATTACTTAATTCAATTTGTTTAAATGTAAATCGCCATTTGTGGTTAGGAAAAATCATATTGGATGGTGCGGTTATATAAAGTTGCAGAGTTCACCGCTCCTTTTACCACCTGGATGGGATGAGAGGTTACTGCATGTGTGGCATTGGTGATACCCAAGCAAATGGCCTCAGAGGAAATACATGTTTCTTAAGCCTGCTGCGATGGGGAGGATTTAGTCCATCAGATCACAGAGCAGGAAGGGCATACTAATTTGAGTGAGCAAACACGAAAGAAGAAATGTGCACGGGTCTTCTAGCCCCAGCAAGCAATTAAGAGATTAAGTCTGTCGAGATAGAAATAGATAGATTGAAGGAGACCTTGAATGCCATGCCTAGAAGCTTGGATTCTTTGTGAGTGTGGACATATTTGAGTGTGTATATTGTCCAGGGCATACCCAACATACCATGTAGTCAGCGAGTTCCCCTGTGTTTTGTATACTTCTGAAATGAATGTCAGTGTCTCCTTTTACATTGCTGCATGCAGCATGGACTCCCACCTCCTTTTAAGCTTCAGGGTGTCTGGGCGCCTCTGTCTTAATAGCTGTGATGGCTGGAGAGGGAAAGGTTGTCCCAAATGACCTCTGAGGTCCCTTCTGGTCCTGAGAGTCTGATCCTCTCATGAGCCGTGTTCGCTTTTCTGTGAGACATGCTGGGATCTTAGCAGTCTGGGCTCACAGGGAAGAAGAGAAATAAATGTGAAGAAAAGGATTCCAACATGGGTATGAAACTGAGTGGGTAACCTGAGTGCGATGCCTCCGCTGGTAGCATCAAGTACATTCCGTGTGTGTGTGTTGGAGGGGAGAGGAGTGAATACTGGTGGCCAAAGACACAGTCATAAGAATTTCTAGGCGACATTTATGCTGTCACTTGATCTCTGAATAGTCATTTCAATCTGACATAGGTCGCCAGGGAGCACGTCTGGAGGAGGCCAGGACATATTGGCATAAGGAGAACAGACCCTGAAAGAGCTAGGCAGACCATCACAGCCAGGGGGACTGAACTTTGAGGCAGTATACCAGCTTCATCTGGGGAGCAGGAGCGTTCCCCAGGGAAACAGGCAGAGAGGCCTGTCCTGTGGACCAGGTGGTGCTGACAGTGACTGGGAAGGAAGGTCTGCTAGGCAGGACTGAACATCCAACATGCACCGGAGCTAATCGCAGACCCATCTTCCTGTGGGTCACAACCTGTGGAGCTCTTGGCTGCCTCTGTCTGCACTGCCTCGGGACTAGACAGAGCTGAGTCCTCGGGGTCAAAACTCCTCTGTGGCTATGGGAGGGAAAAGCAGGGAACGTTGGATTTTGCAAAGAAACTGAGACCGGACCAAAGTTGTATCTAGCCTCCATTGCTACTGAACTTCAATCTGTGATTTCAGTACTCAAAAGGGGATTTTATGGTCAAGATTATGGTTGATTTCATAAAAACATAGCAAGACTGGCGAGGATAGAACCATTAATATCGAAGGACATGTGGAAAATAAAACAAGCCTCCTCGTGATTTGATCTTGGCCCTGTCCTTCCGAGCCGGTGAACTTCTTCAGACCTGCCTGGAATCTTGCCTCCAGGAGAGCTGGCCTGATAGGAAAACACACTGTTTCTGTGTTTGTGCCTCCACGTCAGACAGACTCGAGTTCAGATCCTCACTATTTAACTAGCATGTGGCCTTGAAGAAGTTGGTCATTTTTTTAGAGATTTTTTTTTTCTGTATTGATTTTAGAGAGAGAGGAAAGGAGAGGGAGAGATAGAAACATTAATGAGAAAGAACATTGATTGGCCGTCTCCTGCATGCCCCCACTGGGGATTTGGCCCACAACCTGGGCATGTGTCCTGACCAGGAATTGAACCGGCGATTTCTTGGTGCATGGGTCAACACTCAATCACTGAGCCACACCGGCCGGGCAAAGTTTATAATTTTTTTAAGCCTTGGTTTCCTCATTTGTTAAGTGCTTAAGGTAAAATAATATTTACATCACGAGGTTATTGTGGAGTAACTAAATAATGTCTGCAGCCTCACACAGTGCCCATCCCAGTGTGTGTCCAGTGAGAGCAAGCTATTTTTATCACTGGCTTCCCTATAGCAGATGACATTTGCTGAGATCTTGGCAGAATCTCGGTCATGGTTTTATCAAGTTGCCATTCATTCAACGCGCATGCTGAACACCTCCTCTGTGTCAGAAACTGCTAAGCAGAAACTGCTAAGTCTAGAGATGAAGAAGGTAAATTCAAAGGTGACTAAACTACAGTGGCTCCACCCTGGGAGTTACTAGGCTGGAGGGGGAGAGAGATGTATATAATCCAAGAGTCAAGCCACTGTGTGAAATGTTACAACTGAAGACTAGTCCCAGTGCCCGGGAATGCAGGGGGTGTGTGGACACCCGGGAAGGGATGGGCACTCTGCGTGGGAGGGATGCCAAGTGGAGAGAAGCTGAGTTGGGAAAGGGCGTGGAGGATGCGCGGGAAGGGTCAGAGTCTCCTCTGTTCCGCTGCGGGAGACAATGTGTTCGTGCATTAGGCACAGCCAAGAGAACCCTCCGCCCCACGAAGAGACCCCACTCATTAGGAGTACTCTGAGTTTCTAGAGCTCCTTTGGTGTTGCAGGAGAGGGTGCCAGCCTGCTCTGCCAGGCTGACCTTGTCCCTCCCTCCCCAGGTCTCTCCAAGAGAAACGGCATCCATGGCCCTGATCCTCTTCACCACGACGGTCCCTCCGGTGCTGCCCGCGGCCCTGACCACGGGCATCATGTATGCGCAGAAGAGGCTGAGGGAGAAGAAAATCTTCTGCATCTCCCCGCAGAGGATCAATATGTGCGGGCAAATCAACCTCGTGTGCTTTGACAAAGTATGAGCTCAACTTTCCGGGTTGGAGGTCCACGATTTTAAGGCATGGCAGAGCTGGGAAGGGCCTGGGAGACGGTCTAGTCCGGCACCCCCACTTTACAGGTGGGGGGCCAGGGAAGGCCGCGCGTGAGCTCGTGGGGGATCTCGCTCCAGCCCCGCGGTGGTCGGTGCGCTGCGGCGGGCGGGCGGGGCAATGCGAGAATGGAAACATGCACCTGTCTACCAGTCAGGGCACCGACTCCTTTCCCTCAGATTGGCAAGTAATAAAAGGACAGCAGCCAACACAGCAAGAGCCATTTGGTGAGAAAGAATCAAAGTTATACCTATTTTTCTTTGGTCAGATTGGCAAAATGCCTATTTTTTGGTGTGCTGCCGAATTTTAGTAATTAACGTCTGTGTGCCAGGAGAGGGAGAAGGGTGAACAGGGCTTTTCTGGAATTCGCTTTCCTGAGTCCCGAGGAAGGAGGTCAGCCGTCCTGTCTTGAATTTCTTTCCTGTGACATTTGATGCTTTGTGTTCATGTTTTGGGTTTCAAAACAATCTCTTATTGTAATAACTTGTAGGACTGACTGGCTTTTTCAGTTAAAAAGTATAAGGGGCATTTCGGGCCCCTAACGTGCTTTGTCCTCAGCGTAAGTGAACATATTTGTTCCTCCTCCTCTGCTTCTAAGGAAGAGGCGGGAGTGGATGGGCCCCTGGCTGTGCTCGCTGGCCTGTCTTTTCTCCTTTGCGCCCCAGGTTTTCAGGACTCGGGACCAGGAAGGTTGTTTCTATGCTTAGGGCCCTGGAATGGTGGCAGAGGAGGAGGAGTTTCAGATGGGACACAGTCCTGCTGGACAGGTCCCGAGACCACTTCTTCCTCCTACGGAACCGGGTGGGACTTCAGAGTCAGCAGTCAGGGTGCAGGCTGTGTCCCCGGCTCAGGCAGGCCAGCTTCACTGCTGTAACGCGATGGGCCTGTTCTCTCCACGTCTGTTCATTTGCATCTGGATAAGAGATAGAGGCTTGGCCACTTTTTAATTAACCCACATTGATAGCGAGCCCCTTTAATGAGTGGTTCCTAGCTCTTGAGAAGTTCGTGGTGTAGCTAAGGAAGCAGTTAAATGGAAGTGCAGGTAATAATAGTGCAGTGAGATGCGTGCTTAATATGGGTATGAGCGAAGCATCGAGGTGCAGTTACCTGCCACAGGTGGCGGTCACCTCTGAGCTTGGCTTTGGTGGTTAGACAGATGGGCCCCAGACTCAGAGCTGAGCAGCTCAGAAGCACCGGGAGGTGAGGGCCTGTGGCAGGGGGTGGGGGATGGGTTGTCAAGTTCACTGTGGTGTGGCTGGACTGTGGGCTGTTTGTAGAGAATGTAGCTGGAGAGGAGGAGCCTGATTGCTCAGGGCCTGATGTGTCAAACTAAGCAGCGGGGCCTTGTCATGAAGCGAATGGGAACCCTTCTCATTTTTCAAGAAGACCAGTGACATTTTTATAGGTGCCTTCTGGTTACTCCAACTGGGAGAATTGGTAAGAAGGGATAGAGGGGGCATAGGGCTGAAGCAGGACGCTACCTGGGGGCAACTGAAGAGCTCACTCATTGTCCTGGACAAGGGGCCAAGAATGGAGAGTGACACCATGAGCAGAACTGACAAGTCTTCACCCCCAGCCAGAAGTGGCATCATTCTTAGATTATTTTAGTTCTGTTCTTTTTGAATTTCCTTTGGCAAAGAAAGTCCTCTATTGCCACCAGGGAGAAGCCAGTTGGGTTAACTTAACAGTAGATTCCTTTTAGATTCAGGGCAGATGGCCGCCCTTTGGATATTTTCTGATAGGGATTCCCATTACTTACCCAGTGGCCTCACTAGTGTCTAGAATATAGGAGGAAGATTTATAAAATTTGTTCATTATATTTGGCTATTTCTAAAGCTAATTTTACACAGGGTGTTTGTCTTACTTCCCATACAAAGCGTTTCCTCCCCATCCTCCTGTGCGCCTTTGCTAGTCTGTGTTAGGGACCACTCTTCAGCATGCTTGGCTAAATTCCTGGTGGCATGACAGCATGTCATAATGCACAGAAATCTTGATAGAGAGTTGGCAAAATGAGGAAACAAATCCTGAATTTGGTACTAACTTTCTGCGTGACTTGAGATAAGAAGATTGAACTCATCTTTAAGTTTCTTTCTACCTTTCACAGTGTAAAGCTCTTCCAGTGTGAGGCTGGAATGAAGCATTCTCTAATTAATTGAATTTCCTTCTAGTGCTATTTTCATTTAGAAGATATTTACCACTGGGCTTCCGAGTGCACGTGTTCCCATGTATATCTCAAGTTGACGTTGGTTGGCTGGAAGTTCTCTAAAACAAGTTCTCTCTTTCCTATTCAGTTCAGCCCAAGCCTGGGCTAGTATTTATGCTGAGAAGTTTGCTTTTTCTTTCTTTCTTTTTTTTAACCCTCACCCAAGGACATTTTTCCATTTACCTTCAGATAGAGTGTGTGAGAGAGAAAAACACCGATGTGAGAGAGACACCTAGACTGGTTGCCTCCCGCATGACCCCTACCAGGACCGGGGACTTAACTGCAATGGAGGTACGTGCCCTTGACCGAAATCGAACCCGTGACTTTTTGGTTTATGGGCCGACACTCTAACCGCTGAGCCAGACCAGCCAGGACGCTAAGTTTTCTTTATCTATTTTATTCTCTTTGGAACCTCAACTATAACTTAGGTTTTTTTCTATTTTTATGGTCAGTTTTATTGTCTAATGGTTGTTTTCACACAGATAAATAACATGGTCCCATTTCCGTTTGCTGCGGTACCATCTCTGTTTTCATGTTCAAAATATTGATGTTTAAAAAACATGATCTAATCACCAGGAAAACATCTCAGTTTGGATTAAGTTGCTAAGTCATTTTGAAATGGAACAACTCCGGGGGATTTGGAAACACACAGGTTGAGTTTCTTACAAGATGCAGGAGGGAAATGAAGCAAATAGCTTTCCTTGCTGTTCTTCAAGGAATAACTCGCACAGGCATGTTAGCTTTCGATGAAGACCAAATAAATTAATACAACAAAGATTCCTTAATTCATTAATCTAGAAATCAGTATGGGCTTTGTCCTTCCACATGCTTTGCCAAATCCATTTAACATTTGTCGTCTAGTGGAAGACTCTAGACACCTGGATCCTGGTTCTTTCTTTCCAGTTTACAGGCTCTGGTGCCCTGGGCTGCTCCATTCACCTGTAGCCTGAGACCATCTCTACCCTATTGACTGAGCTGTCAGAACTAAAGGCGCTGTGAGCACTATGCTCTTATGAGTGCTGAAATAACAGAAGATGCCATTTGTAGAAAACTAGAAAATTCAATGTCTGATACTGAGGTGACTTTTAAAAAGTGCTGTCGGAGACCTGGGTCAGTGTTGAGACAGGATGTCATTCCCCAGCACCTGGTGGGGCTCTGCTCGGTCTTGATGCTGAAACAGCAGCAGCCAGCTCCTCACTCTGAGCGGGTGTAAAGCGGACCGAAAGCTGCTCGCTTACCTACTGCAGACATTGGGGTCGGTAGTTAATGATCAACTGTGAAACAATGAGCACATTAAAAGTGCTATGATTGTACTCAGTTCTGTTTTAAATGATCTGTTTCGTTTTCCAATAAATACTGTCCCATAATATAGCTAATCAAAACTCCCCGCCCTTTTCCTCTTGACCTAACACTAAAATCCATTCGGGGACCTTCATTAATATCTATTTAGCACGTTGTTGTTCTTTTGAGTCTCAAAGCCCTTTATCCACATTTTATTATCCACCTGGAAAGTCACCATGTTGCCCGTATTTTAGCAAATTGTGTGAACCGGATGGCAGACTATGAACTAAATAGTCTCAAGAAGAAAAAAAATTCAGAGCTCTGCTTCAGAAAGATAACAAGTGCCAACAAAAGTCAAAGCTGGTTCTTATTAGCTATCCATTCACTGAACCGCTCTCATTTAACAAGTCAAAACATTAACAAACAAAAGCAAATCGCTTCCATTCTGTTGTAATGGTTAGTAATTACAGTCGTCTAATTATCCACACGGTCTTTTGGGAATCAGTCATTTGTCACCTGCTGAACCTTTCTTTCAGGCACCTTCTCTGATTTCAAATGTGATGCTTACATAGAGGAGGGCTTTGGACAACTAGATCCACTTTAATTTCTTGGGAACTTGGGTTTTGCCTGAGTCATGGTATAATTAAAAGCTCTAAATCATATGCTAATACCAATTCTAATAATTTTTTCCAGACTGGCACTCTTACAGAAGATGGGTTGGACCTCTGGGGGACAGTCCCCGCCGCTGACAACTGGTAGGCACCTTCGTGAAGAAGGAATGTGTAATTGGTGAGGCTGCCTCGGAGCTGCTCAGATCCATCCTTCCAGTGTGGAGGGATAAATGTCTCATAAAATATGTATAATAATTGGCTGGAACCAGCTCCCAATTATCCTAATTTTTTAAATTAAATGTGTTCTAATTTCAGAATCAGACAGGGAAAGTAGGTCTTCAAACGCCACATGAAGAATGGAATAGAATTAGGTCAACGATTAAGAAGCTGAATGAGTGAAACAGAGAAGCGAAGAGTGAAAGCAGGACGGGGCTGAATTAGAAACTGCTAAGACCCCTGGGCAGTCAGTGTGGGGCCGATGCGGAGAGAAAGAGCTCCCTGTCTTCCCTGCGCGTTCACACTCCAGTGGGGTAGAAATGTGCAAGTGCACCCGCCTCAGCACACAGCCCAGGCTATGGAAAGGGTCACCATTAAGGCACACATCTCAGAATCAAGAAGTAACAATAATTGCGTGGTGTAATACATAGTCCTGGTTTTTATAATAACATAGTAGATAAAATGTAGACATTAATTTTGAAAATGAGTGGATCAAGGAAAACCCCCCGAAGGAGACGGCATTTGAGAAAGGTTTCGAAGGGTGTCTGGCTAGAATCTTTGTAGCCGTGGGCTGAAAGCTGGCACTAGGGAGGCTGGGGGCAATCACAGAGATGCTCTGCCAGAACAGAGCTAGAGGGTGGAAGGAGTATCCCTCCCCGGGAGTGCCAGGAGCTTCTCCATCCCCTCCCTGTGAAGCTGAGACCTGCCTTCTGAGTCTGAGTGGGGAGACCTTTCCTCCTAAGCTCTGGGTACCCTGCCTTGGCTCCCAACAGGGGCTGAGGCTGCTGTCACTGAAGGAGTCATGGTACATCCCAAGATGGTGAGAGGGCCAGGCGCCATGCTGGCAGAGTAACAGCAGGCAGGCAGAGGACCCTTGCTCTGGGCCTCAGTGCACTACCTGGGCTCCAGCCCCACTTCCGCGTCTCTGCTCCTGGCTGCCTAGAGGTCCAGGCCAGGCCTTTGTCCAGGCAGGCAGGACCTCTACTGGTCAGAGTCATAAAAGGGGAAAAGGATGTTTGCAGTTTGCACCCCGCCTCTCTCTCCCTTGCCCCTAGTACTCTGAAAATTTGGGGGAAGTGGAAGCGACTCAATACAATTACTATTTAGCTCCAAGATTGGAGGAGAGGAAGGTAAACCAAGCCAGTTCACTGTCAAAGAAGAAAACGGCTTCAGATGTGGGACATCTGTGCCAGGAATTGCAGGGAACAGGGGCGAAACCCTAAGAGCTGAGTGGAGAGACATATTTCAGTCCATGCATGCTTTTACCTGAAGGAACCACCAGGCAGGCTCCCTTTTCATCCCCACTAGCTCATTGGCTTAGGGACCTCTTGCCTGCGGTGTGTGGCTTTCCAGAGCCAGCTCTGGGGAGTTTGCAGGAATCAGCTCTGAGCCTTACAATGTGCTTTTCTGAAATTCTGCCATCATGTGGACTGGCTGCAAGTAACCAGACAAAAGTCCCTTTGATTCTACATGCTGAAATTACAGTGTTGATTGACTAGTGGCAAACTGTTGAAAGGGAATTCACATCCATCTCAAAGGAGGGTTTTATGAAGAGCAATCTGCAGGCAGAAGACTCCAGGTAGAAAAGGAGAAAGCCAGGTGAGCTGACACCTGCAAACTCCCCAAGGGCTCAAGGGCAGGGCAATAGCTGTGCAAATATAGAAATAGCAAGAAGTTTAATTTGGCTCTGGAAAAACTGCATGAAGGATGCTAGTAGGAGTAGAATCTGCAAGGTAACAGAACTGGAGCAGACAGGGCCTCGAATACCAGGCTCAGGAGTTTGGACACCATCCCCATACAGGACATGGGGAGCTACTGAAGGTGGTCAGCATAGGGGGTAGGTATTACTGAAGCTCTATGTAGTAAGATTTAAGGGGCACAGCTGCACAATGATTTTGTTGAAGACCTTAACTTATTAATCATCTCTACCAGTTTTCAGGAAGGCCACAACTTTGCCTCGGGCAGGGCTTTGCCGTGGGGCCCACTGTGCGCTGCCATGGCCAGCTGCCACTCTCTGATCCTTCTGGACGGGACCATCCAGGGAGATCCACTGGACCTCAAGATGTTTGAGGGCACTGCCTGGGTAAGATGATAGTTTATTGCTTGAACTGAATGAGGAAAACTTGAAGAAACCCTTCCTAGGAATGCTAAAGCTTTTCTAACTTTAGTTGAAACCCAGAGAAAATTCGTAGTAATGTGCAAATGAAGTCTGATGCTACCCAAATTTCCCAATCCCTGTGCCAAAGAACTCTTAGTGAGTGCAACATGAAATAGCGTTCCATGATCAGATGAATTTGGGAACTGCTGTTTAAACAGACTTAAATCAATTTCTTGACTGCAAGATTTCTTTACTATACTGTGGTGCATTGTCAATATTCAAGAGAAATGATGAAATGCCACATTTCCCAAATCTACTTGACCACAGAAACCTTATTGACAGGCCAAAACATGTTTTGGAGAAAACATGTTTTTCAACACATCCTCAGAGAAACAGTAGACTACAGCAGTGTTGTCCAATCTCATAACCCTGTATCACGTGTGGCTAATGAGCATTTGAAATGTGGCTATGCAACTGAGGAACCAATATTTTATTTATTTTAATTTACATTTAAGTTTAAATAGCTACTAGTGGTTGGTAGCTACTATATTAGACAGATAGGTCTATACACCGAATGGGAGGGCTCTCAATCCAGCTGGTTCCGTTTTCTGAACTCAGTGTGAATGGCAGCTGAAGGTCAGAAACCCATCCTGGCCGCTGTCGTGACAATGTGGGAAGACCTCTCAACTCCACCATTCTCCGGATGTAGACCCCACTCTCAGAACTGAGACTGCGTCTGTAGGTCACCGTGCATTTGAGATAACAAAGCCTCACTTACGGACTTGTGGTGAGCATGGAGAATGTGAGCCCTGTGTATTGTAAAGTGCTCAATAAATGGAGAGTATTTATTAGTTAGTTACATTCTCCTGCCCTCCAAAAAAATGTTCTCAGGCTACTTACAATGATACATCAACTACAGGTCAGCATTTTAAAAAGAGCTGTAAAAACAAAAAAAGGAAACAAATGATTGTAGGGACATGCAGTGCATCTCACAAAAAGGTTCATCTAAAGGTGTATACTAGGAAAAGTGTAGCTTTCTAGAGGCCAAAGTAATAAGAGAAGAAAACTGGTAAAAAGGGGAAATGTCTGATCAGCAAGTTATCATTAAAGCATTTGTTTTAGAGACATTTTTGACACCAAGATAAAACAGTACTCACTTTCTTGGACCTTAATGGAGAAGAGTCAGTGTAATTATTACCAGCAGTGTCTTAGCAGCATCACTGGAATGGACACAGCAGTGACTGCCCAGGGCAGATGTCACTGCATGCGGCTTTGACCCTGGTTCCAGCAGTGCGTCCTTTCCATTAGCAAAGGGCTGACTATCTTCACAAAGACAGATGAGTTAGGGTCTTGTGTGGAAATATACATCTTTAGTATTGGTTCTGTAAGAACTGTTTATAAGAAGAGTTCTATCCACCCCAAACAAAGCATAAAAGTGCAATAATATTCATCGCGTTTAAAGCTGGGTGAGGAGCAGCCTTGAGTTCATCATCTATGGTAGTCAGGAACCTTTCACTACACATAAAGGGGAAGGACTATGTCCTTATAGATTGTAAGGATTTTAGCACTAAGGGATGGTAGGCTATTTTTCAGAAGAAACTGAGATCTAGAAAGATGAACGGATATTTCCAAGGTTAAACAGACGAGAGTGGTAGAGCAAAAACCAACTGTTGTCTTCTATTTCCTGACCTTCATTATGTGTATATCTGACCACATTTCCCATATATCAGGTGAATATTAGTTTCTCAGATGCTATGACTTATATTGCTATAATATCCAAAAAATGCACACCGTTTTAAAGTATGCTTTCTAATTTTCTGGCGGCAATCTTGCTAACTCTTTCGCTAACCAGTCAGGCTAAGGAACATAGATATAGCATCAGAAATAGTCCCATGTTTGTCTCAAGACCCAATCCTAGCTCATCTGAGAGTTAATGTGCTCAGCTCTATTGAAGAGTAAATCTCCACTTAAACCCTCCTTCAATGACTAGACATACCATTTCGGAAGAGCCATCGGCCTGCAGCTCACCCTTCTTCCATCAGCTACTACTTAAAATGCAGTCACAATATTTCTGGCTTTTTGACACTCTACAAAAAGACCCTTTAATGTAAATCAGCACAACAGAAATTTGACAAGTGTGTATTAAGATAATTGGCCTAGAAGAGAAAGTATGTGAGAAGGGCTTTGAAAAGATTAAAGTGCTATGCAAATGAGAGAAGTTTCTTTCTTGTTATTTTTCCCTGAGGAATCTTATGAATGTTTTTATTTTACAACAGATAATGGAAGATTGCAATGTAGAATGCTGCAAATTTAGAACGTCAGACTCCAATATAATAATAAAACCAGGACCGAAAGCCAGTCGGGTATGATTTGCTTCTTTAAATCATGTAGTTCTTTCCCCTTAAAACTGATGAAACTCCGCTGAATTTCACATCTTTGTATTCCTATTGTTTTGTCTTATCCAAACAGTGTCCATACTTGGTTTGCTCATTCTCTTATTCCTGAATTTATCCATAAATGTTTTCAACACTCCCTGAGTACAAATATATGCTAGAGCACTGTGCTAGGTGCTAAAGGACAGAGTGACTTCAAAGTTGGACATGTTGGGCTTTCTGTTGGAGGAGCACATGGGCTAGTAGAAAAATTAGTAGAGGTACAATAAGTGTAATACAATGTGCCAAATGCTGTAATAAAGGCTGAAGATAGGAGTCCAGAGGTGGGAGTGAATACTGTTTCTGGGAGAGAGAAGCACCACAAGGGAGGGGTGACCTGTGCACTATAGGCAGCCAAAGGAAGGGCCTTGCAGACCAGACAACTTGATGAGGAAATTGCCTTCGAGGCAGCCAGCAAAATACCAGTGTTGTGACAAGTGTATCTCTTCATGATGTCCCTGAGCTCATTGCAGAGGAAACCCTATTTGTTGGCACGCACCTGCTAAATCTCACATAAAAGGTGCTTGAACGCCCCTGTCTCGGTCCCCTCTCAGAGCCCGGTGGACGCCATCACCATCTTGCGCCAGTTCCCATTCTCATCGAGCCTGCAGAGGATGTCCGTGGTGGCTCAGCTGGCAGGGGAGGATCACTTCCACGTCTACATGAAGGGTGCCCCTGAGATGTTGGCCAAGTTCTGCAGGTCTGAAACAGGTACTAACGGACACATTTCTTCTTCAGGAGTGGATGTGTTTTAAAAGTCCAAACACATAAAGCCAACAAGCGTAAGTCAATAAATATGGAGGTGGTTGTTTTCTTGGTGGGTAGGAAATGGGACCAGTAGCGTTGAGGCAGACACAGTCATTTCAAGACAAAGAAGCAGAGAGTAAATACCCAGCTCTTGTCCAACCAGAAAAGCCCAACCACAATGGGATATCAAGGAAGGAGAGGCCAAGCAAGCATCAGGAGCCAGAATAAGAAGCTACACAGGGCTCAGAGGACCAGGGTGGGTAGACAGTGCATTCCAAACAGGGAATCAACAGGACAGGTAGGGACATGAGACCAAGTCTACAGAAGGGGTGCTCCATCACCTCCTGGGGGGCTGGCACCACTTAGGGGGCCTCAGAAATATTGATGGAAGGAGAATGTAGAAAAGATAAATCTTTTAGAAAAAAAAAAGGTGATTATAGTAAATTAGATGGTATTAGACCAAGGTAATTGATCATTTTCACCATAATTTCATCTTTCTGGGCAGATTTTGAGCTGATTTGTATTGTTTCTTAATCGTATAAACATATACACCCTCTAAGCAGCAGCCCAGATTTATAAGAATACTGTTGCATTCAAATGAGTTCATTTGGTTAAAATTGGCCTTTTTCTTTTGATTTTCATCTATATTCTCCTTGTGATTGCTGATATCCATCAACTTGTACACAGAATTTTTGATTTGGCAATGATTGCTTTAACTTCTCCCTCGACTTGGAGTCTTTTGTACCTTAGAAGTGCCCCCTTATTTCTGGCTTTGATCTTTATAGCTCCCACTAACTCTATCCTTTACAGACTGATGACCTATACTTTGCTTTTCTTGTGTTTTTGTGACCTTCAGTGTGACTTTACGTTTGCCTCCCTTTTCCCTCCCGGCAGTGCCCAGGAATTTCCCACAGGAGCTGAGGAGTCACACAATGCAAGGCTTCCGTGTCATTGCCCTTGCCCACAAGGCCTTGAGCATGGGGAAGCTTTCGGAAGTGGAGAGTTTATCTAGGTAAGAAACTCAGAAATTGGCTCTGCATGGGTGAAGTGAAGGAGTCCTGAAGATGGATGGGTGGATAGCTCAGATCATTAAGAAAACTTCGAGATGAAGACTCAATATCATTCAGTCCCCTGACTCAGAGATGGCAACTGTGAGCCATACTGGGAGGACTCAATTAGGTCATGATACTGGTTAGTGGCAGAATAAGGATGGTGGTTGAAATGCTAGTGAGTTCTCTCTGCCCTGAATTCCATCATCCCACCAGAAATGACCAACACTTCTTCGTGTCTTACATGTGGGGCTACATACAAAGGAGTTGGGGGAAGGAGACAGTTGGCACTTGAAAGCCCTCCAAAATCCTTTTAGATTTGGCTTCTTTCAGGGCTCAGTAATATACCTCTCTCAGATGTGGAGATGTCGTGAGTGCAAAATGAGTTCCTTATATGGATTAGAATTCAGTATCCTTAATTACATTAAGGGGATGAATTATCATCATTAAGGGATAATCATAGGTTCTTTTTTCTTTTAATGTTTCTCAATTTTTAAAGGCTGTTTTGGAATTGTCTATGACGAAGAAATAGAGAAATACTGTGAAAAGTTGAATAACGAATCATCTATGCATCACTTTATTTTTGATTTTGTGTTGCTGATAGAGATATACTTTTATGTAAAATTAGCTCCCCTGCAAAAGATATGGGCATTCTTGCTTCAATGTTAGTATTTATAACATAAGTCCATCTACTCTAATATAATCAGCAATTAGTGTCCCTTTCTGACAGTGACAATTTCCCCTATCCATAAAATGTAGAATTGGATGGTCTCTCAGGAGCCTTTCAGCCACCACATTTTAATCTTCCAAATAGAAGCACAAAGTTCATTTTGAAATATATGAATGGCACGCTCAGATTTAACATTCAAGGTGTTAGTTATTCTTGAGCAAGCATAAAGACCCCTCACACACTGGATTTTATAATTTTTCAAGACACAAATTTTAATAACGAACATTAAGATCATGTGTGAAGGGAAGATTTATGTGACTTGACATGGAATGTAGCCACCCCCCAGCTGCCGCACACAAATGCAGCTGTGATGTTCTTATTTAAAAGCCACCAGTGAGATAGACTTTACTGTAAATTTACCACAATAAAAATATGAGGGGAAAGTGTGCCCGATTTCTAACCATCTCAGGTTTTCCAAGAGAATACCAGGAGTATATTATGCTTCTTGGATGTATGTACTATTTTCAGACAGGATAAAGGAATAGGGTTTTGATATTTTTTAGAATCAAATTATATTTAGCAACGTTTTCCAATTCGAAAATTAAAAATCTTAAAAAAAAACCTGCCTCCCGAAAAGGAAGTAGAAGAGTTTTACGAGATGACTTAGAAAAAACCAACAAAACCCAAGCTAAAAAAAACGGAAGAGTCTTTTATCAAGATCTCCCCTTTCACTGGTTTAGAAACGTTCTATTGAGCACTACTGTGTGAGATGCTCTTTGAGGCCCTGAGGACTCAGAAATGAATAAAATAAATCCTTGCCCTCATGTGCTTAAATCCTAACGGGGGAAATAGATAATAAAGCATATCTATACAATATTGTCAAATAGTGATAAATGTGCTGAAAGAAAAAATAAAGCAGGTGGAGAGGATTTTACAAAAATGACAGGAGATACCATTTCACATGAGTGATCAAGGAGGTCCGCTGGGGAGGTGACCTTGAACAGAGATTTGAGTGAAGTAAGGGAGAAGGCAGGCAGATATCCAGAGGAAAATTTTGCAGGCAGTAGGAATAGCAGACACAAGGGCCCTGGTATGGGCTTTTTCTGGAAATGTAGAGTCACAAAGAGCCAAAGGGCATGAAACAGTAAAGAGGAGAAAGAGTTATAAAATAGAGATGAAAACCGGAATACATTGGTGAGAAGATTTTTGGATTTTTTTTTTTAGTTCTAGTTAATGAGGAAATAGTAATCCAATTTATAATGGAAATTCATGAAGTTAAATGGTGGGGTTTTAACAAGTTCTGTATTAAGGTTCATTTTTCTTTGTGCTATTTTCTGAGATCACTAAGGCAGGATTTATATCTGTTTATTTGAATATTCACCAAAGTGCCCAGTATAAGATCTAAAATAAAGTAGTTACTTACTGAATGGACTTTTTTTTAAAAATTATTTATTTTTGTTATAGATGTTTCTCCTTTTCTCCCCACTGATTCCCGCTCCCCCACCCACCCCGCCCTGTCCCCAGCTTTGTTGTCCATGTCCATTGTTCGTGTACACATGCATATAAGTTCTGTGGTTTCTTTCTCCCCCACCACGCCCTCTTCTGGGGATTGTCAGTCTGTACCCCACTTCCACATCTCTGGGACTACCCCATTCCTCATACTAATGTAATGTTATGTTCATTACATTCCACAAATAAGTGAGATCATATGATACTTGTCTTTCTCTGTTTGGCTTGTTTCGCTTAGGATAATACTTTCCAGATCCCTCCATGTCATCCTAAAGGATAAGAGATCTTTCTTTCTTACAGCTGCATAGTACTCCATTGTGTATATGTACCACTGCTTTTTTTCCATTCATCTACACATTTGGGCTGTTCCCAGATCTTAGCTATTGTAAATAGTGCTGCTACAAGCATGGGGGTACATATATTCTTTCTGATTGGTGTTTCCGGCTTCTTAGGATATAGTCCTAGAAGTGGGATCACTGGGTCAAATGGAAGTTCAATTTTTAACTTTTTGAGGTAACACCATATTGTTTTCCATAGTGGCTGCACCAATCTGCATTCCCACCAGCAGTGTACTAGAGTCCCCTTTTCTCCACACCCTCGCCAACACTTGCTGTTTGATGATTTGTTGATGGTGGTCGTTCTGACAGGTGTGAGGTGATACCTCATTGTTGTTTTAATTTGCATCTCTCTGATGATTAGTGATGTTGAGCATTTTCTCATATGTCTCTTAGCCATTTGTATGTCCTGTTTGGAGAGGTGTCTGTTTAGTTCTTCTGCCCATTTTGTAATTGGGTTCTTTGTTTTCCTTTTGTTGTATGAGCACTCTCTATATATTGGAAATTAATACCTTATCTGATATATCATTGGCAGTGATGTTCTCCCATACAGTGGGTTGCCTTTCCATTCTGTTGGTTGTTTCTTTTGCTGTGCAGAAGCTTTTGAGTTTCATGTAGTCCTATGTGTTCATTTTCTTCTTTGTTTCTATTGCCTTAGGTGATGTATCAGTGAAAATTCTGTTGTGTATGATGTCTGAAATTTTGTTGCCTGCGTTTTCTTCTAGGATTTTTATGGATTCATGAGTCACATTTAAGTCTTTAATCAAATGAATTTACTCAAACTTGCATATGTATGGTGTAAGTTTATGGTCTAGTTTCATTTTTTTACATGTAGCTGTCCAATTTTCCCAGCACCATTTATTAAAGAGGCTGTCTTTACTTCCTGTATGCTCTTGCCACCTTTGTCAAATATTAATTGAGCATATTGCCTTGAGTCCATTTCTGGGTTCCCTGTTCTGTTCCATTGGTCTATATGCCTGTTCTTGTGCCAGTACCAGGCTGTTTTGATTACAGTGGCTTTGTAGTATAACCTGAAATATGGTAATGTGATTCCTCCAACTTTGTTCTTCTTTTTCCAGATTGCTGTGGCTATTTGAGGTATTTTTTGGTTCCATATGAACGTTTGAAGTATTTGTTCTAGTTCTTTGAAGTATGTCGTTGGTATTTTTATGGGGATTGCATTGAATCTATAGATTGCTTTGGGTAGTATGGACATTTTAATGATGTTGATTCTTCTAATCCATGAACAAGGTATATGCTTCCACTTTTTTATATCTTCCTCTATTTCTTTTTTCAATGACCTGTAGTTTTCTGCAAATAGGTTATTTATTCCTTTGGTTAAGTGTATTCCTAGGCATCTTTATTTTTTTTTGCCATGATGGTAAATGGGATTTTTTTTGTTTCTCTTTCTGTGAGTTCATCAGTGGTGTATAAGAACGCCATCGATTTCTTGATGTTAATTTTGTATCCTGCTACTTTGCCAAATTCATTTATTTAGTCTAGTAAATTTTTGATGGAGTCTTTGGGGTTTTCTAAATATAGTATCATGTCATCTGCGAATAATGACAGTTTCACTTCTTCCTTTCCAATTTGGATCCCTTTTATTTTTTCTTCCTGTCTGATTGCTGTGGCTAAGACTTCCAGTACTGTGTTAAATAAGAGTGGTGAAAGTGGGCATTCTTGTCTTGTTCCCGTTCTTCAGGGAAATGCTTTTAATTTTTGTTCATTGAGTATGATGTTGGCTGTAGGTCTTTCATACATGGCGTTTGTTATGTCGAGATATGATCCCTCTATTCCCAGATTGCTGAGTGTTTTTATCAGAAATGGGTGCTAGATTTTGTCAAATGCTTTTTCAGTGTCTATTGATATGATCATATGATTTTTATCTTTCATTTTGTTTATGTGGTGTATCACATTTATTGATTTGCGAATATTGTACCAGCTTTGCATCCCTGGGATGAATCCCACTTGGTCATGGTGAATAATTTTTTTTGATGTATTGCTGGATCTGATTTGCTAGTATTTTGTTCAGGATTTTGGCATTTATGTTCATCAGAGATATTGGTCTGTAGTTTTTTTTTTTCTTTGTAGTGTCTTTTTCTGTTTTGGGAATTAGAATTATGCTGGCCTCATAAAACGAGTTTGGAAGTCTTCCTTTTCTTGAATTTTTTGAAATAGTTTGAGGAGAATGGGTATTAGTTCTTCTTTGAATGTTCAGTAAAATTCCCCTTTGAAGTTGTCCTGGCTTGGGCTTTTGTTTGCTGAGAGAGTCTTGATTACATCTTCAATTTCTTTTGTTGTTATTGGTTTGTTCAAGTTTTCTATCTCTTCCAGGTTCACCTTTGGGAGACTATGTGTTTCTAGAAATTTGTCCATTTCGCTTAGATTGTCGAATTTGTTTCCGTATAATTGTTCATAATATTTGTTAACAATCCTTTGTATTTCTGTGGTGTCAGTTATTATTTCTGTGAATGAACTTTTGAGTGAAGGGTGTAGCACCTTAGAATCTACTCTGGAGGGAAGTGTTTCCATCCAACTTTGATTTGTATTTCCAAGCCTCCAATTTCAAATTCTGAAGACTGTTCAAATCCTTGGCTGATGTCATGAATTTATTGAAGGTTACAGGCAGAAGCTGAAATGAATGACATCATATTCAACTAGAACTACTATGCTGTATGTATTTAATAAGTGCATAATAAATTGAAATTACTTTAAGCTCAAAACAGATCTTGGAAATGAATAATATAAATGATTAACAATATTTTAAAAACCAACAAAAGAGTTGGAAGATAAGCACATGGTTTTTAAAAGTAGAGTTGAAAACTAGAGGCAACTTACAGGTATAAAGCTGCCACTGCCTCTGAGAAGTAGAAGACATGGTATAAAGACATGGTCTTTAGTTCTTATTATAAGCTTTTGTGTTCTTTAGGATTTATTAAACCTGAGTATATATTATATTGATAAACTTAGAAATTTTAAAAAGAAGAAATAAAGCCAACCCTTGAGACTATCTAAATAAGCTTTAATATTGACTTTCTCCTGAATCCAAAGAGAGACGGTGGAATCAGAGTTGACATTTCTAGGGCTTCTCATAATGGAAAATCGCTTGAAAAAGGAAACCAAACCAGTCTTGGAGGAGCTGAGAGAGGCCTGCATCAAGACCGTGATGATTACCGGTATGTGTTTCCAGAGGCCTGAAAAGTTGAATGTTTCCCAGGCATAAAAAAAATGGTGTGTGAGCTGAATGAGCTCATATGACTGAGGCAGAAAGAAAAATGCTTTGCTGTCAAGTTTGTTACCCTGTGGTACAGTTACCTGGAAACATGTAGCTCCTCCAACACCACTATTAGTTTTGGAGGCAGAAACCATATCTTATTTTCTTTGTCTAATGCCCACTCTTCCTACCCAGGATCAGCACACTGCTACAGGGCTCACAGTAAATGCTCAAACACAAGAATGGGTGTGTTTTCATTAATAACCGCAAAAGACCTCCTTGTACAGGATGTGAGACTTGGCGACTGTCCTTTGGAGCAGTGGAGACGGCATGGCACACATGATCAAATCCAAGCATGGCCCGGCGCTAAGGGTTCTTTTCTCTGCTTCACCGGAATCCCGAATCCCAAGGATAGTTTTATGCTATCAGATTGGGCCATATTACCTTCAGCACTAAGAAGTGAGGATTAGCCCTGGCCGGTTTGGCTCAGTGGTTAGAGCGTCGACCTGCGGTCTGGAGAGACCCGGGTTCGGTTTCCGCTAAGGGCACGTACCTCGGTTGCAGTTTGTCCCTGGCCCCGGTTGGTCGTGTGGGTGGCAGCCACTCGATGTGTCCCTTCACGTCGATGTTTCTCTCTCTCTCTGTTCCTCTCTCTCCCTCCCACTCTACCTGAACAAAGAATGGAAGAATGTCCTCGGGTGAGGATAAAAAAAAAAGAAAAAAAAGAAGAAGAAGTGAGGATTAGTTAGTCTCCTGAGGATTAGTCATCAAATGACAAACATTTATTCACTCATTTGTTCACGATACCACCATGCTACCTATGGTGGGAGGGAAATGCAGACATAGCAGTTGACCAGTAGGGGCAGACAGGCTGAGGCAGAAGGGAAGACAAGTGATTATAAAATGAGGCAGAAAGCAATAAATGTCCCCAAAGAACACCAGCAAAGTAGTATGGACACTCAGGAGAGGGGAGGCTCAATTCTGATTGCCGAGAGGTTTATGTATAAAAAAAACTTTCTTTGTCATCTAGGTGACAACCTGCAAACAGCCATTACTGTAGCGAAGAATGCCGAAATGATCCCGCAAGGGAGCCAAGTCATCCTTGTTGAAGCCAATGAACCAGAAGAGTTTGTTCCTGCCTCTGTGACCTGGCATCTTGTAGAGAACCAGGAGAATGGACCTGGGAAGAATGTGAGTAAACATTAAAAACTCCCTCTGTGACCTGAACTTACATAGTGTTGGCCCTGGGCAGCCTTCTCTTGGCATCACAAGTCATCCCAGTAATAATCCTCATATCTGTCCAGAGCTTTACAGTTTGCAAAGCTCTTAGCATTTCCACCAGCACTTTTCAGCCCCGGCTGGACACAGAAGTCACCTGGAAGTTGATTAAGCTTCCAATGCCAAGGCTCTACCAATTAAATCAGAGCCTCCGGGCTGGGAGCTGGCATCAGCCCTTCCTCTTGGTGTTTCCAATTTAGTCACGGTTGTGAATCACCAATTTCCATCCATAATTCCCATTTAATCCTTAAAGTCACCCTGTACAGTTGAGTAAACTATTCATTTTACGAGTGAGAAAACCGAGGCTTAGGGCTGAGGTAAGCTTTTCCAAGACATACAACTGGCAAGTTGCAGAGCAGGACATCAAATCCAGGTCTGTTTGATTCCACCCACATCATGGTATTTTAGATAGTGCTGTGCCTGTGGCATGCAGTTAACAGGTGTTGGCGTCTCTCGAGTGTAAGATCCCTATGTACTTATGACAGGACAGCTTTTTCATGTGAAGGAAATGGTTGCAGCCTGACAGTCCATCACTAAATACACCACCTCTTTCTTTGTGTGAATGCAAAGAGATGGTCCTCCAGGTGATACATTGCAAAAATGCCCTCTTCTTCCAGGCTGATCAGCCCTTTGGATTGTTAAGTATAGAATAGGTCTTTGTTCCGTACACAAACTGCTCAACTGTACAGAGTGGTACTGCCCCTACTCTGGGAAGAGGCACCTTGACTCAGTTCAAACCCATTGCATGGACTGAGAAGGATGACATCTCTCTCTCTGCCTCCAGCAGAGCCCTACATCAATGCATATTGCCTCAAGTCCACCGTGTGATGAAACTCATGTCCTCACTGATTTTTAACTAACGGTCCACTCACACTACCTCCTCCTCTCTGGATCCCCACCACCACACTGTCTCTCCCCAATTCTCATCAAAGCAGAAGGAATCCTGTCCTTGCCTCGAGTGGAAGGCTTCAGTGTGTGTGTGTGTGTGTGTGTGTGTGTGTGTGTGTGTGTGTGTGTGTTTGGCTATTTCATAATGGGAGTTGGAAGGGGGTAGACCTTGCCTTGCAATTTGGCACATCAAAATCTTTTTCTTTCCAAGCACAGTGCTTTCCCTAAGATGAATTCCTCTAATGAATAAAATTTTCTCACCTTTTATACTATCTGAATATTAAAGTCCTACACCAATGTAAGGCCCACTGAGAAATATAGCATGAAAAACTGTCGCATCTCACTGACATGATGAGTGCATATGTATTCATCAGATGCTCTCCTGTGGGGCTGGAACACACTGCAGGGGGACACCAAGAGGTGACGGACAGGAGGAAAGGGCTTTCAGAAAAGGAGTAGTGCTTTTGCAGTGAAATGTACGGTGTGGAAGATCTGGGCACCAGAAGGGAAAGGTTCCCTTCCAGGGTGGGGAGAGGTCAGGGGCTAGAAGAAATTAGGCTCTGTAAGAGTGTGCTTATTTTACAATGTAGACTGTAACATGGTTTTTGAAGGAATAAACCATAAGTGATCTTAGGAAATAAAAGGTTGCATGATGGGGAGAAAGAGGAAGTAAGAATGGTCTTGTTCCTCTTGGAATCACCAATTGGTACCTTGGAATGATTTCCTTGGTAGAATGACATCACATATATTAGCTTCCAGGACAGGATGCAGAGCATCATGTCGTCAAAGTATGGCATGTTCATATATTATTTGGGGAGACATTCTTTATATAAGTCTAAGTTCCATGGACAAATTACGCATGGGTTTCCTGCCCCTCACATGGTTATGAGACATGAATATACTTCATTTCAGAAAACATAGGAGAGCAGAGGGGTCCTTTAAGAGGCCAGAGCCCACATGCAAATGATTCCTTTTGATTGTAGGAAATCTACATTAACATTGGAAACAGTTCAGTGCCTCCTGGAGAAAAAGGGAGCAGTTATCATTTTGCAATGAGTGGGAAATCATACCAAGTGCTATTTCAGCATTTCAACAGCTTGCTTCCAAAAGTGAGTACTGGAGAAACGATGTTCTGTTTTCCTCCTCAAATTAGTGAAGGATAAAAGGGGAATAGAGCAGTGAAGGTGGCATCACTGAGCTCGTCTCAGATTCAGAGAATAAATTACCCTAATGGGGCACCAACCCCTTCCTAGGTTTCCTGGCCCCACCCATGCCCACCTGGTCCTGCAGGTGTGCACGGCCTCCTCTTCAGTGTTTAAGTTCTGGTATAGCCGGTGGCCCCCATTGATCCCAGCCTTCCTCCATCCCCAGCAGGGAGATCCTCCGAATAGTTGCAAACATGTTTTTGTTTTGTGAGCGAGCTTCTCTTTCAAAGACACCAACTCATGTCATGATGAGCTCTATTCCCCTTCCTGTCTGGATTCTTGAATTACAGCAGGAGGAAACAAAAGCCCCGTGGTTTCTTTTCAAAATCATTTGTTATCTTGTCCTTTGTGTGTGCATTTTAAAATAGCATTGTGCAGGGCTGTGCTGTCAGTGTGGAGGAGATAAGTGGAGCACACGCCGAGGGCAGCAACCGTCTTGAGAATTCTGCCATCTTACCCATCGAGGACCATAGAATCGAGACCCCAAAGGCTTCCAGAAAGCTGTTAGTCTAGTTCCTCGTTGTAGAGATGAGAAAGCCGAGACTCAGAGGTTGTCACTTGTTGAATGTTTGAACAGCTAACGGGGACAGAGCTGAGAATAGAAGCTTATTTCTCAACTCCGCATCTATTGCTCCTTTCTCTGTCTGGGCTGGAATTGTGGAGACAGGGTTTAGTAAAAAGAACTGTATTTCCTTAAGCATTTTTATCCCATAGGCTCTGCTGCTTTTTAGTTATTATTATTAATTTGGGGTTATCCCATCTTGGGAAAAATGGCCTGGAAAGAATTAATAGAGTTGTGATGGAGGACTGAGAGTAAAATTTAAATATTAAAGCATTAAATCCCTTTATTCCCTTTCCTGAAATTTGATCTAAGGACCTCTATCCAATGCTGTGTTCAAACAGTGGCCAGAAGTGATTTTTCAGGGCAGGTTTTTAATTTTATTCTTCATTCTAATCCAATTGCAAAAGTTGTTTTTCTCTTCAGATTCTGGTGAATGGAACCATTTTTGCAAGAATGTCTCCTGGGCAAAAATCAAGTCTTGTTGAAGAATTTCAGAAATTAAAGTAAGTGTTATTGCATGAATGAATAGTGTATTCACCATCTACTCTGTAACAAGTTACCCCAAAACTTAGTGACTTAGAATAGCACTGTTTATTATTTTATAATTCTGTGGGTCAGGCATCCAGGTGTGCTTGAGTGACTTTTCTGGCTGGCTCTGGGTCTCAAGGCTCTAATCAGGTGTCGGCCAGAGCTTCGGTCATCTCAGCACTTGAGGGGCATGATCTGCCACCAGCCTAACTCACACGTTGTTGATAGGACTCAGTTCCTTGTGGCTGGTTGGACGAGGAGTCTCTGTTTTCCACTGGCTATTGGACAGAAGCCACCCTCAGTTCCTTGCCCCATTAGTCATTTTACAAGGAAGCTCACAAGGTGGCCACTGGTTTCCATAACAATGAGCAAGGAAGAAGAATCAGAGAGAGACAGGGAGAGATCACCATTTTTTATATCTTCATCTCAGAAATGACATTCCATCATTTTCACTGCTTTCTCTTCATTAGCAACAAGTCACTAGGTCTGGCCACACTCAGGGAAGACCCTTACACATCCCAAGTACCAGGACAGTTTTAGAAGCTTTCTGCCCCAGAGAGCCATTGTTCTGTGGCCCACAGGGCGTATCTTGGAGGAAGACTGCTTATTTAGATGAAGAGAATAGAAAGAGTAGGAGCTTCTATAGCTCAGGATGGGAAAAATGGGGAAGTATGTGAGTTATCACCCAGAATTACTTGAGGTGGGTTCATTAGAAGATACGTGAGTAATTTCAGACCTTCCAGGAAAGAGAGGAATGACATTCTCACTGTGCCTGGGCCCTGGCAGGGAATGTGTCTAGAGGCCAAAGTAAAAAAGAAAAGTAAGTCCTTTCTTATCTCCTTCAAAAATAAAGATGACCAAGTCATGTCAGAATGAAATTGTTCTTCTTGAGACCAAATTACCTGTCACTTTCTGGGAATGTTATAATTTCTTGGCTACGGATTTCTGAAAAGTGAAAAGAAACTGTGAGTAGTAAAATGCTGATAAGTAGTAGGTGAAATTGGGAGACTGTCTTTTACTATTATTTTTTGTTGCCGAAGCATTCTTGGGGGAGTTTCAAAAACTGCTCGTTAACTCCCATAATGCCTTGAGTCTGGGTTAGTAACCAGTGTCTAAAATGACTATTTCACTTTTACGGTCATTATAGAATATTGGCTGATGAACGTAATGTTACCCTTCTCAAATGCCTAAGAAATTTTGCCAACTTAAATGCTTAAAGCTAAAAAGCTCTATTTCCCTAAGGAAAAAAAAAATCAATTCCAGAAGATATATGTTGTTTCAGAGTGAGCTGTCTTCTCAACTTTCCAGTTTTCTTCTTCATGCCTTTATCATTGGCATTGTGCATAAGGTTGTCTGAATTCTCCTACTGAATTCGGGGCACACTAGAATATGCAAAATTCCTTGTGTAACACGGAGACTAGAGATGTGTTTTAAAGCTGAAGAAAGAAAATCATTTTCAGCAAATGTGCATAGTGATGGCATGTACATGAGCACATACAAATACAGGGCGGTTTTCATTTTCTCTAGCCAAATAGGAAATTGTTTAATTGAACCAATTTGGGTCATTTCTAATAACTAATAATAAGGAATGTCAACCAGTAATAAGGTAATTCTCTAAAAACTTTATTTTTCCCTGTATTGATTTGATGTTTTTTGGTTTGTTTGTTTGTGTGGCAAATTGAAGCTGAGCCTTTAATATTAGTGCCATTAATCAATACCTATAGTGTTTTATTTACTTATAATAGAAGACAGAGTATGTCTCAAATCAGAAACTTTTTTCCCTTTGGCAACAGCTTTAATATTTACTCTTTTATTTATATCATTGTGTTGGCTCACCAAACTGGTATAATGGGAGCATATTATCTCATTTTCATTCCAAGATGCATCAAGAATAGGTGCATCTATCTCTAGTTATATCTGTTAAACTATTTCCCAAATGCCTCTCATCCTGCTGACCTCCCTCAGTAGCAGGCAGCTACCCAGCCACGGCGGATCAGGCTATGCTCCGGGCTCTGCCTGTGAACCCTTAAACTTCGCTGTGGTGGGTGTAATTAAATGGACTTCTTTTGAAGTATGTGATCATCTTTGTGGACTACCGTTTCCATGTGATTGATTGAAACAATTTAAATAATAGAATGGCCTATTCCTCTGGGAATATTTCTCTTAGCATTATCTTCCTGAAGCCTGATTCCACATGTCTTCCAGCCTCTCTCCCTCTCTCACCCACCCACCCACACACACACACACATTGCATATGCATTAGTTATGATGGATATTATTCAAGTAAGGTGTTGTTATTAATTTTTTTATCCTTTTCCCCTGCAGTTATTATGTGGGCATGTGTGGAGATGGAGCCAATGACTGTGGGGTGAGTAAAAGCTACTTCTGCTAATGCAGGCAGTTCACTGATGGCCCTATTGAGACCCCACAGTCCCCTGGGGCCTGTCTGCCAACAATCACTTGATTATTTTGCTGTCTGTATTCAACTCTACCTGACTGTGGGTTGGAAGTGTAGAAGAGCAAAATGAAATGAGTCACTTCAGCTATTTTCTGGCAACACCTAGAATAATAAAGACACAGGAAGGATGTTTTGACTCCCCTATTTCAGACCCAGATGAACTCTACAAGACTAGCTGGTTTAAATGTATCAATAAGAAAATGAGACCAGGGAAGCGAATTCTTTTTTACCCAAAGTCACACAGCTAGTAAAGTCTTAGTGAAGGAAAAGTTTGAAACTAATGATTAAAGATTGAAATTATGCATAAATTATATCATTCCTGCCAAACTTCTATTTCAGAGCTAGTTTTTTAAAGTTGATTTAACCTCCAGCCCCGGCCGATTTTGCTCAGCGGTTAGAGCATCAGCCCAAAGAGAGTCCCGAGTTCTGTTCCCACTAAGGGCACGTACCTCAGTTGCAGTTTGTCCCTGGCCCCAGTTGGGGTCCTGTGGGTGGCAACCACTCAATGTGTCTCTCTCACATCAATGTTTCTCTCTCCCTCTAAAAAAAAATTAAAAAATAAAATTAATTTAACCTCCAAATTTTTACACTTGGTGAAATCATGTGTGTTCTGTGCTGTTGAGTCAGCGCTGACTCTGGGTGACCCTATGCGTATGTTATTCCCATAATGTCCTGTCCTCAATAGCCCTGCTCAGCTCATGGAGAGTCACGCTTAGAGCTTTTTTCATGGAGTCTACCATGTCATATTTGTCTTCCTCTTTTCCTGCTGCTATTTTCCCCAGCATCATTGTCTTTTCCAAAGAGCCCTGCCTTCTCGTGATGTGCCTGAAATCGGACAGCTTCAGTTTTGTCATTTTTGTCTCTAGCAATGTTTCAGGCTTAATGTGCTTAGGAACCACTTGTTCACCTTTCTGGCTGTCAGGATGTCTGTAGCGCTCGCCTCCAGCACCATGTTTTAAATGAAAACATTGTGTCTTTTCAGGCTACTTCACTGTCCCACTTTTATTTCTGTGCATAGTACCTGGGCATAAGAGGACACAGATGATCTTAGCCTTGGTCTGTAATGACACATCTTTGCTCGTCATCTTCCCCAATTCTTCCACTACTGCCCTTCCGAGCCTCAGCCTTCTCTTGATTTGCTGACTGCACTCTTCATATAAATTGGTGACTGAACCAAGATAAGCAAAATATTTGACTATTTCAATGTGTTTCTAGACCAAACTATTCATTTCAGTGAAGATACTGTATGCTTCATATTTTATCCCAGCAGTTAATTGGTTGACTGGGTCTTAAAGCCTAGAGAAAGGTGAGGTTTGGATAAGCTTCCCGATTGTTCATTAGTATGACCTGCTAAATGTAAGAACTGTGATGATAAGGATACCCACAAATGACTATCCAAATGCCGTCACCTTTTTAATAGATTTCTTGAATGACTGCTTCCACTTTTTAATTACGTCTATACCCCACAATTGATACACAGACTTTTACACACACACACACACACACACACACACACACACGTGTGGGCGCGCACACACACACACATACACACACAGACACTCCACTCTATTCTTATACCTCTGGATCATTGTTTAATTGGTGCCTATTTAGTTGGTGACTTTGTAGATCAGGGGAGAAAGGGTGTTCCAGGAGGACAGACAACATAATCAGAGACCTAGGGGTGAACAGGGGCAGTGTTGTAAACTTAGTAATATGCAGAACATCCTCATGGTGTTTGAGTAGTTACAGCCTGGACTGCAGAGTCATGGGTGTAACGTGGATTTATCATTCCAGGCTTTGAAAATGGCTCACGCGGGCATTTCCTTGTCAGAGCAGGAGGCATCTGTGGCCTCCCCTTTCACCTCGAAAATAGCCAACATCAAGTGTGTGCCTCATCTGATCAAGTAAGCCACTTCCTCCCACCCCCGACCGTGGGGCTCACTGTCTGGCTCTGGACAGAACGCGACTATACCTGAGTGGTCATTGTCACAGCAGAGGTTTGGGTAAAGTGCTATTGGAGCACCACGTCGGCGAGCCATCAGTGCTGCGTGGAAATGTTGGTAAAAGCCACAAAAACCTCATGACTTTTGCCGAGTCTTAGGAGATCGGTGGCTTGTCATGTGGACAGTTGAAAGCTAGAGTTGGTATTTGGAAAGTAATTGCTTTTCTTACTTCTCTTCTTCTTCTTTATTTTGTATGTTGGGTGCTTACTGGAACCTTTCAGGAGTTGGCAGTGGGTGAGAAAACAGAGAGCTTCCCCAAATAGTGCTATGTCCCAAAATAAAAAGTAGTGAACATTCAAAATGACTACATAAAAGACTTTTACAATTGATTAGTAATAGTTAGGGAAGGGGAAGGAATTAAAAACTGTTTATGTTCCCCTTAGCTCCCTTATTGCCACTGCACTGTCATTTCTGATTGTCTTTACTCATACTTAAAAAAATTTTTTACTCATATTTTAATATAGTTAAGAATAATACAATAGGTTCTATACCATAAGTCCTGGTCTTTTGTTGTTTTCTATGACATTTTGGGGTAACTTTGGGCCATCTTCATGGCCGCTGGTCTGGAAGACATCATCAAATCTTGAGATTTGTATAGGAAAAACAACTAGGACGTCCTTCATTGTGTCTCTCGGTGCATCTGAATGGGCAGCTACTGGCAGGAATCACTCACTTACAGGTGCTAGGCTAGAAATTCCATGCCCCCCATCTGGCTGCATTTTAGGGAGACAGCTGGACACATCTCCCTGAACACTGGGTGGCTGCACCTGGGTCCTTCCACGCCCTCACATCATCACCACCTCTGCCTCCTCTTCCCAACTCCCAGGTTCCCTGCTTTTGATCCTTAGAGTCCCTCATCCAGGCTCAGAAGCTCAGAGTACCTTTTATTCTTTCTTCTTCTTCACTCCTAACCAACCAGGCACTATGCTTCACTGCTTTTGGAGACTCTCTCCAAGCCTTCTTCTTACTACCTCTATTGCCGACCTGGTTCATGTCATGGCGACTGCAAGACCAGAGTGCTCAGGACCCTCACTGCTGTTCACGCTTTCCATCAACACAACTCCTGGAGCTCTTTGTAAATACTGTGCTTGGAAATGTGGGGGGTTAAGGATGAGACAGAGCCTTGCCCTGGAGGACTTACATCTCAGTGAAGAATATAGATATAACCACAAAACAGAGAAACTTCTGCCCGGTAAGTGAGAGAGGTGCTGCATAGATTAGCTTTGAATAAATTAACACCCAACAATACAGTTACTTTCCCAGTCATTCAGTATAACTCTAGCCAGATGGAGGGCTTCTGCAGGGGAGTAGCAACTTGAAGGATGGACAGGATATCTGTGAACAGAAAGGAGCTGGGAGGGAATTCCAAGTGGGGTGACTAGAGAGTCATATTTAGAAATGGAGTTTTCATTGGAGAGTGCAGGAGCCCAGTAGTCCAATCAGCTGGAAGGATTCTCCTATGGGAGCTATGGAGGCGAAGCTGGAGCACCAGGTGTGGCGACCTTGCATAGGGAGTTTAAACTCCTGGATGGTTGCACCAAGTGCCTGACTTGTCCATCCAAAAGGCAGCAGTATTTGAACTTTGGATGCTCTTTCTTGCTGTGGCCTGATGCATTTATAAATGGGATATACTGTTTTAAATTACAAGTCATGACACAAGATTTCTCCGGTGGCAGATGGTTTAGTAAAACTTCAGGGCAGAAATGCTTTGCTCTTATATTTTATAGATTTATAAAAATTAGATGCGGTTCAGCTCTGTTAGGCTCACTGTGCCCTCACTCTCCTTGATGCAGCTTATTCCGGAGGAAGCATCCTCCAGAGGGCCGATGAGGTGCAGTCTTAGACGCATAGGTCCAGATCCTTTTTATTATCTTCTGAAACACTGTTGTTGTAGTTCAAGTCCTTTAGGGCAAGAACTGTACCTTACTCATCTCTGTATCACTATGCCTTGCACTAACCTGGATACATCGGAGCATTCGATTACTGTTAGTGGAATGCATAAATAAGTGAATGAGCTGCTTAGAATTCATACTGATTAGGAACAGCAGCAATTCTGCAGGTCCATGAAAACATCCTTTGTTCTTAGAATAGTTTTTTGCATTTTCCTTTGAATCTGTGTCTTAATTTTTTTTAATATACACAACTGCAGAAAAAAAGGATGGAATCACAAAGTTTATATCAGAAAAGAATCCAGACTTCACAAGCTGACCCCGTCCTAGCTTGTCTTCTGCTCCACCCTCTATGTTGAAAACAAATGGTGCCTCACATCCTGGTGGAAATATCTGCCCACCGCGTCTTGGCCCACCTCCCATCCGAACTTTCTCACTTGCCTGAGGCAAGGTGGTTATTATTTAGCTTCTAGGTTCTCCCTTTCATGTCCCTGTTTTGGTGACAAAGTCTCTGAGCAGCACAGATGTCCGTGCCACTGGGGGCTGGACACAAAGAGATGTGGGCTGCCTCCCTCGTGGGTTGGCTCCTGCCTGGACATGAGGAGGCTGCAGGAGGGGTTGCTGGCCAGGGTCCCCACCCCCTGTTGTTGCCCGGCTACCTCACCATGTCTTCTTCAGCCTGTCATAATCCATCACCCAACCAAGCCTCAGTCCAAGGAGTAATAGCTCAAACAGCATTTTTTAAAGGGGGGAATATTTACCTCTTAAGCTACAATTTTTACTGTTGTCTTTGTCTCTTTTGATCACCACACCAGCTCAGATTATTACCCTGGGTTCTTCCTGGTGTACCGAAGCCAGCAAAACTCATTTTATGGCAAATATTGGAGTCACATGCACATTTCCTAAAATGTGAGAGTCTTTGTGCTTGAGTTTTGCATCTCTAAGGTACTCTAAAGTACACACAGCTCAGTTCTCAGGAAGCTAGTGTTAGGATGGAAATGAGTCACAGTCAAGTCAGTGCTGACATTTTTCACCTTATTGTAATGTATTGTGTTTATAATATACATGTTCATCTACCTAATTCACTGAAAGCTTGTTGAAAATTAAGACTGAGCCTGATTTATTGATATCCTCCATGGCGCTTGGCATAATTCTGGTGAGTGTATGGATTCCTGAGTGAGGTAATGATTAAAGGAGAGAATAAACAAATGAGTGATTAAATAAATAGTTAAGAGGATGAATCTGTGCTTAAGTAAATTATGTCAACAAGCTGTTAAAAGTTAAACTCCTTTTGAAATATACAGGAGAATGGGAGACGTGTAGCATGCATAACCAGTTATGTTTATTTTTTCTTAAACAGAGAAGGCCGAGCTGCTCTGGTTTCATCCTTTGGGGTATTTAAATACTTGACCATGTATGGCATGATCCAGTTTATTGGTGCATCACTGCTCTATTGGGTATGAATCCGAATAATTTCTTTTTCTAGTTTTAAGTGCATTGACATCCCTGGGTTATTCTTGATGGGGTGTAGCTCCTACGCAGGATTTTATGCTTTATAAATAAATGACATTTCTCAAAATAGATGTCTACAAACTGGGAACCTGGTATAACTGTGCATGAAACATAGAGCTAGAAATAAATAGATGCAGCTCCGTTTTGTAGGAGTGCTGTTTTTCTCTAGATAACCTGAGACACTTGACCTCTTCAAGACTCTATTTCTTCCCTTGGATTATGAAGAAAGTTTCAGAACAGCCTAAATATAACTCAGCAGGAAATGGATCAGTCACCAACTGTGGAATATCTTTGGCAAAAGACTAAGAAGAGATAAAAAGGGAGAGAAGTTGTTGAATTTGACTTTGAAGGATTCAGAAGCTAGGAAAACTTCCATGCTGGAGCTCTGCTCCTGAACCTGCCAGAACCTACACATTTAGACATGTCATTAGTAAAGGATTAGCAATTCATTTTTTTTTTTTTTTAAGAGCTCAGAGTCTAATCTAGCCTTTACGGATGAGGCAACAGAGCTCTAATTGATTTTTTTCTTTTTTATTGATTTTTAGAGAGAGAGGAAGGGTGAGAGAAACATCAATGAGAGAGAACATCGATAGGTCGCTTCCTGCATGCCCCACACTGGGGATGGGGCCCACAACCTGGGCATGTGCCCTGCTCAGGAATCAAACCAGCGACCTCTTGGTGCCTGGGTCAATGCTCAACCACTGAGCCACACCAGCCAGGGTGCAATTCTTTTTTCTAAATCCTCACCGGAGGATATTTTTCCATTTATCTTCAGATAGTATGGGAGAAGGAGAGAGAGAGAGAGAAATACCGATGTGAGAGACACATCAATTGGTTGCCTGACCAGGGCCAGGGACAAACTGCAACCAAGGTACATGCCCTTGAACGGAATCGAACCCAAGACACTTTGGTCTGTGGGCCAGTGGTGAGCCAAAGTGGCTGGGATGGATTAGCAATTCTTTAAAACAATCTTTTTAAAACTTTTAAAATTAAATGTTAAAAATAAACACTTAAGCCCTGGCCTGTTTGGCTCAGCGATTAGAGCATCGGACTGTGCTCCAGAGAGACCCGGGTTCGGTTCCCGCTAAGGGCACATACCTCAGTTGCAGTTTGTCCCCGGCCCTGGTTGGGTTGTGTGGGTGGCAGCCACTCGATGTGTCCCTTTCACGTCGATGTTTCTCTCCCTCTCTCTCTCTCTTTCTCTCTCTCCCTTCCACTCTATCTGAACAAAAAATGGAAAAATGTCCTCGGGTGAGGATAATAAATAAATAAACAAATAAATAAATAAAAACAAACACTTAAGAATTAATTAGCTGAATGGAAGAAATATTTTTAGTTAAAATACACTTCCTCAGTTCAGTCATAACTTACTCTGCAGTAATATGATCCCACAGGCTCAGGGACCACCTCAGGGAGGGAATTAGTGTACTGCTCTTCTGAGACATCTGAGAGGTGAATGGGAGGCCATAGCACTGCACCTGGTGGGCTATTGCTACTAGCAAGGACCACACACACAGAGGGCTAAGAGGCAGCCAGGTGGGTAGAAACAAGACCTGGATTGGGAGTCGGGAACTAAGAACAGATTAGACCTTGCCCTTGCCCAACCAAGCCTTTGTCTGCCTCTGGAAGTTTAGGCTGGCTGATTCCCAAAGCCCTCTACGGTTCTATATAAGCTGCTCCTAGAATGACAACTAAAACTGCTTTTAAAAATCCCTCCCTGTTTCATGTCACCCTGCATCTATATCATTTACCATTCTGAGCAGGAAATAAGGGAAAAGGATATGAGAAAGAAATGTAAAGAAGACAGAGGAAGAATTGGAGGGTGCGAGGGACACTGAAAAATCATTTGCATCCTCTCAAAAACAGAAAAGCAGAACTTCAGTTCCAACGGCTTCATGGATAGAGTCAGAACCATAGTCCACTCTGAAGCCATTCACTATGATGGTGTAGACATAAATGACAATGTCCCCAAGGACCTGTACCTGGAAACTTCTGGGTCTTGGTTTCACCCTCTAAGAGGCCAGAAATGGTTTCCATTTATATGCATCTGGCATGGAAAGTACTTGGTGCCAGATGATAATTTAGTGCTCAGTCAACCACTCTTTAGCAGATAAACAGATTTGGCTGCCAAAGGAATGTAGCAAGGCAGGTTCCTAGAGACTATCGAGTGGACTTTTATGTATAAATACTTCAACTCCATGTATGTGAGTGTAAAAGTTCTGTGTCTATACAAAAGTTAGAAAGGCAGGTGTACCAGACTGAAGTCTGCAGTGGGCTTACTTGGGATAAGGGCACTTGTTCAGTTTCTGAAAGTGAATGGACCCCCAAGAGAACTATGGTGTGAACTCAATCCACGAAAAAAGATGGAGAGAAGCACCTGTTGTATGTTCTTTGCCTTGACATTGAACTTTAGGTTTGAAGTTCCCAGAGGAACTTTTAGGCTTTAATGTTTTAATTCAACTGTCCAGGCTGACACTATAGCTTCCAGAACTACTGTGGCCAGTAAGAGGGTGTTTCCCACCTGTTGCTAATGCAGGATTGTGTTAGACACTGAAAAATAGTGATCTGGTTTCATTCTCTCCAATCTGATGCTAAAAACCTAAGGTAAGCCACTTTCTTCCTAAAGAGGAGGGAAAAATAACAGTTGCTTCCAGACTACTTTCAAAAAGAGTGTTAGAAATGGTAAAATGTTACGAGGGCATCAGTAAAACTTATACCTACTTTTCTTTCCTGTTTAGCATCTACAACTCTTTGGGAATTACCAGTACCTCATACAAGATGTAGCCATTACCTTGATGGTCTGTTTAACAAGTAAGGTCTTTAACAAAGTCAACTGTATTATTTGTTTTTATCCATGAAATTCTAGAAATGTTCATACAAATAAGAGCTTCAGCAGAAGATACATCTTATCTACTAAAATCCTATGAATTTTTTAAAAAGTAGTGTTGGGGGAAAATTGAGGCTTGAAGTACTCAAGCTTGACATTAAAATATTCTGAAAGAAAATAGGTTTTAGCCTCAGAAAAGTATCAGTGTATTCTGAATTCTTTGTAGGGTCATGCCTTGTACCTAGAAAAATGTACAAGAAATCTAGAAAGTGAAATCTTTAAAACCCAAAGGTCACTTTCTGATATTCAGCTATGTTTCATGTTGACGTGAAACCAGATCTTTGCTAAGCCTTTGATGTGTGAGAACAAATGCTAGCATTTTATTCTCATGACATTGTCTCAGAAGCAAGGTGTGGCTTACAGCAGCCATTGCTCATTTCCTTCCTGGCCGATGACACTGATACAGTATTTCCTATCAAAGAACTTGGGTTTGATACTAACTCTTAATAACTGAGAAAGGTGACTGCCTCAACAGAGAGTAAAGAAAAAGAATGATGTAGTCATCTCTTTTTCCTTGTTCAACAATGAAAATGTTTTGAAAAATAACAGATAAAACATCAGGCTGGGCAAGATATTAATAACCGTGCAAATTTCATGTCGAATCTTAAAACATGAAACTAATATTGAAGTCATTTATTATCTCAACACGATGACACAATTTACCAGTATCAGAGATGTAAGTAATATCAATTTTGATTCTTAGGGCTGAAATGTCTATTCGTAGTCCACAGAAATATTTTTCTGCATGCTATTAATATTCACATGGCAGGATAATTTTGAATCAATGATGTTACTCTTCAGTATAGGATATTTTTACATAATTTGCATGGGTTACTTGCAAATATGGTCAATGAGGCTAAAGAGGAAAAAGAACACCAGAAAGTCCCAGGAGCTGAGCGAGCAGTGGGTAGCATGAAGGTGAAGGCCATTGCCATGTTCCGCCACTCTTGTCTCTGTGCCTTTGGCTAATATTTATAAAACAAATAACTTCCTCATAGGAAATGTCCTCATTGGGTTGTGAGGATCAGATAAAATAACACATGTGACGTGTGTAGCACAATGCACACACATCAGGAGCACTCAGTGCACAATTAATGGTATCACCATGTCTCCTGCACTCTTTCTTTTGCAATGATGCTTTTGCAATGATGTACAAGGAGACTAATTAGAAATCCAAAACGTTGGGTGGTTGTCTTAGCCTTGCCTCAGAATGCTAGATGGCCTTGAGACAGTTATTTTGAGCTTTCACACACTTAATTTCGTGATATTGGTTATGAATCTGACGCCCATGCCGGTGGGTGTATTACTTTTTCTCATGGCAATATCCTGTCAGTCTTCATGCCAGTAGGCCAGTTAGCCTCTCCTCTCAGAGTAGGTCCAGTGGGAAACTCAGAATGACTGAAGGCAGGATCCTTGTTACCAGTGGGAGAAAAAGTCTCAGAAGTGTAATAGATCAGAAGCACAATGTTCTATCAGAATGACAGCACTTTATCCTAAATATTCCCCTTTAAAAATCTCTTGATAATCTCTGTAGTTTTCTCTTACATAGCCTGTACATAGGTAATTGTGTGTGAGGGGGCATGCGTACAGTTGAAGGACCAGTATGGATCTCTCTTATAGGTACCATGGAGTTATAACAATGGGTTATTTCTTTACATTATATTGGTACTTACCATTCATTGTCCTCAAATATGAGGCTCAGCAAATTCCCCAGATGAAATGAAAAGCCCCATTCAGCATCCTCTTAGACAGTGTTCATCTCCTACTATGTGTTAGGCATGAATGTGCCTGGTGCATAAAAAGGCTGATTACTGAAGTTCAGAGTTTAGTGGGTTACTCACATACATGAATGAATGAAATGCAAATCTAAAGTAGTGAGCCAGGAAATAACAAGTTCAGAAGAAGGAGAGATTGCATCTAATAATCTAGGATCAGGGAGGAGATAGTAATGGAGAAAAGAGAGAGCAATACTAAGGAAGGCTTCATGGTAGAGGTGACATTTGCACCAAAATAGGAAGGATGGATAGATTTCAAATATCTTTTGCTAAATGAAGGAAATTTGAAGTAGAATTAAACAGCGTGAGCAAGAGAGAGCTGATAAATACAGACCATGAGTTTTTCGATTTGACCTCACAGTAGGGCATTTGAAAAGAACATCAAGAGATAAAATTTGAAAGGTGAGTTGGGTCAGATCACAGAATCTAGACTGCCAGTCTGAGGACTGTGGTCATTCATCTGCAGACATTAAGAGTCACTGAGGATTAAATGATCAATGTAAAATCATTCTCAACAAGGCTCCCTACATGTCCACGTTCCAAGGTTATGGCTCACCTTCAGCTTGAGTTAGTAGGAGACAAAGATAGTACCATCACATATTTAATTTATTTGTTTACTTGCTTATCTATACACACCTGCCTTGTTCCCACAAGATTTTAAGGCATCTAATAAAACATATAATAGAGGGGTGGACAAAAGTAGGTTTATATTGCATTGTGACATTCGTTTGAGTTAATAAAGTTATTGTAATTATCATAACCAGAATGTCTTTTCCCAGATGAACATTTATAAACCTACTTTTGCCAACCCCTGTATATTAAAGAGAAAATCCAGGAGAAAAGTAAGGCAAAGCCAGGGGAGTCACTTAAGATAATGTATGCCTTGAAGTCCAACTTGACTCTAATAGGTCTAGAAGCCCTCTTGAAAGGAATTTTTCCTGGCTACATCTTTGTTCTCTTCAATAAGACACACTCACATTAGATTTAAAAAAATAGAGGAAGGGGGATGTTTAAGAATATAATTCTAAAAAAAAATAAATAAATCTGAGAACAAAAATTCAGAAGCACCTGGCCCTGAGGAGGGCTAGAACACTCAAGGCTGCTTTCTTTATTTCCAAGGGACCACCTTGCCTCTTTTTTCTTCTTTCTATTCTTACTGTTTTCATCTGACTTCTATTCATTCACTTTGCAAATGACTCTAAATGGTGACTCTGAAGAATCTCTATAACCTTTCTGCTTGTCTTCTACACCTAATTAGCGTAGGCTCTCAGTATCTTCTTTGCAGATCTCTTGGAGAGAAAAGTTATTGACCTCACTTGGGTCAGATGCGCACCTCTAAGCCAATCATTTCTGTGAGTGAAGGTGGGGTCATGCAATTCAGGTCCAGTTAGGCCAACCATTCCACCATATGGGAAGAGGCAGTGTCCAGAAAAGGAGACTGTAGGAGGGAATTCATATATTCTATAGAAACATCTTTTATAAATTCTATCAGGGCTTCAATGACACCTAACATTTTCTGGATCTTGGTCCCCTTGGAGAATCCGATGGAAAATATAGATCTTACTTTAAAATCTTGTGATGCAGCCCTGGCCAATTTGGCTCAGTGATGAGAGCATCGACCCATGGACCAATGAGTTGTGGGTTCGATTCTGGCCAAGGGCACGTACCTCAGTTGTAGTTCATCCCCACCCTGGTCAGGGTCATGTGGGAGGCAACCTGTCAATGTGTTCCTCTCATGTCGATATTTCTCTCTCTCTCTCTCCCTCATACTCTATCTGAAGATAAATAGAAAAAATATCCTCTGCTAAGGATCAAAAAAAAATTTCATGATGCACACTCAAAATTTTGCATGTAACTTAGGTGAGTTCATGAGCCTCCTGAAACATGACTTACATGACTTAAAATGTCCATGATAAGAAGTAAGCCAACTAGTTAAGAGAAGCACACCTACATTCTACCCAAACAATGGGGAACAATTAAAAAAGCATACTTTGAGATTGGGAATAACAACTGCTAAGTCCTCCCAAAGAGCAGGCCCTGTGCTGGGTTCAGTAAGATGCAGAATGTAGAATGAGACTGACTATCTTCCCCCAGGGAGCTCAGAGTCCACTGAGCGCATGTGTGAACAACTCAGCTTAATGCAAGGCACCCTCACCTTAGTGGCAATGTGAATGATGTGCTGTGGAAACTCAGAGGAGGTAATGATTACTTCCAAGTGAAATGTAATCGTCCACATGTTTTCATCCCTCTGCATGCAGTCTGACAGCATACATCATCATCATCATTTCAAGGAAGCCTGGACGATTCAGAGACTTTTTTCTGGTTGCTGAGAACCAATATTGCTCTCCAAGCTTGTATTTCAGGGCTCCTGGTCGTATCATTATTAGTTCATGAGATCCACACCCCTGTGCTATGCTGCAGAGCAGAGAATCTGAGGCTTGAAAGTCAAATAGACTGAGCTGCCACCACCACCCTGTCACTAACACACTGTGGGTCTTTACACAAAGGCCTCTACTTCTCTGGACCTCAGTTTCTTCACCTGTAAAATAGGAGGTGCAATACCTATTTTGCATTGTTTTCTTAAGGAAATAAAGATAACATTTATAAAACACCAACATGGCCTCTGGAACCTAGTAGGAGTCCTAAAATGGTAGTCATTATGTTTATATTTATCTATAGTCAAGTACACAGATTGCCTGTCAGAAAGCATTAGGAATTTCTAACATGGAAAAAGTGAACACATTCTTGATATAAGAACTCCGGGTCAATCAGCTATTGCCACAATAAGGTTGCTTAACAAACTACCCTTAAAAGATTAATTGCCTTATAACACCCACTCATAGGCTCATAGGTTGACTGTCATTCAAGAGTTATATAGGGGGGCTCAGCTGAGCCATTCTGCTTTAGGATATAGATTAGCTGGTCTCGGTCCAGGCTGTGGGTTTGATTCAGGTCTGCTCCATATTTTTCATCCTGGGCTGAGACTCAATGCACAGACCCAGGCATGTTCTCATTGCAGGTCACAGACAGCAGGGCAGAGGGCAAGCCCAGCTGTGCAAGCAGTCCTCAAACCTCTGACAACATTTCTTTGGCCAGACACAATCACTCAATGAAACCAAAATTAAGGAGTGGTTAAGTCTACTCTGCCCTGATGAGGCAATACTTCAACCTGCCTTAGTGTTTATCTAAAATAAAAGCCAGAAACTCAATGAGCAACTGACAAAGAGTAAAGCAAATTGGGAGAAGCCAGCTGCGCAGATGCAATTATGCCTCTTTTCACTACCCATGGCCTCTTTATGAACTCTGTGGTCGCATTCTACCTTGGGTATTGAAGCGCAGAAAGAACTCTGAGCATCGCAGCCTCTGCCTCTGTCTCCTTGTATACAAAGGACAGTTCCCTTACACCTCTCTTCAGCTCTGACCACAGCCCACATTATGTGTCCCTTCCTCGGTGCCCTTCAATGACTTCTCACACCAGCTACCCAGATTTAGACCAAACTTCACCGGTGAAGGGCACAACCTCAACAAGGCTATCCTCACTTCAGACACCAGTTATAAGTTAGGGGGTCCCCATACTACCTGACTAGCTGGCTACAAATGTGGGAGTTCTCACAACTCTCTCAGATTCAGTAATTCACATCAACATCTCACAGAACTCAGAGAAGTGCTACATAGAAGATTACAGTTTTATTATAGCAAATGGATACAAATCAGAACCAGCTAAATAAAGTGAGAGACTTATAGGGCAAGATCTGGGAGGATCCCAAAGATGAAGCTCCATAGTTCTCTCCCTGGGGAGTCAGTTTGCCTCCCCTCCTGGCCCATCAATGTATGATAATGTGCAGAGTATAGCTAGGCAGGAAGACACACCTCAGCTCTGGTGTCTGGAGTATCTAAGGGAGTTCCATTACCAAAGCATACTTGATTTAATCACTGACCATGAGGTTGAGCTCCTCTTCTCTCCCAGATGGTCAGCCTGATACTAGGAGTCCCAATTCTCAAATCACACAACTGGTCTTTTGGGCATGGCCAGATCCCATCCTGGGTCAGCTCCTTAGCACAAACCCTCTTCAGGCCCACCATGAGTCATCTTGTTGGCATGAACTATCCAGACCCTCCACGAATAACAAAGATACTCCTATCAACTCAGAAAATCCCCATCACCCTGCCCCTATGTTCATGAACACAAACCCAGGCCTACACACTTTTTCTTCCGCACATCAAAGAAATCAGTGATAAGTTATGAAAAGGGACAAGGTGACAGATATGAAGGCAAGAACTGAAACATGACTATGATATAAACCTTGAAATGTAATTTTTTAAATTTCTGACCTTCCCATGCTTCTTTCCTGCTCTGCCCCCACAAGTACATTTCATTTTCATCCGCTTGTTAGAATGTACGGCTTCTAAGAAGCATGTAGGTACTACACTATATTTTAGCCCTCTCATCTGGAAGCAAGATTTTTTTATGAGCTCTTTTTCCTAACCAAGTCTAACATCTCTAGCTGTTCTCCATTTACACACATTTCCAGGAGGGAACAGAACACACCTCTAGCATCTACTCTAGTAGACAGAAGTGCTCAGAGAATGTTGGCTGAATGAATAGAATGAGTGCTTTTTAAAAATATTTTCTAACATATGAAGATTGGTCTCGCCGGTTGCTTTCTTACTCTCCTCATCTTAACTTCCACTTTCCCATCATCACTGAGAAGTAATAGTAATGCTTATCCATGTGGAAAGCCATCTTCTTCTCTTGCATATCTTTCCTGCTCAGTCTGGTTATAGAAAGAGTATTTGCACCATGAAATATGGTAAATGCATTAATTTCAAAACTTTTGAATCGATTACTTTTTATTTCTGAGAGTAAAGCCAAAGGCTGGAAGAGGCAAAGCCCAATAGCATTGGATCTGGAACTGGACAATGTGTGCTTTCCCTGATATAAATTCCCATTCCATGTGTGCTGAAGCTGAGCCCTAAGGCAAGAGCCAAAATAATACCTATGTCAATTTTTTATTCTCAACAATGAATTGTAACTGGGAAAAATGCATTTGTCTTTCAGTGAGTTCAACTCATGCCTACCCAAAGCTGGCTCCATACCGACCAGCAGGACAGCTCCTCTCTCCCCCGTTGCTGCTCTCGGTCTTGTTGAATACCTGCTTCACCTGCATCGTGCAGATCTGTGCATTTCTCTGTGTGAAGCAGCAGCCCTGGTACTGTGAGGTCTACAGATACAGGTAACGTTCAGTTTTTAGTGTTCCTTTCTGAAAGTGATACGATGGGTCCCCAATGACATTGTACAACTGGGTCTGAACATATTCCCTAACATTTTAATAACGAAAATTGTGTCTCCACACTGCAAAACACCAGTGGTGAGACAGAACACAGCTAATGGGTCGAGTTCTGGGGTGAGCGATGTGGAATGGATGGGAACATTTTTTTACACTGGTTGTTGAGGTATAGATCTGACAGCTGGTTGACTGAATGAATGTATTAACTCGCTGGTGGTTTAGGTATCATATAGACTAGGGGTGGGCAAACTTTCCTTTTAGAAGGCCAGATAGTGAATAGTTTGGGCTCTGTGGACTAGATGGTCTCTGTTATATCTACTCAACTCTGCTGTTATAGTGAAAATGCAGCCACAGACAGTCAACATGTAAACAAGTGGATGTGACTTTGTTCCATAAAACTTCATTTGCAAAAGCAGTTAGTGGGCTGGATTTGGTCTGTCTGAAGTAGCTGGCCCCTGATATAGATGAGATTTGCTTAAATGACTTTGGGTTTTTCAAATGAATGTTATAATTAAAATGTCAATTGATGGTTAGTTGTTCTGATTGAACACTAGGCTCAGAGCAAGTCTCTCCACATCCCCAAGCTTTAATTTCTTTAACTATAGATTAAGGGTTGCATGAGGTGAACGATGCCACAGATGTTTAAACTTATTTTTTTCCAACAAAGTCTGCTGGATCTCTGAAAGCAGAGGCAGGCAAAGCGCTTTGCTTTTGAAGTCGGGCTTGTGCAGACTCCCCCTCCCTCCACCGTGAAGGCACCAGAGCCCTAGGAATTGATGAAAGACAGTTTAAAAACTACCAGGTGCTGTCCAAAGTTGTCATTTAGACCCAAAATTCAACTATTACTTGAAATATAGAAGTCATTTTTGTTTCAAACCCAGATTTCCCCCCAAATTGGAGTGCACATATTCAGAGAAGCAAAGGTCTGATTAAATCTAGGAGACAACATGATGTAGCCAACAGGGTGATAATTAGGTGGGCGGTCCTGCCTCTATCACTAACCAGCTACATCATATTAGCCCTCAACTTTATTATCTGCAATATAAGTGTATTGGTTTAGATACATTTTAGTGTTAAACTCTATACTTCAGGCCTTCTAGTCTACCTGTCCCCTTTGTGAAAGAATACTTTGTTAACTACTGCTTGTTTCATTAATCTATTAAGCAACATTGACTAAATATCTCCTGTATGCAAACCACATTTTGGATCCCTAGGGAACCAAGTATAGTAAGATTTAAGTCTTGCGCTTGAGGTCACAATTGGAAAATCAAAGTTATTTATAAACAATTATAATAGTAGGAGAAATTTTCAAGTTGAATACGAAAGCTGATGGAAACTGACTTATGATTTTGATATTGAAAAAAAATAAACATTGCACTTAGGTCCATCAGAGCTGGGAAAGCTCACATCTTAAATGTTTTTCTGAGCAAATGTTATGTGGCATCACTGTGTTAGGTGCTAAGGATTTGTTATACATCTGAGTAAAACAAAAAAATAAATAAAACCAAAAGAAAAATTTCATATTCAAGGAATTTCATCCCATGTGAATGAAAAGCATGTGAATGAATAATTGCAAAATAATAAGCTAAATGCAACACTAAGAGGGGGCACTGGTTATGCCGGCCAGCCAATGTAAAGACCTCCCAGATAGAGTGACACTAGGAGGGATAGTACGTATGACCCCAGAGGTGTGCGAATAGTGATATTTGAGGAACAGGAAATATTCCTACATGTTCAGAAGATAAGGAGCATGGAAGGACTAGCAAAAGATAAGGCTGGAAAGGTACATTGAAACCAGAGACTGCAGGTCTGGGCCTGCCTTGAGAAGTTTGAACTTAACTTCTTAGCAAAATAAAGCCATAGATACTCGTAAGCAGGAGAGTTTCATGGTCAGGTCCTCGGGCTGAACCTTTGGTTGCATGAAGAGAGTGGATTAGAGTGGGCAGATCCAAAATCGGGACCCACGTTGTGAGGCTCACATGAGTCGAGGAAGGAGAAACACACACACACACACACACACACACACACACACGATTTATTTACTCTGGATTGAAAGGAATTCCATAGAAAATGTCATTCAAGTCCTTTCCAAACAGATAAGTTCTTCCAAATGGAATGATGGACAAAGAACAATCTGACTTCCTCTGAATTTTATTTCTGCTTTCACACCGCAAGAGCTTTATATCTTGGTAGTTACGGCTGGAACAGTTTGAAAGCTGAGGTTCTGTGGTAGTAGTAAACAAATTTTTTTCCCCACCAGCTAGATAAAAATGAAATAAAAAGTCCCATGAATGCTGGTAATTCTTTTGTAGTGAGTGTTTTCTGGACAACCAAGGTAATTTCTCAACAAATATGAGTTTGGAAGGGAACTGGACTGGAAATGCAACTCTGATTCCTGGTTCAATTTTGAGTTTTGAGAGTACCACCCTGTGGCCCATCACCACTATCAACTGTGTCACAGTAGCATTCATCTTTTCTAAGGGAAAGCCATTTCGAAAACCCATCTACACAAACTGTAAGTATATGAAGTTTACTTTTGCTTTTTCTTAATATTTTCTAATATTTTTCAAATCCCCTCCTCTCCTCTCCTCCTGCAACTCACTGATAAAGTGATTGGCTGAGAAGGCAGCAATTGCGTTGATCTGAAGCTGAGCACTAAATGGTCATTTCTGCAGGTGGTAGAGCCCACAGCAGAAACCCGCTCGCTGTCAGATAAGCGTCTGCACTACTGAATTGTCACATGAGTCCTGCCCTACTGTGAGCCATCAGGAAGGATTTTAAGCAGCTACATACATGTCAAAATATTTTGTAAAGGGCTTTCCAACAAATTAAATACAATCTGACCTCATAATAGCTTTATAACACTGAGCAAAGTTACTTTAATCATTCTGAGAGGCTCTTTAATCACCAGTAAGGATGAACCTATTTCCATGTCATTAGACATTTCTTCTTCTCTGAAATTTACTTGCATCTTTATTCATTTAAAAAACTTTTTTTCCTTTTATTGATTTTAGAGAGAGAGGAAGTGAGAGGGAGAGAGAGAGAGAAAAATCGATGAGAGAGAACATCAATTAGCCGCCTCTTGCATGACCCCTACTGGGGATTTGGCCCACAACCTGGTCCTGTGTCCTGACCGAGAATTGAACTGGCGACCTCTTGGTTCATGGGTTGACTCTCAACCACTGAGCCACACCGGCTAGACAATATATTTCTTATTTATTTGAGCTGTTTATTTCTTTATAATTTTTTTCTATTGATATTATACACATTTTTTTCTCATTGCAAAATCAGATTATCATTTATTTAGTTTTTTACATTTCTTTTAATGCTTTTTTAAATCTAATGTTAATTTGGGATATAATTTGAGGTAAAGCGCAAACTAGTTTATCCAACTGGTCCTTATTTTTTCAAGAAGATTTTATTATTTGATATTTCTTTTGGTCACATATCCCCTACTCAGTGTAATGCCATCATTGTCTTACTTATATTCCCATATGCATAATTTATATTATGCAAGTTTTAATATCATATTTATTACATTATATACTATATATTAATTTTATATAATTATTTTTTCTATACTATCTGTTCTGTTTCGTTGATATGCCAGCCCAATTTTGATCTACCACTCTGCTTTAAAAATTATAGTTTTATAATAAGTTTTTTAAAGTAGTAAGGTTGGTGTATCCTCAATACTCTTCATTTAAAAAATATTTCTTACTTTTCTTTCTTGTTTATTCTTCCAGGAGAACTTTAAAATAAATTGTCAGGCTTTTGAAAAATACCCTTTGGGAAAAATTTATTTGTTTACACGCTTAAGTCTTCATATTTAAGAACATGTCATCTCTTCATTTACTTATACTTTTCTTTTATATTTCTTAGTAAATATTTGTCATTTTCTTAACTATAGATCCTGCACACTTACTTAAAAACCAATCCTGTGTTTTGTTTTGTTTTGTTTTGTTTTGGGGGGCGGTGTGGTTGTATATTTTCTGTCTTACTGTGCAATCCAGAACTTCTAGGACAATGTTAAATAATAGTGGTAATAGCAGATAGTTTTTCTCCTTAATAGAAATGCCTCTAGTAGTTTTCCCTTGTAAATATACCTCTGAATATTGGTTCAAGGTAGGCTACATCATATAAAGAAAATACCCTTCTATTTTCAATAAATTAAAAATGTGTTTTAAAATCCAGAATGGGAGATGCATTTCATCAAATGCCTTTTCGTCACCTACTGAGATGAAAATGCTTTTTGTTCTCCTGTGACCTAGTGCTAGAATATCACTTTATTAATCAACTTACTATTAAATCGCTTTCATATACTTGAGCAAACTCTACTTATTTCTGGTGGGTTATAAATTTAACTGAATTAAATTTTGTAGTTTTTATATCTACATTTATTTGGGAACTGGTCTGAATTTTTTTGTGTAGTATTTTGTTTGGTTTAATGTTAGACTTGAAAACTTCAACTATTTCTTTCCTCTGAAAAATATTTTTTACTTTTTTAAATTAATTTATTTTTTATTAATTAATTTTTGTTAGAGATGTTTCTCTTTTTCCCCCCACTGATTCCTGCCTCCCCTTCCCTCCCTGCCCTGTCCCCAGTTTGTTGTCCATGTCCACTGTTCATGCACACATGCCTATAAGTTCTGTGGTTTATCTCTCCCCCACAGCCCCCTCTTCTGGGGATTGTCAGTCTGTACCCACTTCCACGTCTCTGGGACTACCCCATTCCTCAGACTGTTATGTTCATTATATTCCACAAATAAGTGAGATCACATGATATTTGTCTTTCCCTGTTTGGCTTGTTTCACTTAGGATGATACTTTGCAGGTCCCTCCATGTCGTCTCAAAGGATAAGAGATCTTTCTTCCTTACAGCTGCATAGTACTTCATTGTGTATATGTACCACTGCTTTTTGATCCATTCGTCTACTGATGGACACTTGGGCTGTTTCCAGATCTTAGCTATTGTAAATAGTGCTGCTACAAGCATGGGGCTACATATATTCTTTCTTTTTGGTGTTTCAGGCTTCTTAGGGTATATTCCTAGAAGTGGGATCACTGGGTCAAATGGAAGTTCAATTTTTAATTTTTTGAGGTAACACCATATTGTTTTTCATAGTGGCTGCACCAGTATGCATTCCCACCAGCAGTGTACTAGAGTCCCCTTTTCTCCATACCCTCGCCAACACTTGTTTGATGATTTGTTGATGGCGGCTGTTCTGACAGGTGTGAGGTGATACCTCATCGTTGTTTTAATTTGCATCTCTCTGATGATTAGTGATGATGAGCATTTCTTCATATGTCTCTTAGCCATTTGTACATCCTGTTTGGAGAGGTGTCTATTTAGTTCCTCTGCCCATTTTTTAATTGGGTTCTTTGTCTTCCTTTTGTGAAGTTGTATGAGCACTCTCTATATATTGGAAATTAACTCCTTATCTGATATATCATTGGCAATTATGCTCTCCCATACAGTGGGTAGCCTTTCCGATTTGATGATTGTATTTTTCACTGTGTAGAAGTTTTTGAGTTTGATGTAGTCCCATTTACCATTGCGGCAAAAAAATTAAGACACCTAGGAATAAACTTAACCAAAGAAATAAAGGACCTATTCGCAGAAAACTACAGGTCATTGAATAAAGAAATAGAGGAAGATATAAAAAAGTGGAAGCACATACCTTGTTCATGGATTGGGAGAATTAACATCATTAAAATGTCCATACTACCCAAAGCAATCTATAGATTTAATGCAATCCCCATCAAAATACCAACCGCATACTTCACAGAATTAGAACAAGTACTTCAAAAGTTCATATGGAACCACAAAAGATCTTGAATAGCCACAGCAATCTTGAAAAGGAAGAACAAAGTTGGAGGGATCACATTACCAGATTTCAGGTTATACTACAAAGCCACTAAAAACAAATCAAAACAGCCTGGTACTGGCACAAGAACAGGCATATAGACCAGTGGAACATAACAGAGAAACCAGAAATGGACCCAAGGCAGTATGCTCAATTAATATTTGACAAAGGTGGCAAGAGCATACAGTGGAGTAAGGACAGCCTCTTTAATAAATGGTGTTGTGAAAACTGGACAGCTATTTGCAAAAAAATGAAACTAGACCATCAACTTACACCCTACACAACAATAAACTCAAAATGGATAAAAGACTTAAATGTGACTCATGAATCCATAAAAATCCTAGAAGAAAATGTAGGCAACAAAATTTCAGACATCATACGCAGAAGAATTTTCACTGATATATCACCTAAGGCCATAGAAACAAAGGAGAAAATGAACACAGGGGACTACATCAAACTCAAAAGCTTCTGCACAGCGAAAGATACAATCATCAAATCGGAAAGGCTACCCACTGTATGGGAGTGCATAATTGCCAAAGATATATCAGATAAGGCTTAATTTCCAATATATATAGAGTGCTCATACAACTCCACAAAAGGAAGACAAAGAACCCAATTAAAAAATGGGCAGAGGAACTAAATAGATACCTCTCCAAACAGGATGTACAAATGGCTAAGAGACATATGAAGAAATGCTCAACATAACTAATCATCAGAGAGATGCAAATTAAAACAGCAATGAGGTATCACCTCACACCTGTCAGAACAGCCGCCATCAACAAATCATCAAACAACAAGTGTTGGAGAGGGTGTGGAGAAAAGGGGACTCTAGTACACTGCTGGTGGGAATGCATACTGGTGCAGCCACTATGAAAAACAATATGGTGTTACCTCAAAAAATTAAAAATTGAACTTCCATTTGACCCAGTGATCCCACTTCTAGGAATATACCCTAAGAAACCTGAAACACCAAAAAGAAAGAATATATGTAGCCCCATGCTTGTAGCAGCACTATTTACAATAGCTAAGATCTGGAAACAGCCCAAGTGTCCATCAGTAGACGAATGGATCAAAAAGCAGTGGTACATATACACAATGGAGTACTATGCAGCTGTAAGAAAGAAAGATCTCTTATCCTTTGAGACGACATGGAGGGACCTGGAAAGTATTATCCTAAGTGAAACAAGCCAAACAGAGAAAGACAAATATCATGTGATCTCACTTATTTGTGGAATATAATGAACATAACAGTCTGAGGAATGGGGTAGTCCCAGAGACGTGGAAGTGGGTACAGACTGACAATCCCCAGAAGAGGGGGCTGTGGGGGAGAGATAAACCACAGAACTTATAGGCATGTGTGCATGAACAGTGGACATGGACAACAAACTGGGGACAGGGCAGGGAGGGAAGGGGAGGCAGGAATCAGTGGGGGGAAAAGGAGAAACATCTCTAACAAAAATAATTAATTTACGAAATGTTTTAAGGTTTGAACTGACTTTATAATTTACATATTTTCTTTCATTCTTAAAAAATTAGAAAAGCATTCAAGACCAATAATTTTAGTTTGGATTGTATTCTTTACATTCATGTGTCTATACTTCTGATTTAATTTTCTCTTTGACCCACTAGTTTTAAGAATTGTGATTTTTAATTATTAAGTGAAAAAGGATTTTTTGTTTTCAATTGTCTTCTTTTGTTCTTAATACCTTATAAACAAACTTGCTTTCCTTCTCAACCCAACAGATTTTTAGAATTCTGTTTATAATTTGTATGTTGGAAAATACTTTTTTATTTAAATTTGGTTAATAATTTTTAGTTTTATTGTTATAATCAGAGACTCTGGTTTGTAAAGATTCTGCTTTAAAAAATTGACTACAGTTTTGTACATCACATGGCACAAACTCTAATCTCTCATTTTCTAAATCAGTCATAGTTATTAGAAAATCAGTCTCATTCCTATTCTTATGAAAACAGATATTTAGTATATTAAACCAGTTTTAGCAATTATATTGTTCACCTTTTCTCTGTTCTCCTCCCCTCCTTAATTTGTGTATAATTGTTTTTGTGAAAGGTTTTGAGAGCATGCTAAGATTTTCTTCTAATTTTATATTTTTTATAAACTTCTCTCTGAAGTTCTTATAATTTTTTAAATTTTAATACAAGGCTTGATAGTGCCCTTGGCTCTTGTCACAACAAATCAAGATTCTGCTTCATGTTTTAAAGTTTATCTCTTACAGTCCTTTTTAATTGTAAATATATGTGCAAGCAGGATGTATTACATTAGCTAAACTTGAATTTGAACTGCAACTACAAAGTCCTTTTGCATAAACTGAGTTTTTTTTAGAGCTGACTTAGTTACATTATAGTGATTCAAAGCTTTTGGGTAAACTCAAACCCCTATGCCGAACATAACTGAAATGAAAGAAGTTCTAATCAATAGAATAAATCATATTCTCTCAAGTTTATAAATCAAAAGTTCTTTGAACTACCATTAAAATATGCAAGCAATTTTATTTTATTTTAGAAATATTTTTTATTGTTATTTTTTAGAGAGAGAGAAAGAAACATCGATGTGAGAGAGATACATTAATCGGCTGCCTCCTGCATGCCCCCTCTACTTAGGATCGAGCCAGAAACCTGGGCATGTGCCCTGATCAGGAATCAAACTGCACCTCTCAGTCCATGGGATGATGCTCAATCCACTGAGCCACACTGGCTGGGCAAAATATACAAGCAATTTTATATTGATATAACAGAAAAGTGTTTTCCCTTCTTAACAGTCTTTGACAGATCAATTTATGATGTGAGATATAGAAAAAGTACAGGTGAATTTTTTTTTCCAACCACAGTTTACATTCAACATTATTCTGCACCAGTTTCCGATGTACAGCAAAGTAGCCAGAAAATCACGCACTTTACAGAGTGGTCCCCTCATTGCCCCATGTACCCGCCTGGCCCCATACACAGCCATCACGACACTGTTAACTTTATTCCCTATGCTGTAATCTACAGCCCCATGACTATTCTGTAACTGCAGATTTGTACCACTTAATCCCTTCACCTTTCATCCAGCCCTACAACCTCCCTCCCATCTAGCAACTGTCAGTCAGTTTAAGTACAGATTAAATTTTTGAGAAAACAAGTGTGAATATTCACTTATCTGAACATTTTCAGTAACGGCTTACCTGGGACTTGTTTTTCCAAATCACCTGTGCGAACATTCTTTCAAGTTTCCTCATCAATAGCCACTAACCAAGGAGGGCAGTGTTCATTTCAGTCGTTCATTACATTTTCCAATCAAAGCTGCATTAAAGAGGAGGGCCTTATAATTTTGTTTCCACGCTGCTCATGTGCACATTAGCCTCGCCTGCTTTTCAGACCACTAGTCTGAGGACAGTGTGACGTGCACTTGGTTGCCAGTGTGCACCGGGCCTTTATTGGGATGGACGTCTGGGCCACCATCTTCCCAGCATCAGGGTCGCTGGGACTTGGAGACAATGAAGTAAATGGAAATCCACACAGCCATCTGTGGGGACTTCTCATCAGCATGCTGCTCAGATGGCTTTATTTGGGGAGATGCAGCTCCAGGTCTTCTCCTCTCTGCCTCACATCCTTTTTGGACAAGCCTGGGTCTTCTTCTGCAGGTGCTGCCTCTGGCTGTGTGTACAAAGTGAGGCCTAGACGAACATGAGGGCGGGTGTGGGTACACAGGGGTGAAAACAGAACTCTGGAGGCTTCAAAAATCAGGTCTTGCTGTAGAGGAGCAGTTGCCTCTGATTTCTCCTTGGTGAGAACGATATCGAGTTGAGGGCCAGTAGACCATCGACACCAGAATAAATGAGCATAAGAGAAAACCTAGTTTGTTTGTTTATAAATTTTGAGGATTGTAAGAATCATTGATGTCATGGCAACACTGATTAAATGCTATTGTTTTGGCCCAAGCATGCTAATCCTATCAAAAAGCATTTATAAGGCACCATCTACAAAGTGCCTAAAAGCTCTGATGGACACATGCGTGGATGGGGCTGCGGGCGAGAGCAGGGATGTTGGCACATTGCATTCTGGGAAGTTGAGCTCCCGAAAGTAAAGCAGTTTGGGCAGGCTGGGGAGCGAGAGCCCAGCAGACATGCCAGCTAATTTCTCACTCTTTCAGTTCAGAGCCCCAGAGAAGCAGTTACGAAGTCACCTTCAAGCAGTTACAGTCTAATTGATACATAAATGAAGATCACCCAAAAATCATGATATACACTATATGAAATAACATTTTGTAGGGGAGGATTGGGGAATCTTTAAAGATAAAGTAATATTTGAACTGGGCTTTTTTTTGTTTTGTTTTGTTATTTGGAAAACTGGAACTTGCCAAGAGAGGAAGAAGTTTCTATGAACAGAGGAACAGAAGGGAGAAAGTGTTGGGTCCCTGGAAGCGGCAGGTTTTAACTTTCCTGTGCAGAGAAAGGCTGATTGGCATTTGAATGTCAATCAAAGACCCTTGGATTTATTCAATAGGCAATGAAGTGCTACCGAGAGGACTGTTTGTCCATGCATGCACGACTCAATAGACACATGGTGACACAGCATCAGGGCCTCTCTGGTGACCATTTACATGGGCTGGTCACTGCAGGAGGTCCTGGCCCCCCAGGACTCCTCAGAGGAGGTAGCTCCTTTATGGAGGTTACTACAATACATTCATTAGCAGCTTTCTATACCCAGCCTTTCAAGGAAAGAATTTAAAATGTCACCTTTGTCTTATAAGCATTAGAACATATTTTAAAACATATGAGGATATATGAAAACATCTGAAGATGTATCGGTATTTGCCCAACAGAGATAATTGATTCAGCAATGTGTGCCAAATTATGTGACACATTCCTTTAGCATCTAAAATTAGTGTTTGGTGTTTCTTCAGATATATTCTCATTTCTGCTGATATCTGCCCTGGGCCTCACCGTTTTCATTCTGTTTTCTGATTTTCAAGATATATACCAAGGAATGGAGGTAAGTGGTATCCATCTGCACCTCTGTTATGACTCACGTGTATAATGGGACCATGTTTGCACTGTAATTTCAAATTCTGTTGTTACCATAGTCTCTCTAATCACTGAATGTTGTGAGGCTATTCCCATTTTTTTTTTTTTATCCTCACCCGAGGATATTTTTCCCTTTTTTCAGACAGAGTGGGAGGGAGAGAGAGGAAGAGAGAGAGAGAGAAACATTGACGTGAAAGGGACACATCGAGTGGCTGCCACCCACACGACCAACCAGGGCCGGGGACAAACTGCAACCGAGGTACGTGCCCTTAGCGGAAACCGAACCCGGGTCTCTCTGGACCGCAGGCCGATGCTCTAACCGCTGAGCCAAACCAGCCAGGACTATTCCCATTTATTAGAAGAACAAGTAATATAGCTGGATCTCACATATACTAGGCTCTATTTTCATATGATTGGTATTATCAATTGGGTACATTTATTCTGTTCACATCTGAAATATTATGCTTGGATACTTTATTCTTCTATGTTATACTAGTATAATACATTTTATGTGTTAATACAGTAATTAATTTTTCAAGTTTAATTTTTTAGCACATGTATTAGAAATCCTTCATAATGTACTTGTAAGGAGTAAGAAAAAGTAGACTTGGAGGCCAATCATTTTCCGTCTGTCAGAAAATTGACTGTAGGGAGTTTTATTTCAGTGGACAACATTTGATCCAGGGTACAGTGGGTTAAAACTGAGGTTATTACGAGGTAAGTGAACCCATTCTTGGACCCAGCATTGTGGAGAAATAAAAAGGATTGACCCTTCACTTTCACTATGATCTGACCCACTGCCGTGCCTCCCGGCCTCTGCAGACAACCCTTGCCCCAGGGTGCTGCCTCTCACAACTCAGAGAGACGCTGTCTCCACTTGCGGGGGGAATAACTCATCAAAACAGAGATGAGAATAAAAGTGAGCATTTAGATACTGTGGAGGACCTGTAGTTTTAGTCCTAAAGGCAGCTCGGCCCTCTACACAGTCATTCATAGTCTACTATTGAGGATCAGAAATGGGGCTGTGTAGTTTCCTTTTTGTTTCTTGCTATGGATGCAGCCACGGAAAGCTGTAGCTCTCACACTCATTAAGTAAGTGTAGTCAGTGGTCAACATGTACCCCTTAATCTTCACAAGGAGGTGGATTGGGTGGGGCTGACTTTCATCAAGCCATCGGGCTGAGGGCTAGAAAGATGTGTTCAGAAAATGTCCCCTTCATGTCAATTAAAATAAACTTGAACTTCTTATGTTTACCCATAGATCAATTTTACTAAAAGAATACATTTCAAGTAGATTTTGCTTTTGGAGAATTAGAAGTAATAATTTATTAGATGGATGATTAGACTTCTGCCCTCTTTACTCTATTTGAAAAGATAAAAATAAAGAGACGCAGAAGCTAGCGTCTGCAACCCAGGGCACATCCACTCGATGTCTGTCATCAAGCAATGGAGGGAGCATAGGACGAGAGGCAGTGGTTCTCATTTAAGTTCTGGCTCCGCCTTTTATTTTTTGGCTTTGAGTCCTTGGGCAAGGTACTGGCCTTCTCATCCATAAAGTGAAAATAATGCCTACCTTTCTTACTCAAAGAGTTGTTACCAATGCATAAATTAAATAAGATCATGTGTTTTCTCAAAGTGTAAGGTATGAAAATCATAATGGTAGTATTCCTGTTCTCAGTTCATCCCAACCACAACATCATGGAGGGTTTCGATCCTGGTGGCAGCCCTCATCCAGTTCTGTGTGGCCTTCTTTGTGGAGGTAAAATGATTTCCATACAGTTCCTTTTATTCTTCCAGGGAGATAAACAAATAAAGTGTCTCATTCTCCACAGATGCTCATTTTTTAGAGTGAACATGTCTGTCTCCAGTCATGACAGTTATGAAGGGTTTGTAAAAACTGTGCATGTACCTTGGGGGGGAAATTCCTTAGGGAATGATTTGAAATTCTTTGAAGGCTGCATGGAAATGCTCTCAGAATCTGTAGCATGGAAAGCAAAACATCAAATTAACTCTAATTTTGCCTCACATGAGGGCATTGTATTGTACTTTTCTAGTGTTCTCAATAATCCCGTAGAGACCAGACGAGGTGCCCTTCCAGCTCGGAAATTCAATGAGACCATTTAAAAGTGAAGCAGTCTTCAGAAGGGCTTCCTTAATTAAGAGAGAGGGGAGCCATCGCTCATTCTAGCCGCTGCTTACTCTCCAAGGCCTTCTCCTATAGCATTTCTCTTCTACTTAGTGTCACTAAATCACTTTACCTACTCAGTGAAAGGTTCAAGTACTTTTTTTTTAAAAGGATAGTTTTTTAAAAAACAGATTCATGTACTGTAAATTCCTTGGGAAAGGATATATATTTGGCAGGGGGGTTGCAGAAACATCGATATGAGAAAGACACATCAACTGGTTGCCTCCGACACGACTCCGACCAAGGCTGGGGACCAACTGCAACCAAGGTACGTGCCCTTGATGGGAATCGAACCCGCGACTCTTTGGTCTGCAGGCCAATGCTCTAACCACTGAGCAAAACTAGCTAGGGTGGGGATATCTATTTCTGTAAATGTTCCATTTAATGCAACTAGTATAAAATATCTCATACTTTTTAACTGAGGAATTCTAGTCCTGGGACCATATTTTTTAAAAACCCCAGATGAGCCCGGCCAGTGTGGCTCAGGGGCTTGGGCATCGTCCCATGGACAGAGAAGTCTCTGTTCGATTCCTGGTCAGGGAGTATGCCCAGGTTGCAGGCTCAATCCCCAGTAGGGGGCATGCAGAAGCAGCTGATGGATGTATCTCTTTCACATTGATGTTTCTCTCCCTCTCTCGCCCTCTCTCCTCTCTCTCTAAGAAATCAATAAACACATATTTTTTTTAAGAAACCAAATGAGAGAAAAAAAACCTTACATGTATGAAGGTATTATCACACAGTATTACCCACACTGGTAAAATATGAGACTCGACTCAAGTGCTCAAAAGTAAAGACTCTGCTTGTTTATATAGTTATACAACAATTTAAAGAAATGTTATTAAAAAGGATTATTAAGAAGGTGGTAACTACAAATTGCATATGAAAGCCTAATATAAACAAAAGTGGAATGCAAAATTTGACCAGTTCTATTATGTAAAAATAGTGTGCATGTGACCATAGAAAACACAGAGCCTCCAAAATGGAAAGCAAAATCCGTTTGATTGCTAGAATTTGTTCATTCAACAAACCTTTATTTGGCACCTTCTACAGGGCCTAGGCAGGTAGCAGTAATTTTGTGTTCTTTTCTTGATTTGGGGTACGTTATTGAGTACAGTACCTAGTTATCACTTTAGCCTGGCAGTGAAATGATTCTAAATGGATTATCAGCCAGGATTTAACTAGGAATCTGTGGAAATGGAAGGTTGTATGCTTTCAGTGGATTTCTGGGAACAAAAGTATGCTCTTGCTTCTCAGTGGAAGGTGGGGGGAGCTGCTAGACTTCATGGAGCCCACAGGGTGAGTTAGCAGCCCTCAGTGCATCTCAGAGGAGGGGTGGTAGTAGCGACCAGGCAGCAGGAGGAGTGAATGATGGTTTGTTTTTTCCACCGGAATTGCCAGGATGCCATCCTTCAAAATCGAGAGCTCTGGCTATTGATCAAAAAAAAATTTGGATTCTATTCGAAAAGTCAATATAGGAACTGGCAAAAGAAGCTGGCAGAAGACTCCAACTGGCCTCCCACAAACAGGACAGATTATGCAGGCGAAGGCAAAAATGGATTCTACCTCAACCGAGGCTATGAAAGCCCTGAATGGATTCCAAGGGGAAAACTCGAGTGGGGAGGCCAAAGCACAGAACAGCATTTTTGGACCAGACTGTAATCAGAATTGATGTTGTACATGCCTGACAGCATCCCCCTTTTTCCCAGAAACTAAAGCACTGCGGAGAGGTGAAGAGAGTTTGCCCTTATCTCTTCTCTCTCCAGCTGAGCCCATTTCTCAGTGTATTGAGCTTTGCAACAAAGGACCTTAAATATGTTTATTTTGACTGTATCCTATCCCCTACCACTGAAGGAAAAAATACATTGCCTGGATTGTCATTTTAAAAAAATAAACTTTATTCATATTACATCGCATTATCCTGGTTTAAATGTACAACTTTTCACACATTAATAGTATGGATATCAATAAAAGAAGAACGAGAAAAAATTTGGTCTTTGAAAGTGTCACATATATATATTTTTTATTTTCATCTACAGAAATAAAATAATTTGGAAAAAAAAACAACCCTTCTCTCAACAAATTGTCACAAGTTTACTTAAACTTGTATTCACTACAAAGAACATTTATGTACATATATATTTTTCCAAGGTCACAAAATTCTTTTTGTTCCTTTTGACATGGTTGTAAGAGAGAAATAAGAATGGACATTTACATCAAGAAATTCAACTCCAGCTCTAGGAAACTGGACCTGTGTGGGAGTGGAGAATGAGGTTTCTGTTCATCGCATGAGATCTCTGCCTGGGCACAGCTAGCATCTAACAAACTCCGCCAAAGATGGCATCTCCCAAAACATATTGTTTTGGGGCCGATGAGCTAGGTCCAGAGTAGATCACAAAGGTAATGAAATAAACTGCTAAAATGTACTTTTACCTTAAAGAAGCATGGCACCTTTATTTACTCTTTATTGCTGCCAGGTGAAATCCTCAAGTTTTGTGTGTGTTCTTTTACTCTAAAAGTTGGCCCACACTCCTCATCGCTCATCTTGAAACACAGTCCTAGGGGAGAGACCCATAATGTTCGTATCTACGGCATGACAATGGTCAGGCTACTAAACAACCTTAAGTTTCATTTCATCTTTTCTTTACCTAACTCAATTATTAACAATCACAAGAAAGGGTACATTCTTTACAAATATATTGCGCACACTATTACCTTTGATGCATACTAACCCCACTGTGAACTGGAGTTCCTAGTGAACATTTTATTTATTTATTTATTTATTTATTTATTTATTTATTTATTTAATATGTTTTTATTGATTCTTTAGAGAGAGGGAGAGTTAGAAACATCTATGCAAGAGAGAAACATCAATCGGCTGCCTCCTGCACGCCCTCTGCACATTCCCTGCTGGGGATTGAGCCTGCAACCTGGGCATGTGCCCTGATTGGGAATCAAACTAGGACCTCTCAGTCCATGGGACAATACTAAATCTACTGAGCCACACTGGCCGGGCCCTAGTGAACATTTTATATTATCTACTAGGTTTTACTTATGACAATAAATCTAATTTTATGAACTTAACATCTTTAATGGTTCATAGGCAATTAGATAACCAGTCCCATTCCATGAGCGCCAATTATGTGCCTAACACTGCGATGTATGGCTTCAATGATGTATTTACAATTCTGAAACCTTTATAATTGCCAAAAATTTTTAACATTTAATCAACTTATTTCTGTAAATAGGATTATGTACTTTGTTACACAAACCAGCAGCATAAATGCAAATTTCTGTGAAAACAACCTTCTATATTTACATTTTATTTGCAAAATCTTTTTTGGGGGGTTGCACAGCTCTTGGACAGTGATAATTTTCAAAATGTGTCTAATTTAGTGGATACTAATAAAGAATAAAAAGTATTTAGCTTATGATGACAAAAATGTATGTCAACATAAAAAATACGTAACTCGGGCTCCTTGAGCGGTTATATCTGTATTTAGTAATTTGACCATTAGAGCAAGAAGATTCCATTGATACTCTATGACATTGCCACAGCATTAAAAGGTTTTTAAAAATCTTGATTCAATAAATGCACATCTTTATTTTTTTTCGGCCAATTTTTCCAACCACCTTTTTGGTATCTGATAGGTGATACTCTTTATTTCACACATTTTTGGAAGTGGAACATAATGAAGTTGAACTCTGTACTTAACTTTGCTAAAGATATACTCAGAGAAAGGTATAATAGTCTTGGAAAAAACATTTGATAAAAGCACAATGAGCATGGCCACGTATCAGATGATCACCTGTAACAGCAATTTTCAACCTTTTTCAGCTCCTATAACACATAAAATAATTATTAAAGTTCTGCGGAACACCAAAAAATATATTTTTTGCCGATCTGACAAAAAATAGGTATAATTTTGATTCATTCATATTGACAGCTATTGTTGTGTAGCAGTTGTCTTTTTTTTTTACTTGACAACTTAAGGGAAAAGAGGTCAGTGCCCCTGACTAAATAGTCAGGTATTATGTGTTTTAAAAAGTTTTGCAGCCCATCATTGTGCCACAGCACATGGGTTGAAAATTGCTCACCTACAGAAAAAACAAACTGACAATCTTAAGTTGCCCATCAACAAGAGTGGCCATTCAAAAAAATGTGCGTGTGTGTGTGTATTTATTGATTTTAAAGAGAAAGGATGAGAGAGGGCGAGAAAGAGAAACAGTAATGTAATAGAGAAACATCAATCAGCTGCCTTCTGTATGCTCCCTAGTGGGGACCGAGCCAGCAACTCAGGCATGGGCCTCGATGGGGAATCAAACCAGGGACTTTCCAATGTGTGGGATGAAGCCCAACCAACTGAGCCACACTGGCCAAGGCAAGAGTGGCTATTCTTATGGGAACACACGACTAACTTTGTGAGCTTACGTTCAAGAGTGAACATTATTGGAGCCTTGAACAATACCTATGTGAAAAATTAATTCATGAATTTAATTTCAAAGTGCATTTATGACATTATCTAGTGTAGTGAGGACTGTCTTCTGGAGTGGAGAATCCAGAGTCATTGAGAAAGGTTTAACATGAGTTATTCTTGGAAAGTATGTCCGCAGTTCTGGTCCCTCCCCCATCCACTGCACCCAAGTCTTCTGTTTGGGGTCCAGATATTTCCTCTGAAGTCACCTTTATTCAAAGGTGAACACATCTTGGGAGAGGGAACACATTAAACTGCCATCAATCTCACTCTAATTTGACAACACTAGAAAAGTGCTCATTTTTAAAAAAAACTATTACTTGAGAGAAGGTCATAAAAGAAACAGGAAACTAAATTTAGAATAAAAAGGAAGGGGTATTTTGGATCATGGTATCTGTAGGAGGCACCCATATCTCCCCAGACATTCAGTGGAGGAAGAGAGAGTTTGGGTTATCTGGAGGCAGAGTTGGCACCATAAGAAAGAAAAGTCAGAGAACAAGGAAGAAAGAGAGATAAAGCCTCTACTGGCCCTGATTGCAGTACCTGGCCCCTTCTGTTACCATTATTAACTGTGCAGTTAAGAATACTGAAAGATGGTAGAGTGTTTTGACCCTGGGGTAAAATCTGAACAAGTTTAATAGGTCCAAGCCTTTCCTTGAGTCTTCTGTTCCTTTATCTACCATATTTCTGGTTCCTTCATTGCACCCCCCCCCCCTCAATATTTACTTGAACTTTTCCTTTATTTAATGACATGCTTTTAATGATGCCACAAGAAGGATGTCACTGGCTGCGAGTGTGTTTTGTAGGACAATGTTATCATGTCTGATAAAATCTTAGGGTATACAGACCTGCAACCATTTTCCCCCACCTGCTGCCAACAAGAATTCCACTGGAAAAGCATTAAAAAGTCACTTGTTTTATTCAACACATAGTCAATAAAATGCAAGAATAAAGTCATGACTCTCCTTGACTTACAGTAAAAGCCTTTTAAAAGTAATATGGGATATTGTTTTCTAAATATAGCACCTTAAACCTACTTTAATGATCTCTTTCTAAGGTTAAAACCCTTGAAATATTTCACAATCCAAAGGGAACAATGTAGGTGAGAGTAACAGCCCATTCTTGCTGGTCATGGACTTCTGATCAATGAGGTGTTTCCAGGCAAATCACTGAAACACTGGGCCACAGCTCCTTTCCCCACTCATCCCATCTACCCAGGAGGAGCAAGGAGAGGGGCGTACACTCTCAAATGGCTTGTCAATCAAAGTTCCTCAAACTGCCTAACCAAATGCTGAATTTCCCGATTTCTTTCCTGAACAGAAAAGGAGTATGAATTTAGATGTCAACCTTAACCATTTAGAGCTCTTATCATTTTTTTTCAAAATCATACATAATCTGGTTTCCTTCTCTGGCAAATACCAAATAGCCACCCTCAGGGAAAAGGAAAATCATATTTATAGTAGAAGATAAAATATAATGTGATTTTGTTAAGATTCTTGGCTGGTTCACTCACAAGGCTACTGCTTCTTGTTCCAGCTGCCACAGAAAATCTATGCTAGTAGGGAGAAAAATTTCCTGGGCTCAATGATGAGATAATATCAGTAAGCAATTTATTAAAGAGCCTGCCATCCATCACTGGAGTTTGAAACAATATGATGCATTGAAAATAAGTATTCACCCCAGTTTTTGTTTTCCCCTCCTCACAAATTTCTTCAGTTCCAATATATCTTCAGTAAATTGTTAATAGTATTTGCTCTTTGTCTCTTTGAGAACAAGCCCAGGAATGACAAGGCACCGGCAGCAGCTGTCACAACCCCAATGGTGTTTAGTGCTCTGTTGGCCTATGAAGAAAGGACAAGCAAACAAAAAACATATTTTATTCTAAAGGCATCTTGGTGTCCTAAACCCAAGCTTTAGGTTGTTTTTTCAACTGAAGACTCATCTTAATGTACAACAGATACATCTAAAGCTCAATGCAACATTTACATTTTGTATAAAGATAAATACATTTATAATTTATATAGTTATGACAAAAATATAGATAACACAGACACACACATATATATATATATCATATTTTTGTAGCCCCTGTCCATTAATAAACTCATTATCACAATCTCTACTAATCATCATAGTATACCTGGAATGTAGCATTACTCCTGTTTTGCAAAACTTGAGAAGTTAAAAGTGATTTGCCTGGGGTCATAGAGCCAGAATATTTAGCTATAGGTTGACTCTTGAACTATATGTTAACCCTCTACACAACCCTACCACATAAACACATACTGGTTTGGTTGGATCTACACCAGGGTCAATAGTGTGTGTGTGTGTGTGTGTGTGTGTGTGTTTTCCCCTGACTCAAGAATGTCTGTTAGGAAAATAATTCAGGGATATGATCTGAGCTAAATATCTGTAAGCTCTTATTTGGTCAATGCCATTTATATTCTGATAAACTTGAAAAGAAGTCAATATTGTTGTTAATGATCGTGTCAAAAATTAATTTCTCATGTAGGCAAACTAAAATAAACCACTCTAAAGCTCAATTGTCCATAGAAGAGTTCAGATGGTTACAGCTTTAAGGGTATTAATCATCATCATCATGAGGGAGCTAATGAATATTCATGGATTTATGGTCCTCCATCTGCATGGGTTTGAGTGCAATTTTATGACCCAAAGGTCACGTTCAGATACTCCAGCATCAGGTATTCTGAAAACAACAGTTGTTCTCTGGAATTTAAGAATCAGGCTCTCAGACAAAGCAAAATATTTTCCCCAAATGACTCTGGAGACCAAACCCCAATGCTGGAAAGCACAACCCAGCTCACATTTGCGCTTGCCCTCCGTCTGACCCCACGGCTCCCCCACTGAGCCCGCCACCCCCATATTACCGACACAGGACACCTCCCTAAGTGCAGCCTCCCTGCTGGGAACAGGCAGGAAGGGCCTGGCCAGGAAGGAAGTGCAAGGACAGCAGCGTTCACTCAGGCCACCATCCTGTGGGTGGCAGGGACACGCCCGAGACTAACGCCCTGCTCTGCCACCCGCCCTGGTTGCCAGGGAGAATGGTGCTGACACACACCCGACAAATCCTCTTCTCGTTTACAATTCTAATTTCGTTTGGTTGGTTGGTTTTTTATTTGTAATTTTTAATTAGTATGGAAGTTATTTGCCAGGAGAGATCTGGAATTCACTGAAGGACAGAGCTCTCCGCATAGTGCACGGGGTACCCAAAGGGGCAGGAGACACAAGCTACAGGACAGAATCCCAAAGACTGGCAGAATCAATGATCACACAGGAACCGAAGATAAATCAAGGCCAACCTTCACGCAATTCCAGGCAGCTGCTGAGCTCCCCTGAAGGTTTGATACAGGGCAACGTGGCAGCCCATGAAAAAACAGAAAGGTCGCTGGTGTCTTTAAACAGGTGTCAAATGGCAGCAGGTCTAGCCCTGGAAAAACTCAGGGTCCTGTGGGTAGGGAGGAGGGCAGCTAGATGCAGAGCTAACTCACTGAGTATTTTCCAGCCTCTTAGAAACACAAAATGTGAGAGAAATCCCATAAATCTCCAAGGCCTGGGGAGAGGACAGGCAACTCGATCCTAAACCAAAGACTGGACAGGCCAGATACAATGACACTAAAGCCACTTCCGGCAGTGCACGCATTTTCTCAAATTCCAAACGCTTACTTCAAGTTGCATTCCAGATGGCAAAATCCCATGCAGTGTGAACAATCCCTTGAAGTTGTATCTAATGGGATCTGACCTGCAAGATTATGATGTCCGGGGCTGTTCTCAGTGAGGCAGCATGAACAAGATTTCCTACTTTAAGACTTACGTAGGATTATAAAATCACCAAATCTGACTTTGCAAACTCCATCCTTTACAGGGCTTTCTGTCTGTGGGCCACAGTAAAGGCTTCGTTCTGAGGATCTGTACATGCGCAATGGAACGTTAGCTGAGCCTGGAGCGCCGTGTCCAAGCACAGTGTCGCTGGGTCACAGAGGACTGCGGGGTTTATCAAGTAGCCTCTTCCCCCGAGACGCTCAGGCTGCAGTGCTGGGCAGTGCAGCAGTCAGGGTGTGCTGTGTGGCGCCTGCTCCAGGCCTAGTCAGAGTCCTGCCATCTTCCACAAAGATAGACACATTTTAATAACTTGTTCAGACATAACAGTGAGAAATGTTGATTTCAGAAATTTCAAAAAATACAGAAAAGAAAAGCCATGAGCTGGGAGAAAACATTTACAAAAGACAAATCTGATAAAGATTATTAACCAAAATATGCAAAGAACTCTTAAGACTCAACAATAAGAAAACAAGCAAGCAACCCAATTAAACATGAGTAAATGATCTCAAATGACATGTCACCAAATGCGATATGTAAATAAGCCTATGAAAAGATGCTCAGCATCATAGGGATTCATGCAATTGTAAATTAAGACAAGATACCACTGCACCCATTAGAATGGCTAAATTCCAAAACACTGACACCACCAAATGATGGTGAGAATGTGAAACAATAAGAAATCTCATTCACTGATGATGGGAATGCAAAATGGCACAGCCACATGGGAAGGCAATTTGGTGGATCTTACAAAACTAAACATACTCTTACCAGACAATCCAGCAGTCACGCCCCTTGGTATTTACCTAGAGGAGCTGAAGACTTACATCCACACAATAACCGGCACAAATGTTTATAGTAGCTTTATTCATCATTACCAAAACTCAGAAGCAACCCAAATGTCCTTCAGTAGGTGAATGTACATCCAGACAATGGAATATTATTCAGTGATGAAAATAAATGAGCTATCAAACCATGAAAAGATATGAATGAATTTTAAATACCTACTGCTTGGTATAATTTCAACTCTATGACATTCTGGAGAAGGTAAAACTATGGCAACAATAAAAAGATCAGTGGTTACCAGAAGTTTAAGGGGAGAGAGGGACACATGGACCTAGAGCACTGAGGACTTGTAGGACAAGAAAACTATTCTATATGATACTGTAATGACATAATCTGCCAAAACCTATAGAAGGTAAAACAGCAAGAATGAACCCTAATGTAAATTATATTTATGGGAGGAAAAGTGTTTTCTCTACCCACCTTAGGTTCTCAGAAGAGTCTCCGTACTGAAAGGTAGGTTAGCAAGTGTACAACAGACAGAAGTCCAGTAACATATACATCTCATATATATGTGAGAAAGAAAGAAGAGTAACTTAAAGTGTGGCTTAGAATTCAGGCTGATGTAGCATTTTCAACAAAGAACAGGCATTTGTAGAGACAGGACAAAGGAAAGTGGAATTAGACTTCCAAGGACTGCAAACTGTAGGAAAATAAACATATCGGAAACTCAGGGCAGATAGAGCCTAGTTGGTCAAGTTCAAACAGATTCCTCTGGTGCTCCCTCCAGGCTGGTAAGTGTCTTACCTTAACCACAGGTGTCCCAGTGATTAAGTGTTGTCTTTCCTGGCAGAGAGAATGGAGGCAGGGCACCTATGGCGATGTACGCCTTGCTTTTAGGCAAATAGAGGGAAAGGAGTGTTCTGCTTCTTCTCAATGCCTTCGGCTCAAAATAATCTTTATGCCAAAGTGTTATATTTGGGGTGACACACTCTGGGTTCTTTCACTGTGGACTTTGGTTGATAATGATATACTGATGTTGACTCATCTTCTGTGACAAACGGACCACACTGATGAGAGACGTCGATGGTGGGGAAGGCTATGTATGTGTGGTGGGGAGGGAGATAGAGGAACTTGATACTATCAGCTCAATGTTTCCATGAACCTAAAAACTGCTGTAATAATAAAACCTATTGATTTTTTAAAATATGGAAAGGCGCAAACAAGAAAAAGGTAGGACCATGATCCTTCTACCTGTCTCATAGTTTTAAAATGCATTTATAGTTGTTGTTTTTTTTCCATTGGAGGAAATACATAGCCATTCCCCCAAGAAAACTGTTCTAAGCTCAAGACCCCTAAGCCTTAAGGGGACCCCAAAAACTAATCTAAGACTAGCTATTACTAGTAGTAATACTATTAATTATGAACAGTAATAAAAATAATAATTCAACTGCTATAATTCCTGTCAGATCTGCAGCGATTTTATTAAAGAGTGCCAACAAAGATCTATACAATTCTTAAAATAGTGCAATTAAGAATAATATCCAGCATTTATAAGGATGGATGATATGTATGCTAAGGATGTATGATATGCTAAGAAAGAAAAAAGAGAGAGAGAACTCATGGGCCTGGACAGCCGAGAGGTAACTGCATGGGATGGAGGGTGGGTGGAGGGGGGAGAGGGCACAGAGGGGATAAATAAACGGAAAAATAAAATAAATACAGAATGCTGAGATTTCAAGTATCTCCAATAATTTACAAAACAACCTCAGTTTATAAATTAGAAAACTGATAAATAACGTGTCCAAAGTCACCCAGCTAATAAGTGGCAAAGATGGAGTTCTATCTCAGGTAAGCAGAATGCCGAAGCTCAGGTGCGTTCTCAAGGCCGTCACTGCACCATCTTCATGAGAACTTGCTAGAGAAGAGTTCTACTAGTTGTTGAGGAATTCATTTTTAGGGGTCTTGATTCTGGGTATGAAAGGTGATTTGTGTGTATATACTTTGTGTTCTAGCTCAGAAACAATTTATTGTTCCACATGAGTAGTACATTTATTATGTTAATGTATTTCCTAATACAAATGAATTTCCAATTAAATCATTTCCTAATGAAAACAAATATACCCTTTCTTACATTTCATCTCGTTTTCCTAAGCTCCCATGAGAAGAATTTAACTCATTCCTTAGAACAAATGTTTATACGACTGATCCACCATTTCCAGATATTGGAAGCGTTATATATTCATTTTCTATGCTTTAAAAAATCTTTAGGTTAAAATATCAATGATGGAATTGAGTTGGTAGGATGATAGGTGGGGAAAAGGCAATTGAATCAAGCATGTTTTTAGTTAGACATCTGCCGTACTACAAAATACCGAAGGTAGTGACAAAGTCACAAGCTACTTTAAAAATAAGGTCAATTACTCCATTAAAAATAATCCAAAAGCTCAATGAATCAAAAAAATCTACTTAAAAGCACAAAATTTATTTGAAACTAGCTTTGCAAGGAGATAGAAAACATTTACAAACCCACCAAGATATATCATCAGTTTGCTTTTGTCAGCTAATGAAAAAGAATATTAGAATTACCATCTGTTTTGGGCAAATGAACTCCCATTCAAAGGAGTGAACAATCTTTTCAGAATATTCTCTTCAGTCTATAAGATTACTGATTTAAGACTGCTGTATGGTGGGGTAACTGGAGAAATTATTGAAAGACAAAAGACTAACAGAAAGCTATGGTCTTGATTCTGCATCAAGTCCCTTTCACCCAAAATTAATGACAGCCAGGTTTGGTCATTAACTTGTTGCGTGACCCTGGACAACTCAATTCCCTGTTTTGTCCTTCAGTGTTCTCATATTTTCTCATTCTTGTCATTCTGTACGAGGCCTAGGAACTTTATCATCATCAATAGTTATTGTTTTCCCAATGTAAGAAACTCCTTATATATCTCTTAAAGAAAACTCACCTGCTCTGAAATTCCTTCTCCATAGCGAAGCAAAGTCACAAAATGCTCACAGTTGTTGACTAGTATGTCATACTCCACTTCCTGTCCAATAACAAACTCTGACCGTTGTATGACTTCTTCCATGGGGAGAGGAGGGTAGGTTTCATCATATTTATTGTTTATTCTATATCTGTCCTTTCCCACAACATCCTTCAAGAGCTGCATCTTCACCAGGGCCTTTCTGCTGAATACTGACTTGGCGCTTGTAAATGATGCAGAGATGCCATCCTCTATAAGGAGAATTCTGGTTAGCAAGCTATAGTGACCCAGCCCAGTGACTCCAATGTCATCTGAAGACTGAAATTCCTGGGATAGCTAAACCCAGCTCTGTTCTAAACTTATCATCAAACCAGAAGTCACTTAATCTTACCAGCGTTAAGCACTCGTCATAATTTATCAATACACTTATTCAACACTGTGTAAGTGAGAATACAAGAAAACTTTGGAAAGTTTGTATCTCCCCAAGAGTAAACTGGGTATGAAAACTGTACCCCTTCTTGAGTAATAAGTTCTCCATCAGTTGGTATTATTGTTAGAGATCTTGGTATATGGCTCTAATATGGTACAGATAGGACCACTGCCCATGGTTTCTCTGCGCATGCTTTTTCAGCACGTGAGCCCTTCCCAACTAATACTGTTGGGCTTTAGCACCAGTGCATTATGATTACTAGGGTTGTCCTGACATCTAAGCTGCATATCTTGCCCTCACCTCATGTTTTTACACTTACTCTTTCAACTAGGCTGCAATTTGGTTCCAATTTGAAATCCGCACGGTACCCCACTCCTCTGAGGGGTGAACAGGGGTCAGGTGGAGTCACGGCTTTTGTTTTACCAGTTTCTTTGGCCAAGAAACTAAGTCCTGACGCTGAGCCTAACCTAGTATGCACTGTCTGCTCCCTTGGCCTCAGGCTGTGGCTTACCCACCTGTTCCAAGGCCTCATGCTCCGTCACTCCCTCTTAGCTGCCTCTGTGGGTAAGCATTTGCCTAGACTGCCAGGGACCTCTGCATGCTGGCCTGCCGCAGCCAGGGTCTGAGGCTGGACAGACAGGTCCTCAGTGTTCAGCTCCAATGCCAGCCTTGCCATCTGTCTGAGACAGCTGTGCTTGGCCATTGTTCCAATAAATCATGAGAGGAAGGGTCTCTATACAACCACTGTTTAGACACGTTTCCTTTTAGTCATGACTGAAAGCAAACTTTCTTCCTCGCTCTTTTTTTTTTTTTTCCTATCTGCAAGCTCCTATTCATTGGAGCAGCATTTCCAAATCTTACACATGGAACGTTCCTACACATTACAAGTTCTTAGAGCACATTTATCCTAGTTAGAATTATTAAACTTTTTTTTTTTTTTAGTAGTCTGATGTAATCAATTTGCAGGTGTGGAAATTGAAGCTTGGAGAAGTAAACTGACTGGTAAAATACCACTTGAATGGTTAACAACATAAACAGGGATTGAATTTCAGTCTACAGAATCATAGCTCAGTGCTTAGACCACATTAAAATGAAGCTTATGACATGAAAATAAGAAAACAGTACCAAAATCTCATATGATTTTTCCAGATGTGAAAAGTACAGAGATAATGTAGAGACTTGCTCAGTGTTAATCACCAGACTCTGTAGGAACTAGAAGCTCTGTATCATAAATGCCATTTTATTCACCATTTCCATTTTCAGTATTCTAGAACATGAAGCAACTATCTCAAAATATTGCAAAAATTACTTCATTAAAAGTTCTCAATACAGTAAAAATTGGGTCTATAAACACTTCTCTTTAAAGGCTATTTATCTGCATATATTTTTCCTAATAAATTAATTTGTGCTCATTTCTAAACATTTATAAAATACAAAAAAAAAGAGAGAATACAGTATAAACACATGCATATAAATCATTCACCATCCTGCCACCCAGAAATAACTGCTACTTTTTTAATGTACTTGTATTATGTCTTTTATTAACACATGTAGAGGTGCATGTGTGTATGTGTATTCATGTGTGTTTATACATTACTCTTTTGCAAAGTAGGTTTTATATTACATGTTGCACTTTAATCTGGAATTTTCAAATAAATATCATATAAGGATCCTCTTTCATGCAATTAAACACATCCAGCAATGTGATCTTTAATAGCTTTTATAGTGGCTATTGTTTTTGTCTATCTAGCACCTCATCCCATCACTGCCTCTTTCTGAAAAAGACTCTGTCTAGGCCAACAAATATCCCATTCTCGTGGGCATAGTGATGGTCTAGCAATGGGTATGGAACGCCCACTGGATGAATTAGAGTCATTCTCAATGATTTTTCTAATTGCGACAGGCAAGGGTGAGCTATCTCTTCTGTTGGGTCACGAGATTATAAATAAGAGCCTACAGATGCTGATGGTCTTCAGTTCAGCTTCTTAGAGACACACAGCCTGGGGGAATGAGGACAACAGAGAGAACAAATAGATACAGTTGTAAGACAGAGAGTCTTAACAGTGTTCATACCTCTCAGTCTCACATTCCGGGGGCCAGCACCACCTCTACCTTTTCTGTAGTTTCCCTTCGTGAAACAATGATTATCTTTTTTGTTTAAGTTCATTTGAGTTTGATTTCTGTTATTTGCAACTCAAGAATCCTGCCAAACACAGATGCCTAATATTTTGTGGCTAAATAACAATTTGTTTAACCATTCCCCTATTGAACTTTAAGCCAGTCTATTTTATTAAACCATTATAAGTGAGATAGATGTGAACAGCCGTATACAGAAACGTTGGTTTCTATCTCTTTGATATTTCTAAGAACAGATTCATACAAGTACAATTACATGGTCAGAACATGTGAACTCCTTTAAGACTTTCAACAGATAGGATTACATTATCTTTGTGAATTATTTTATGAACTTCTATTTCTATCAACAATATCTTTGTGTTTGTTTCAGTATACCATTATCAACAATGATTGTTACCATATTTTAACCTTTGTTAATGTGATAGGCATAAAATATGTCATTTTATTTGATAATTCTTAGGTGACTAAAAAGGTAAAATCCTGCCCTGGCCAGTTTGTGAAGTGGTTAGAGCATCGGCCCGGGGACCAGAGAGTCCCAAGTTTAGTTCCCACTAAGGGCACGTACCTCAGATGCAGTTTGTCCCTGGCCCCGGTTGGGGTCGTGTGTGTGGCAACCAGTCAATGTGTCTCTCTCACATCAATGTTTCTCTCTCTCTCTCTTTCTCCCTCCCTCTCTATCTGAAGATAAATGCAACAATGTCCTCGAGTGAGAATAAATAATAATAATAATAATAATAAGTTAAAATCCTTAAATATGGGTATTGGCTTTTGCTTTCTTCTTCTGCAAATTTTTCATAATTCTTTACCTATTTGTTTTTGGGGGATATGGGTGTTTGCTGCCCACCTGGCCTGGAAAACCCTTTTCCCAAATATCATCTGTCTGGTCTTCTCACCTCTTTCAAGATCTCAAATGTTACTTTCTTATGAGATTTTCCCGGCCACCTCATTTAAAATTACTGTACCACTAACCCTCTGGCACTTCATATCCTGCTTCTATGATTTACTTTCTTCATATTATTAATCTTTATTCGGACATGGCTCTCAGCGTTCTTCCTCTCTCCCCCACTAGAATGTATGCCCCATGCAGGGAGATGTCTACGTATCCTCAGTATCTAGAACAGTATACTGATGAATCTATAGGTGTTGAATGAATTGAAATAATTTGTGTGATATATAAAAACAGTGACTCTTGTCATGTTTGTTGCAAATATTTTTCCCGGCTGATTATTTACTTTTAAATTGTGTTTTTGTTTGTTTTTTGAGCCAGAAGTTTTAAATTTTGATGTTAATTGACATTTGTGATTTCTTCAATGCCTCTTTGGTCTTAAAATGTTCTTCCCTAAACCTAGATCACTTCTATTTACCCACTTTTTACATTTTATTTTGTTTAATACTATGATTTCATTCATGATTCTTTCTTATAATAAAAAAAACTAAAATGCTCCCGGGAGCTGCAGGAAATAAACCTTACCTCGAGGTGCTATGTTGATAACATAGCCATCGCCCAAGTACAGGGCCCAGTGCTGATAGCCAGGGCGAAACACTTCAATCAAGTCCCCTGGCTGGGGGTTGCCAGGATATTTCAAACTAAAGCAACCAGTAAATGCCATCTGTAATGACAGACATAAAGAAAATCTAGCTGATACGATTTGTCAAAAGAAATTCAGTTTAAGACTTCCATAGAAGCCAAGGGAGACAGAATTACTGGGATTACACTGCTTAATAAAGACTTAGACGCATGCCCTTGTCTGTTTCTTTGAACGATGCGCAAGCAGACAGTGGGGAAAGACTTGATATTGCTTCGTTTTCTATAGCAATGCTTCTTATCCTGACCAACCCAAGGCCCCTTTATTAGAACAAGCATCTTATAGTTCTCTCTTTAAATCCATGAACTTACAAAAACTATTATTTACCTATAGTCAAAATTTCAAAAATATTAATATAATGCCTATTTGGAATAGAAAAGAGAAGGACATTCATATTAAAATCTGTTTACCATGTAAATAACTACATAAGAAACATAATAAAGTGTTTGTATTCTTATACTTACTGAGTATGAAAGAGTCAGGATTGAAAATCAGAAGATGAGAAGTCTTTCAGCCTCTCATATAGCAGCATCATAAATTAAAGAGCATCCATGGGTGGATGCTAATATTCTAATTCTATGCAAAAAAATTTAGTGTATTACAAAACTTACTCTGTGAGTTAATTTAAGCAGATACAAGCTCCAGGCTCAGGTGAGTATCCAGCCAGATACTCAGGCATCTAGTAGGATTCAGAACATTTCTTCCTTGTGCCGAGCTGTGCCCTCTGGCCTCCACCCACTGAACACCAGTGAATGCCCTTGGTCATCATGACAGCCACAAACACCCCCACAGCTTTCCATCCCCCCCAAAGCCCTGCTTAGTGTCTGATTCCTCACTTCCTGAGTCCAGAAACAGCGCAAGGTGGTCAGCCTTGAAGTAGCGTAATTTGCAAGGTTGGAGAATTCATTATATCGATAAGCATGTCTTAAAATTCTAAGTTTGAAGAGTTTTTTTTCCTTGAAATTCAATACTTTTCAGAAAGAACATTTAAGTCTCTTACAGTTTATTTTTATGAAATGTTACAGTTTCTATGTATGGCACACAAGTAGAATGACTCAGCAAGAGGAAGTTATATATATCCATTAATAATCAAAAGGAGATTTAATGCCAAATCCATTTTGAACATCAAGTTGACAACAGAGCGTTCCTCATCTAACATAGATGTTGTACACTGAGTTACAAAATAAATCCAAGTGCTGGGAAGGGGAACTTCCACATCATCTAAATTATCATTATAATAGCACAGGCTAAGGACTTGGGAAGACACACTACCATTTCTCTGGCACTCTGAAAGTCTTTTTTACAACAATTAATATTGGGAGGGTGTTTTCCCAAGTAGTTGTATGCCATCTGTTGAAAATTTCAATCATCACACTGGCACAGAAATGTGGCCTATATAAGCTGTCCATCTGTTGAAAAATAACCATTAAAAAAACTTTATGGAAACCATTAAGTCTAACCACCCTCTCAACTATGCTGAGTCTTATTGATATGGCAGTTCACAATTTGGCCACGTGGGTACTAGAAGGAAAAATAGATAATATACGATAATATAAACAAACACATCGAATTGGAATCAGCAAGCACATACAGCTGCCTGCTCAAAGTCAGAGACCCAGCCAAGCTCCCAAGAACAACCACCATTTAAACAGAGAGCAATCTGCAGCGCAACCCTTTTTTTTTTCAAATGCAGTATCTCAATTAACCCTATTTAACTTTTTAAAAACCTACAACTATTTGAGTTGATTTGTTATTCACCCATTTTACAGATAAAAAGTGACAGTAGAAAATGCCAAGTTTGAGGAAATAGTCACTGAATCCTTTATATTATAAAATATAGAGGGGAGAATAGCTGGACTAGGTGTTTAAAATATGAACTCTTGTCTCTGGTCTTTTACTTGCTAGTTCCTTTACTTTGGGAAAGTCATTCAAATCGTCTGAATCTCAGTTTCATCATTTTGAAGGCAGGCATAGGAAGAATAAGGCTGAACTGTTGATCTCGAAAAGCTGTTGCAAATAACCTTTCGTGAACTGGCTAAAAGCTGTTGCAAGTGCTTTGTGATCCGGCAAGAGCTGGGCGGGGGGATGGTAAGAGAGGGGCAGCTGTTTGCAAAGGCTGAAGGACTGGTTCGTGCTTATGTGTAATTTTATTTCCTTATCTTCTTTCAGCCACGATAATTCTGCGGAATGGACGATTCCACTGCAGAATTTTAATATATTTAACACGTTTCGAATTCTGACATGTAACTTGTAAACTGGTTTATGAAATGTAATTTCACGAGGCCTGTCATATTTATAAAGAGGGATGACAGGATAACAAGGAAAACATTTCACATGAGGAAGCGCTCAAGAAACTAAGAGGTAACTGAAGGCTAATGTGTGAGGGAAAGGGCTTCCTGACGCTGAGCCCCTAGAAAGGCACTTTAGATGTTACCGAACGCATGCTGTCCAATCTTGTTTTTAGCGGTGGGGCTCTGTGTCAAATCAGGTATCAGATAGACTCTCAACAATACAAAATATGCAAAGCAGCCCTGCCCTGCATGAAGTGAGGGAGGGGCATGAGAGCCCCACCTGCTCCTTATTGTTGCTGCTACTGAGGTTTTTGGAATCCCGTGTCTTCCAGGAATGGATCCCAAATGACACCCATCTAGTCCTCACACAACCCCTCACTGTTACAACAGAGGATACAGAACCAGGTAGGTGATTTGTCTTGCCCAAGGTCATATGCTATTTTACAAAATCTGTTTAACAAATCGTTTTGCTGGACAAATTGAATTTTCACTGGGGAAAAAAATTCAAAGTGAATCATAAGCATAAATGTAAAACTATAAATCATCAACAAAACCCACAGAGGAGAAAATCCTCAGGATCTAGGGTGAGCAGAAAGTTCTTAGACTTGATACCAAAAGTGCTCTCCATAAAAGGTAAGCTGGCAATCGGATGTCCTCAAAATTAAAAATGTTTGCACTGTAAAAGATCTGTGGAAACAACAAAAAGACAAACTACAGAGAGGGAGAAAACATTTGCAAACCACATATCCAAGAAAAGACTAGTATGGAGAACATGACAAACTCTTAGAACTCAGCAACAAAAAAGCAAGGAACAAATTAGAACTTGAGCAAAACACACAAAGACACATTTAATCAAAGAAGACACAGATGTCAAGTCAGCCAGGTTAAACATCACTAGCCATTATAGAAATGCAGATTACAATCATGATGAGATAGCCCTACACTCTAATCACAGAAGCTAAAATAAAAAATAGTGACCACAAAATGTTGGCAAGGATGCAGGATAACTGGATCACTCGTTAATTGCTGGTGAGAATATAAACTGGTACAGCCACTCTGGAAGAAGTCTGTCAATTTTTTTAAAAACTTAATTTGTAACTAACATATGATCCAGAAACTGCACCCCTAGCTATTTATACCAGAGACTGAAGACAATGAAGACTTATACTCATACAAAAACCTGTAAAGCAGCTTATTCATAATAGCCCAAAACTGGAAACAACCTAGGTGACCTTTAATAGGTGAAGTCTGAACAAACTGTGGGACAGCCATACTATGGAATACTACTACTACGGAAGGAGAAAGAACACACTATTGATGCATGCAAAGACCTAGATTAATCTCCAGAGGATTATGCTGAGTGAAAAAAGCCAATGACAAAGGTTACATAATGTGGGATCCTAACTGTATAACATTTTTGAAATGACAAAATTATAAAAATAGAGAACAAATAGTGATTGCCAGGGTTAAGGAAGTGGTGAGAGGGAAGTGGGCGTGGCTATAAAAAGGCAACACTGGAGATTCTAGTGGTGATGGAAATGTCCTACCTCTCCATCAGGTCAATGTGTATCTTCTGGTTGTGATCCTGTATTGCAATTTTGCAAGTTGTTATCAATGAGAGGAACCACATAAAGGTCCAAGGAATCTCTCTGCATTGTTTTTTATAACTAACTGCATATGAATCTGCACTTACCTCAAAAAATATTTTTTAAAAAGACCAATGGTTATTTTTTTGGTTTTTTTTGTTTTTTAACAGAGCATAGAAGAGGACCTATAATATATGGAAGTTACATTGAGGCAGTTTTGAGCTGTATATGAAGACTATTTTATTTTCCTGAAGATGATCCAATAATGGAATGGAAATATTTAAACACAGTCAGGGTTGATAAAAATAAAATTTCCAGCCCGGCTGGTGTGGCTGAGTGGTTGAGCATCGACCCGTGCACCAAGAGCTCACCAGTTTGATTCCTGGTCAGGGCACATGCCCAGGTTGTAGGCCCGATCCCCAGTGGGGGGCAGGCAGGAGGCGGTCAATCGATGTTCTCTCTCATCAATGTTTCTCTCTCTCTCTCCCTCTCCCTTCCTCTCTTTCTCTAAAACCAATAAAGAAAAAAAATGTTTTTTAATAAAATTTCCATGGCAGTGGGGGGTAGTAACGTTAGGGTAAGGAAGCCTTTTAAGGTCCCTTGCAACTATAATGTTCTCTCATTCTGTTTTCCAGAAACTGTGCTAGGTGTAATCCTCAAATCGACACCACAAAAAAAGATAATTACTTCCTCCATTTTAAAAATGAGGAACCTTATGCTCACAGCAGTTCAGGAACTCATCCAACACCCCACTGCAGGAAAGGGCAGAAGCCACACCTGGACGCCTACCTCCGAGGTCAGGCTTCCAGTCCTAACTGCTTCTCCCGGTAAACACACCCCCCTTGCTGCATTTCCACGGCCTCCTCACGCGCTGTGAGCTGACCGTTATGATCACCGTTTTACAGATGAAGAATCTGAGACGCAGGTGAGTTAAGTGTCGGCCCCGAAGTCACACAGGTAGTGAGTGACAGAACTAGATTTCAATTTCAGATCTCTCTTCTTATTCCAGACTGCACGCTCCTGCATTACGTACACCACCAATTAACATCATTCACCAAAAGAACTGCTACGAAACAATATTTCATCTTGTCCCTCTTCCCAAATACTCATGAGATAAACTGCAAAGCACACAGAATATATATTTCATGAAACACCACAGGAAGTTTCTAAACATTCATGTGTGGAACCAGGGAGCAATGAGGAGTAGAGCCTTGGGGAACCCTTGCTCTTCTCCAGCAGATGAGGTGTCAAGGTGGGGCTAGAATCATCTAGAAGATACCCAGACTCAGACCTTAGGGAAATGGCTATAATGTGTCTGGCTTGGATAATTTGATTTCCATGGACCACGTCTACCTATTTCATTCAAGCACATGTAGTGCTTCATACATGGTAACAGAACCAATTACAGATACATTTATAAAGTCCCCTACTGCACTCTGTGTGTCTCACCTTTAAGGTAAAAATACTTCATTTTAACAGTTCACTGTACAGAATTGTTTGACGAGTTTATAACAGAGTGGCACGAAGGTAAGTCTGTAATCTTTGTACAACCAATTTCCTCTTTCAACTGCCAGAACAGGCTGCCCTGTTTATAGCTCCATGTTGGTCCCTGGGGATGCATCAAAAAGTATAACTGCCCACTGCACAGAGCGAGACCGGCTGATTGACTGCTGCTCGTGTCCATGCGGCCACCTATGTCACAGGAATACTAAGAGCACTTTTCCGCAAACTGCTCCCAAGAATGCTATGGGGAAGTCAGAAACAGTATCACAGGCTATCCCTATAGTCCAACAGTCTCCCAGTTCAATTTGGACGCTTTCCCACTCGCGCTGCATTTTTCATCCAGTCCTACTACACTGACATGAAGCCTTGTGCTCCCAGATTGGCTAATTCACAAACCCTCAGAGCTGCAAGGATTCCTGGTCCAGCATCCTCACTCCCGCTGAGGGTTCCACCTCCCAACCAGATGAACCACCTGCAGCCACTGCACTGTCATTCTCTGCTTGGAATCCCTCCAAAGCTCCCCACTACCCACACCCCATCGTCCCCTCTGAGATCCTGGCCTCTGTATTCACGCCTACATCCTAGGCAAAGTAAACAATTCCTTATTCCTCACACTCACCTAGAGTTTTGTTGCTAACACTGAACCTTCTACCTGGATTGCACCGCCCATTTTCCAATGTCCCCAAATGACCCAGTCTTATAGATCCAGGTCAGATGCTACTCCCTCCCTGGGTTTTTCCTCCAGTCAGCCAGAAACGACATCCCCCCCTGAGTTTCCACGGAGCAGTGTATCCGAAGCCCATAGCATTTCCTCCACCTGCTCAGTCACTGGTGTCTGGGGAGTTTTCTCTTCTGCTTGGTATGGAGAGCTGGTTCTTGTTTTTCCCTGTACCTCCTGTTTCCTGCAGAGTGCCTGGCACAAATAACTGCTGAGCGAATGTTTAATGAATGAAGGGACGAGGAGCCCAGCCCAAGGAGGCAGAGTGGCTGGGCTTTCCAGCACTAAGTCATGGTCATAGTTCTGAATATCCAAGTGATAGCACCACCCGTATTTCCAAAATGTAATATTTTATCATAGTAATCACTTGCATTGTTCCTCAATTCCACTTCAGGGAGGATAGTATGTTTAAAAACTTTGGGAAGCCAGACTCGGTTTCTATTCCTGGTTCTGCCACTTAATAGGTGTGTGATTTGGGGAAGAGATTCTCTTCCTGAGACCTCTGTTCTCCCATTTGTTTGTTTGTTTTTTTAAAGGTAGGGGGGACGCGGTAATTTATGTAGATGCTCTCCCTGGAGACTTTTCTGTTACAGTTGGTTCAAACAAGTCTGCCTGGGAGCCTGGAGGCCCTCCCTCCCCATCCCCAGCACACCTCACTCTTAAGCCTGGTCGTCTTCCCCCACCGGTGGCGGCTGTGGGGTCCTAGGTAGGGTAGCCCTGGCCTCCTCGCAGGTGCTGTCCTCATGCTAGCGGCCGCGGGCGGACTCGGTCCGCTGCCGGCGGAGGTCTAGGCGACAGCAGCGCACGACCAACCCAGGGCCACCTCCGGCGCCAACGCCAGCCCTGCCGCGCGGAGACGCCCTGGCGCCGGGACACTGCCGGCACGCGCTGCCGCGGGGGAGCCCCCTTCGCCCGTCTACAGTCCGCCCTTACACAAGCGCCACCCCAACCGCACACGTGCCGCACCCCGCTCACCCCAGGAGCCTTGACGCCACACCTCCGCTCCGCACGCACTGACAGCCACAAACCCAGGGGTTAAAATGCAGCCCTGGCGCTGTACCTAACCAACGACCCCCTCCCAGACACTGGGACTTTCCAGTAGCTAACTTTGATGGCTTCGGTTACAAAGTCAACTCGCCTTGTCGAGCCCAGAAATGGTCCTGTGCACACACGCGTGTACAGTACACCCACTAGAAGTACGCCCCCTTCTAGCGCTGCACAAACTTCTGTGTCAGTGAAAAAAATCCTGGTCCCTGCGCCTAAAGAAAACATCTCAGCATTTGACTCACCAAGGGCGGGAGGACGGACTGGCCTAAAAAACACACCTTGCTTCCCATCACAGTCACCCCTGCAGGTGCGTGCCTGTGAGCCCCATCCAGCGCCCAGGGGCTGTGAGGGCAAACGTGGACCCCGCTCCTTTGGACCCCTCCCTGTCACCACCCTCCAACCTAAGATGAACTTCGGGCTGGGAAGATGGGAGAGGGGAGAGGGGAGAAAGCAGAAAGGAAAATGCACTGGCCTCTGTTCCCATAGACCTCCAGGTACCAGTTTCCCCGGGAGGGAAATTTACCTGGCTCTGGATGGGGCCTTCATTAAAGACAAGACTCTCTCGGGCAGCCCATTCCCCTTCCCGCCTCCCCTGCCCTGTCCCTACCAGCAGTCTGGTTCTAGACGGATAAGCAGAGACAGTCCCTTATTTGGTGTGACTCGGGTACACATGACAGAACAGAGCTTGCCTCTCTCCCAGGCCAGGTGGGCCAGCAGAGGCCTCCAGGCATGCAGCCATGTGCGTTTAAAAATAACTGGGCATGAAGAGTATCCTTTTCCTCGTTGCTCAGAAAGGGAGGCCAGAAACACTAACCAGCTCAGTGAGGAAGCCTGGCAGACTGCTTGGAAGGGCACTTTTTGGAGCACTTCACGGGACTTTTCTTCAAATAAGTCATAACCTAGATTTTTACTCTGATGTAAATGGAATCTCAGCTAAAAGGAAAGATTTCTTCCCCTTCTGATTTGAAGGCTGAAGAAGCTTGCTAATTACATGTGCTTTGTCTAAATGAGATAGAACTAAAGTGCAGTAGCTTTTATAAAGGACCAGGTTCTGTTATGAAGATGGAGGGTGTCTGTGCATGGCTCTGGCACCTTTGGAAGCAGTGCACTTAGAAAGACATCGAGAGCATGTGGGATCTAGATACAATTGTTGGCAAAGTGGAGACTAGAACACTTGAAGGGTTGTAGCTTTGTCTTATATGAATTCAAATTTTTCTTACACGTTCCCTATTTAATACATTTTTAGTTGTAGATTGAATCAGATGTACTTTTCCATACCCTTTTAATGTTTCAGAGAGAAAGCCATAAACATGCATTTGCTTTGTGTTCCCCAACTGTTTCAATGCAGTCATCACTGAAGGAAGTAGTTCGTGATTTTATACAGGAGAGTTATTGTGAGCACTTATAAAGCCATCCTGCTTATGAGCTGAATTGATTACGTTTGCCAGGTTAATCTGTTTTCTCAAATCGGACACTTAATCATCCAGTCTCCTCCCCACATTATGGATTCATGAATGTCAACTGCGGAGGGTTGCTCAGTCAGGGCAAAATGATAAATTGTTGTTTCATTTAGGGGTATTTGCATCACAGTAAAATTAAAATGAAATAAATGTTGTATTTTTAACTTCTAGATCCCTGACAGGTATAGATGAAATGTATTTGATTAAGAGTGAATTCAGAGTGATGCCTGAATGGAATTTATAGGAGAAACAGACAAAGCTTTGTAGTTCAGAAGAGCTCTGAGTTCTCCCTGCGTTTCTATGGATTGGAGAGATAATCACTCATAGGTACTCTATGGGTGAAGAGCACAGAATTAACATTTCCATTCAGAAGGAATGAGGAATTAGTCTAGGGCAATAATAGCCAAATTTGCCTGGATCTAGAGTTGTAATTCTGAGATCTCAAGGGCCGCATGGTATGTGATGAGAGGAGATAATCAATTACAACCGAAGGACCAGTTCCTGTCATTTTGGCTCTCACATTAAGTGACGCACCCCTGGGTGGTACTCCCAGTTGCTGCCTAATTGGGTTGAGAGGGTTGAAGCACTGAAATCACAGAGATGGTTTAGTCATGTTTGTTATTAAATAAATCAAATCCACATTCCAGTAAGAGCCCTGTGAGGTCACAAGGGCCAATATTTGGGTTTTTTTTTAGCACATGGAGTCTAAAATCAATTGGCACTGTGTAATGTCAGACAGTCCTCAAAAAAACCCTATTTGGGGTGCTCATTTCACAATTAGCAAAGTATTTTCATATCCTTTATCTCATCTGATCCTCAGGAGAAACTCATGACTACGCAGGTCCCAGCAGTTGGGCTGAGTGCACAGGTCTGCGGGGTGGGACCCAGAGCAGGCCTCCCGGTCAGGGGCTCTTCCTCCACCCAGACTCTGTCTAACCAGACAGTAAAAGCAAAGTCTTCGTTTTAGACACACACACACACACACACACACACACACACACACAAAGGCTTGCACCTACCAAGTGAGTGAGACCTAGTGCAAAACAAGTCTTGTAAAGATCTGGTGGTTTCACACAGATACGTGATGAGCTAACCCAGGAGGTTGGCTACATGAGCATAGTAAGTGAGAGTTGAGACAGTCATTCAAATAGTTCCAACTCCACCCCCCAAAACCCATGCTGTTGAAGTAAAAGCTTTTTTCTTGACTGGACTATCCAGGCAATATGTCTGCTCAGATTGGATTTTTATACATATTGTTCGAGCCTCCCTTTCAATCTGCTTTTTACATTCTTGGTCAATGTGATTGGAACTAGAAATCTGTTTCTCTACGGAGTCCGTGTGCAGTGTGAATCCAGGTTATGTGATACCTCTGTGACTACTGCTTCCTAATAGGTATGTGCATTTGAAATTACTAAACTTGGTGAGTTAGGCTGAGCCAAGTCTCTGAGGCAGTCAAGGGGACAGATGGAGAAAAGAATGCTTTAATAGAGCCCAGGTCAGAGGCAGAGAAACCTATCAGCACATGGCAAGGAAGGAAGGAAAAGGGTTTGCCTTCTGTAGAAGTTGCCTGCATTCTGCCCAGGGAGAGGACAAGGGAAAAAACATGGACATTGAGTAAGGAGTCTTGGGTTCTACTGTCACTCCTGCCATTTGCTAGCTGCGTGACATGGGATATAAAGGAAATGGGAAAAATAATAAAATAGTCTGCCATTTCCACAGATTTGTAACAACTCCCAGCAAGGTGTCCTATTTATTCATTGCAACATTTACAAAGCACAAATACCTATCACTTAAAAGTGACACCACTGACAATATAGTTAAACCTTCATTTTCTTTTATTAGTCTAATAAATAAAAGTATATCACTGAAAAGAGGCCACAAATATAAATGGCTCAGGGACTTTGCCAGAAGAGGAAATCATACAATGCTCTTGGGAAGAGGAATTCTGACTTGGTCCTCTGTAAAATGCTAAATTTCTGCACAAAATTTTAAAGCACAAGTGTTTACAGGACTCTTGATGACAAGAAAAACTATAGTAAATGTGCCTTAGCACTAAAATTCCTGTATCCATGGAAACCTGTGAAGTTCTGTAAGTGCTCACGCATGTGGCCCATAGCTTCCGCGGAAGGGCTGGGACAGCGATTGGTGGGTTGTTACTACGCTCGGAGGGGGACAGAGTGCTGGCAGCTGCTCATCACAGGCCTGGGTCTTTTCCCTGCTAAATGTAATTATAGAGAAATTCAGAAATCTCAGATATTAGGGAGAAAAAAAACATGTTTATATATTTACATGTACTTATGTGTCTCAGAATACAGTGAGCTAATTCAGCTTTTTCTTCAGAAAGGCTTGTGAAACCAGCAGCATTTCTCTCTCCCCTACACTTGCTGCTACATTTAAAAACTCTCTAAATTTTCCATGTATACAGATCCATATATTCCTTGAACGTCTGGAGAGAATGCCACCAGGTTTTATCAAACTGATTGTTCCTGCCTGGGATTTTAAAAGTCTTCCTGGTCAGTGTTTCCTGATGTATAGTGACTTTAAAAAGCAAAGAGTATACTAATATTGGAGGAAAAGAATCATCTACAGATATCTGGTGTTTATATAACCAAGGACCAATATTCTAATAAAATAAAAAAGTAATACTTTCATAGAGCCCATACTCTAGTAGAGTATACAATAAAATAAGGTATATAATAGTCTATTTTGCAAAATATATTTTATCTCAAACAATATTCTATTTTGCAAAATATATATTTTATCTCATTTAGTCCTTGCATCAATCTTGATGGGCATTACTCCCATTTTCCCTTCTACTTCCAAGTGTTTGTTTGATACTCTTTCAATATTCTTTCTCAAATATTATTCCATATTTTAGTGATTTAGGAATAGTCTGTGTTTTGGTCAAAATACATTGCAACAGGTCAAATTATAATGAGTTCTTAAAAATACTTGTGTTTTGTCCTCACGGAAGTTTTCTTTTTTTTTTTTTTTTATCCTCATCTGAGGACATTTTTCCTTTTTTGTTCTGGTAGAGTGGAAGGGAGAGACAGGAACAGAGAGAGAGAGAGAGAGAAACATCGATGTGAAAGGGACAATCGAGTGGCTGCCACCCGCACGACCAACCAGGGCCGGGGACAAACTGCAACCGAGGTACATGCCCTTAGCGGGAACTGAACTCGGGCCTCTCGGGACCGCAGGTCGATGCTCTAACCGCTGAGCCAAACTGGCCAGGGCTCTTTTTGCACGTTTTCATGTTTGGTTCTCTGAAGACGTGTCTCCGAGATGGCAGCCATCAGCCACATGTCACCACCGAGCACTTGAGATGTGGCTTGTGTCACATGTTAACATGATAATGGTTGCACGTATTCAGTTAAATGAAATAGGACTTTAATTTCACCTGTTTCTTTTACTTTTTTAATATGCTTATTAAAACATTTAAAATTATATAGGTGGCTGGCGTTATGTCCCTATTGGCCAGCGCTGCTCTGGTGAAACTCTCCAAAGCCCTCAAAAGGGGTCTATTTTTGACCACGTAGTGGATTCCAGACTCTCTCAGTCTTGTGATTGACCCACCGTACTTTTCACCAGAAGAAGCACTGATTGCTTTCATTTAAAAGAAGTGCTTTAAATTATCCTCTTTCTGAGCCAGGTTTCTCTCCTTTTCTGCCACACGGTTCTCCATGGTGAATCCAACCTCTCCTCCTTTATCTGGGCTTCCAGAGAGGCTGAGGCCTCGTGCTGCCCCTGTGGGCCTCAGGAAAGCCTGTGCATGCAGGACCCAGAGATTCCCAGGAAAAGCCACCCGATGCCGGGCGAAGCCACTAGGCCCCTGGAATCAGAACGCTGCCCCGCGTTCAAACTGGCTCGGCCACCTCCCAGTCGCGTGAAACCGGCCGAAGCTATTTTGTATTAGCATGTTGAATTATTATTGTAATCGGAACTCTTGAGCTGTAATCTCAATACTCATTAACTGGCTGTGTGACTTTTATCATGGTATTTAAGCCATCTGTGCCTCAATTTTCTTTATTATGTTTCAATGGAGTTTAATAATTAAGTAAATTTTATAGAAAAACTCCATAATGATTCAAGACTAATGATTCCATTAGAATGTGCGAA